CAAATAACTTGGTTATCTTCAGCAACAGAAAGAATAGGTAGGTGAGTTTGAACCTGCAGGGATTCTTCCTCGTGAATATGTTCGCAATCGATCATTTCATGCCTGATCTTGGACTTCACGCACTCAAAATGATGGCAGGAATATGCTCCGTTACCTTCAATCAAGATTTGAACAGAAACGGTCCACTTGACGTTCATAACGAGGACAACCACCTCGGTGAGTTTCGCTTCCGATAGTCCCTTCTCAGAAGTACGTTCGAGTTCACTCAATATCGGTTCGATTTCGAACATTATGGGCTCTAAATGACGGGACTGGTCGGGGTCATCGACCCCAATAAAGGTTTGATGGGAAAAGGCCCACCCTTCGTCGAGAACAAGGACAATAATGGCATTGGTACGCTTTCGTCTCCTATATACCCCTCTCGAAACTCTGTTCGCGTTTGCTCAATTCCTGCTCGATTTTCGATGTAGCGGGCTCAAAGTTACGGCGAATAGTAGCTTCGTCAATACAGAGAAAGGTTTGGCCAGACACCAGCCAGTCATTCTCGAGAACGAGGCAAAATGTATTGATGTGTTTTCGCTCCTAGCACCCCTTCTCGAGAATGGATTCGTGTTTGCTCAATTATCGCTCGATTTTCAATCTAGCGGGCTCGAAATGACGGGACGACGCCGGTGCACTAGTCGTAATACAAGTTTGGAAGGGAAGGGGCCACTCAACGGCGAGAACGAGATGAACCACGATGGTGAGTTTATGCCCATAGCATCCTGTTTCGAAAATATGTTCACGCTTGCTTAAATATGCTTCGATCTCCAATGTGGTTGCCTCAAAAGAACCGCGTAGGTACTTACTATCACCTCCAACGAAGATTTGGAGAGAAACGACGCACGCGTCGTCTTGAAAAGACCACAAACAGCGAGGTGACTTTCACTCTCAGCACCACCCCTCCTCGAAATTCGGTTCGTTCTCGGTCATTTGCAACTCGTTCCTCAAGATAAGTGGCTCGAAATTACGGCCTATATAAGGGATATCGATCCCCGCTCGCGGTCCTACGCACCACCATTGCAAACGGACGTGATCGATGTCAGCCTCCGAGGTGAGTCATGGTCCGAAAATACTCCTCTTCGAAGTTCCGTTCGCGTTTGCTCATTTGCTGTTCGATTCCGCTTTATATAGGCTCACGGGGATGGCTAGTTGCACCGGCAGCACTCAAGGTTTGATGCAAATCGACCCAGTAATGAGGGAGATCGAGCGGGTTTGGTTCGGTAAGTTTCGTCCTTCAACCCTTCTTCGAATATCTACTCGCATTCGCTCAATACCGGCTCGATTTCCATTGTGGTGGGCTCTATCTGACGGGATGCATTATTAATACTCCGCGCCATCCAGGTTTGAAGCAAAACGGCCGGGAGGTGGTCGAGAACGAAGTGTTTTAGCTCAATGTGTCATGCCCACCAGCCCTCCCTCCTCCAACATAGTCTCGCGTTCCCTCAATTCTCGATCAATCATCGTCGTCATGGGCTCAATAGAATGGCATAGCTAAGAATAGACTATCGCATCGAAGGTTTGGGGAGACACTATGGTGCATTGACGAAGTTAGAGGAGATTGAAGCCGGTGAGTCACCCTACAGCTAATCTCCTCACAGAACATCACTCATAACTTCTTCAATATCGGTTCAAATCTCAACGTTGCGGGCTCTAAATGACGGGAGGGTTGTGAGGTATCAGTCACTAACTTGGTACAAAGTCAATCGGCGGAGTACGTCGACAACGACAACGATCCTTGGGGTAAGTCGTCATCTCTCAATATCTCCTCCTCCAAAATATTGTTGTAACCTATTCAGTTTTCGTTCAATTCGCGTCGTGAAGAGCTTGGAGGCAAACGACGCACACGACGTCTAGAAAGTGCACAAATAGCGAGGTGAGTTTCACTCTCAGCACCCCCCTCTTCGAAATTCGGTTCGTTCTCGCTCATTTGCGGTTCTTCTCTCAAGATAAGAAGCTCCAAATGACGGCTCATATATGGGCTATCGACCTTCGTCCGTGGTCTTACGCACCATCGCTTTAAACGGACTTGATCGATGCGTACATCCGAAGTGAGTCATGGTCCCAAGATTCTCCTCTTCGAATTTTCGTTCGCGTTTGCTCATCTACAGTTTGACCCGGCTTCATTTAAGCTCATGTTGACGGGAACGGTGAGTTACATGCGCGGAGGACAAAGTTTTGATGCAATCAACCCATCAATGAGTGAGAACGAAGGCGAGCATGCCGGTGAGTTAGAGCTTCAAATTCCCCATCACAAGATATGTTCCCATTGGTTCAATCGTCGTTCAATTCGCTTCACTATAGGCTCATAATCACTAGACATGTGTCGACCTTCATTCTCATGCGTGGCTTCATGCAAAACAGCCTACTTGTCATCGAGAAAGGTGAGGAACAGTCTCGCCCGCCAAGGACTGAGTCAAATCAGCGCTGATTTGAAAATGTGGGAATGTTGCGTGGTCGAGCGACCATGGTGCACCTCTCTATTGTCCTTTTCTCCTACTCTTTTTCTGGTATTAGGGCAGTCACTACACTCTCTGGACCTTGTCTACATCTTATTTGCGGCCAGTGCGCACTCTCAGAGTCAAGATATCGACATTTTAGCCATCCTGTACCCCTTAGTGTCGCATGATGAGGAATTTCAGGTTTGTTGGCCTATTCTTTCTGCTGCATATGACTTACCCAGTACATAGCACACTCTATATCTCATCACGTCGCCGTTCGAAGCCTTAGTACACTCGGAATCGTTTTTTATAGGGGTGAGCCACCCCTTATAGCCATTTTGACCAAACATTTAGTGTATCTCACTCGTTTTTAGCACAATTGTCTTCATTTTCATGCTCAACATGCTCGTACAGATATCCTGTAACATTGCCAAGCAACGCGTTGACGATATTTGGTCGCCCGCCTTCACAAACAACCTTCGTGCGCCACCCAGGGGAGCATGGTATGTCCCTGAGGATAGTGTGGCTTTGTTATTTTCCTTGTACACCCTTTTTCTTTGTTGGAACGCACTGTTTACACTCTAAATTGAGTTTTCTCATCGGGTTTGGTGTCGGCGGACGTGTTTCAAGTCCGCAATTCGAGTTTTTTGGGTGGGCGAGGTCGCCCCTTCACCTCTTCGCCCCTCCCCACGGGGTTTTCTTTCGACCCATGGTTTTCCTTATATTGGGCAACTCACCACGCCTGATGTATCCCGAAGAACCCTCACCGACGTTGTTGGGCAGGGTATCGCGCTCGCGATGGCGTTTTCTGTGTGCGAGGCGCATGCAGCAGCAATGCGTGCCCGGAAAATAGATGGTTGTGTTTTCCGACCCCGAAAGCCCAGAATGACATTGGACTTAGTGATATGGTATCCATGCAGGCCGCTCACTACTTTGGACTTACCATTTTGCCGTTGGGTTTAAGGCTGCCGCACACGAAACATGTCCGGAATTCGAGTTTTTGGGTTGGCGAGATCATGAACTTACCTGTTTGCCCCTCCTCGTGATGTTTTTTTTTTCTTTCAACGCACGGTTTTATTCTATGCGGACCACTCCTCATACGTAGGGCATCCCGCTGATTCCTCATCGACGTTGATGGGTGCGGTATTGCCTTCATGATCCCGGTATGTATCTGCAAGGGGAACACAGCAGTGTGACGCGCCCGGAGAACGGACAGGTTCGTGGTCCAGTTTTCTCTGCTATTGGTGAGTCACATTTGTTGTTGGATGACACTTACACTCCGAACGGGGTCTCCAGAGTCCATGGGCCACTTGGATGTGGCATAACGTCGACATGGGTCCTGATTTTTTCATGTAGGGTTTGCCGACATTAGGTAAGCAAGTGGGCAGCTCACGCGTGAGCTGCTCCGACTTCGTCAATTTGCTTGTATAATGGTTAAGGGATTCCGTATGAATGGGATAAATTATTCTAACTGATGCCCTATGGTACCTGTGACTGGCTATATATTTACACAATGCTCTGAACCAGGGTATAAGGGTACTTAAATCTGTGTAGTAAATGAGCCGGTTGTAGCGCTAAGTTAGTTTGGATGCAGATGTTGCTGGAACTGACATAGGTTCGTTTGTTGATGTAAGTTCGCTTGGTAATTGAAGTCTATATGCGTGGACTACAGTCTACAGTAAGTTCGTTTCTTCACCTTGGGTGAGCATACTTATGAGTGTATACACGTAGACTACAGTAAGTTCGTTTCCAATGTTAGTTGCGATTCTACACATCGTATGAGCATGCTTACATGTGTATACACATAGACTATAGTAAGTTCGTTTCCAAGCTTAGTATCATTTCTTCACGTCGAACGAGCACCGTCGATACGGTTAGACTACAGTAAGTTCGTTTCCTACGGTAAGTTCGTTTCTTCATGTCACAAATGTCTCGGGCGGAGCATTTTTTTGGCTGTCAAACGAGAATACTTACATGGGTATACACGTAGACTTACAGTAAGTTCGTTTGCTAGGTAAGTTCGTTTATGCATGTCCCGTATGCCTTCGGAGTGCACTTTTTTTTTTTGGCTCTCTTACAAGGGTATGGGGGCACCGGTAGGCGCTCCATTGAGAAAGCGATGCTACTCCGTTGGTTCGGTGCTTATGGATGGTTCAGGGAACAGTATAGATCCTTGTAGGCACATGATATCCAAGAATAGCTCTGGACGTAAGACTTCGCATCCCCAAATACACGCATTTGGACGCATTGATGTCGATATAGCTTAAGTACACTGCCATGAGCTCGAGGCAGTGTTGTTCTTCGTCGTGAGATCATGGTCGTGCTGCTTATGAGTACTTCTCTTCCGCTCTTCGTTCCTCCCCAGCTTGCTGCTCCCATGGTCTTTCCTTGAGACCTCCTCCCCATCTCTTCCCTGTGCTCAGCCTAACGCTGACGGTCTCGACCTGCCACTGCTCAAGCGCATAAAAGACAAGTGGCCGCCGCGCAAAGGTACGTCTAGATTCAAGCCATTCAGCACTCATGAAGCTGATAGTACCGAGTTTAGCTGCGGCCACACCGTCGATACGGACCACTACTACTACCGAATCTCCCATTAATGCCATGTCGCTCCTCAGCCACTACTCAATACACCACGATAGCCATGTTTCCCAGTCATCCTCGAAGAAACCGAATCCTGCTCGGCGTGGTGGGTCCCAATCGCTTACGAGGAACCTATCGACTTTTTCCTCATTATCCTTCATTGTCACTACTATTAGCTCGCAGAATCTTCGGCTCAGGCACCCACAGAAAGGCAGTTCTAGAGCTTGTGACGTTGGCGGGTCCTGTGCTCGTCGAAGCATCGCAGATGACGCAGGGAATTCCTTATGTGGAGTGCCTCGCCAAGGTCATCGCATACATTGTCAGAGCAAACAGCGTGAGCTGCCTTCAGATATGATTCATCGTTCACAAAACACTCATACGTATGTGTCGGTTTCCAGGAGATGGAGACGGTCGCAACTACATTTTCTGTGTTAGGGGAGCGAGTCATTCGGCTCCAGGGCATCATTCTCGACGTTTACGAGGATATGAAGAAACAAGAAGTTTGCCCAGAGGACTTTCGCAAGCCACTCAGGCTCCTTGAAGAGTATGTGTCGTGACTACCTATCTGGGCTGACAAACAATTATTCATGGTCTATATTGTTGTTGAGCTCAGACGGCTCTACCTAATCATCGACGTGCTCTCTCGTTACAGTAAATCTAAATGGAAGCGATTCTTAACTCGGAAGGACACTCTGAGTGATCTTCAAAGGTGCGAGCAAGACGTAAGCAGCGCAATAGAGGAGTTTAATGTATGTATCTTTATCTCTTTTACCTGTGTACCTATTTGAAGCTCACATACCGTGTCCGATCGGGTTCGCAGACTCTCCTCAACATCCGTCAGGCGATTGCTACAGAGCAGATAAAGAGGTCGTTGTCAGAAGTGAAGGTACACAGTCATCTCGTGATAAATATCCGTTTCAGAGTATGACCATAAGCTGATGAGGAATTTTAGTACGACACGGACGTTATAAAAATGTTAGCAAATGAGCACGCAGCTCGTGATAATAGTACGTCGCTCATACATCCCATAACATATTCATCGCGAGTAACTGAAGGCTGCCACCAGAACGTATCTTGATACTTATCGCTTTATATACATACGAGCGCTCCGGGAGCCTGACATTTACCGTTTCCGTCGTTTTATTTGGGAGGGTCAGGGAGCAGCTTTGATTGATGTCTTCGGAGGCCATCAGTCCAAGCCGCTAGGGCGGTATGCATGTTGATACCTAGCAATTCAGAGGCCCCCGTCCGCTCGCATCTCGCGCAAACAAGCGTGGCATCAACATGCTTGTTTGCGCGAGCTGCGAGCGGACGGGGGCCTCCGGATATGGATATACATACCGCCCTCCACAGGTGTGGCCCTGCACCTTGATCCGAACACTGCGCTAGGTTGTGCTACCGACTGATACTTTTATTGACATTGAGCCTGTACTACAATTTCGATTGTCGGGACGAACAATTTCTGTATATACTGTACTTTTTCGACCAACTGTTCGTCACGCGTCACGCGGGGAAAAATCTGAGGGTGCCGATGAGCTCCGATTAGAAATCGAGGTTCATCGGCCAACCCCAACCCTAGGAATTTCCTAATCGGGCGAACAGTTGGTCGAAAAAGTACAGTATGGTAAAGAATCCTGAAGATTGTGCCGTCAAGCCTAGAGAGGTGTTCCATTTCCCCCCCCCCCCTTTACCTTTCCATCATGCCATGAGAGCTGTTTATATTTCATCTCTTATCTCTCGTTCCCGTATCTGCTACTGACTCATTTCTAGAGCATCCGTTTGTTCTTCTCTGTAGATCTACCTTGGTGTACCAACTCAGTCTGCCTGTATCGTGAATGGTTTACCGACGATGCCGAAGAACCAGTACTCTGCTTGAGGCAAAAAGTTTCATCGTTGCTGAGCCAGGTGACAATGTGCATATTCCGCTTGTTAATCATATAAGTCCTTCTTATGCCGACATAAATACGATACATCCGGTGATGGAGCTATCTAGTTACCGATCGACGAAAACATGAGTCTATTCATCCACTCAGTATCGCATATACATAGCACAAAAGCTTTTATTTGAGGGTCAGTATAACACGGAAAGCGATTTACAACGTCTATATAACGGGAGGGATGCCGGTCATACTTCTACGGATAGTAGATAAAAAAAATGATGGCCAGGAGAAAGACAGAGCAGACAAGTAGATAGATACATTTCACTTCAATATACTTCCTACGGCATTGACTGCTGAATCGAACGGTCTTCCTCTGTCGCCTGTCAATTCCTATATCCATCCTGGAGCATCACCACAACGTCCAATGCCTACCGAGAATATATCCACCCCACGCTCCAATCGCCGCACCCATCAACGTCCCAATCGTCTCATCCACCGTCCACACCTTACTGTCCTCTGAGCCTCCATAGCGCGCCACAGCAGGTCCTGGACGGTAGTAATACGGGTCGTTATAGAAGTTGAAACCCATGGCGCGGTAATAAGCGTATAGATCGTAGGTGTTGCGATCATGAGAGCTATCTGTGAAGGCAGGGGGAGTGAGGAACTGATAGGCTCGGGTAGGCAATGCATAGATGAACGATTTAGCAGACCGGGTGTACCTCTACTGATAGGTTTCCTGAGCCTAATTGCGAGGAGGAAGCCTCTCCAGATCGGAGACAGGAGTTTACTGGTACAAACGTAGAGAGGCTTGGTTCCGAAACAGAGAAGAGGTATGCTACACAAGTAGGGATGGTTGGTGGCTGAATGCGAAGCGACAGAAAGAGTTAACACATGAAGACAATGCAAGTGAACCTCTGCACTGATCAGGGTAGAGTAGATAGACGAACGATTGAAATCGATGGTGCGACGTACTGAATAAATTGATATCTCTCAATAAGATGGGACCCTGAACCAGCATGACCCTGGTGAGCGTCGCTCCTCGCACGGCTAGAGGTAAATGAGAGCATATAAATATGTATTAGGGATGCATAAGAGGTCAACACACGTTCTGTCCCTTTGAGCCCAAAACGCCATGAATCAGCAAAGCTGGTAAACGAAAATGTGGAGCCCTCAAGGCCGCTTGAGGTTATGAGCAAGAAAAAAACCATCGAATGAGTAGAGCTGGTAAAGGAAAATGCGGATCCTTCAAGGTCGCTCAAGGCTATTAGTATGAACAAGCATGAGGCTGCCACGCCGACGCTTGCGCGTAACCCGGCACTCACTGATTCTCCCGATTAGGTTCAGGTAGCCACTGAGGTCGTCTTCGCTCTAATGTACTTGCACACGATGTTTCTTAGCTTGGGAACTTGCCGCAACTACGTAGGATTTCAAAATCGAGATAATATCTCGTAGTAACTTATCCGTCAGTCGGAAAGATCCGAGGGTTCCGGTCAACAGATCACAAAATTAAGCCTCGCTGAAGAGCAGACAAAGGAGGAAAAGGAGAGGTGGGGCACTGCTGCCTCGTCGTCATAACTTATAAGAATGGAGGCAGCTGGAGGCAGGCACGAGACAAGAGCGAGAGTGGCATATTCACCACGTGATCATGAGCGCCTGCGGGATGCGTCGCCGATTGCGTGACTTCATCGCTGTTCGAAACGACGACAACCGAGTATTGGGACTTGGAATTTTTTTTTGCGAGGTGCGCCCGACTTTCTCTTCTAGATCTTACGCAATAACATTCTGATATCGAGCTGTACCGACTACGTAGCTATCCGTCTCGTTTGACATCGGTCAAGTTTCGGAGCCTCATAACAGGTGAGTTTGGGGTATACGATGTACTCTGCAGAATATATGCGTGGATTTGTGAGGTTGTCTCGAAATTATATGCGCGCTTGGCCCGGGCGATTGGTTCTGCAGTGCTCCTCCAGAGGAATCAAGAATGAGGGAGAGATACGGATCAGGATATGGCGTGTTCGTGAGCAGTGCATGACCACCGGTGCGTCTGTAAGTTCGTCGAGTCTCTGCTATCCAGCTGACGGTGTCGAACCTACGGATGTTTATACTCTAGATCCTTATACTGTCACAATGTACTCCTGCCGAACAATTTCACCATCTATACCTATGTCTGCCATTCGCCCACGCACAGAACCCCTGACATTTGATGTCTCGAATGATCTCCAGTATCTTGCCAGTGTTTTGCCTCCACCAACTCTATGTTCTGGAACGGCTACTATGTCTGAAGGGTCTGCTTTATGTCTAGAACGCTGCCATTGCTACTGCCCTTCGGGATGTAGACCCTGTTTCGCAGACTTCGCTGCAGAGGACTGTCCTGTCTGCGAAGCCATTTAGGATGCCTTTGGCATCCGTCTCTGCGCCTAACCTATTGTGTACCTCACGTACAAATACCGAACCGTACGGGGCTTGTAGGAGATCCGCTATTGCGTCGTCCTGCCAGTCTACCTGATCTTGAAGTCCGTTGATCGTGTGGCGCGCCACATCAATCTAGGGTTGCACCGTACTCTCTCCTCTTTTCGTTCCATTGGATCTCTTTCCGAGCGCGTTCGTTGTGCTGATACTTATGTTGAGTCTAGCAACCATGACAACTGTACCCCCACTCTCGCTTACAAGACAATCACACCCATCCACCGCGACCTCCGATCTCTCTTCCCTGGTTGAACTTCTCAGCGGTCCCTCGGCTTCTACATCCTCTTCGCCGTCATCCAACGCCAAACAATCAATAGATCTGCAATCTACCCTGACCTCCGCCTACCTCTCCCACCTAACGACTCTTCCCCTCCCTTCCCTCCTCTCGGAGCCCACCTCGCTCTCGTCCACCTCCTCCCAACTCACCAACGCCCTCACAACCCTCTGCACTTCCTCCTACCCCACCTTCCTCTCGCTCCATACCTCAACATCCTCCCTTCACTCCTCTCTCGACACCTTCTCCACCTCCCTGTCAACATTACTAGACACACTTCCCGCCCTCGAATCCTCCTCGAAATCATTCTCCACCCAAATCAAACACGTCCAATCCGAACGCCAAAAAGCCTCTCTCGTCCTCGACCAATCCTCAAAACTCAACGACATCCTGGAGCTCCCTTTCCTCACCGAGACCTGCATCCGGAACGGCTTCTACGCGGAGGCTCTCGACCTACATTCCCACGCGACCGCCCTCGCGGCGAAGTTCCCGGACGTGAGGGTGGTGGCGGATGTGAAGGCTGAGGTGGATGGCGCGATTAGGGGGTTGGTGCAGGGGCTAGTGGGGATCTTGAGGGAGCCGGGGGTTAAGCTTCCGGCGCTCTGGAAGGCGGTGGGGTTTTTGAGGAAGATGGGGGTGTTTGGAGCTGGGGAGGAAGGGGAAGAGGAATTGGCGATAGCGTTTTTGAGCGGGAGGGGGGAGTGTTTGGAGGCAGCGTTGAGGGCTGTCGGGGCTGGGATGGAGGGTGAAGTTGGTGTGGGAGTGGGAGTGGGTACGGGGGTTGGTATCGGGAAGGAGGGATGGGTTAGATATTTAAAGAAGTATGTGGATGTGTGGAGGGAGGGTGTACATGATGTCGTCACTCAATTTTCGACCATCTTCCTCACGCCGTCTGCGTCTTCCACAACAACCGGAACATCAACTCCACCGAAAACACTCACCCCCCTTCCTCTCCGCTCAAGCACCCCGACACTGTCCTCCCCTACGTCCTCCACCTCGCCACGAACACCGTCCGCCTTCATCCTCACCCTCCTCCCGACCTTCACATCCAACGCGATCCACACCCTCCTCCTCCCCACCCTCCAAACCGTTCTTCCTCACATCCAAGACCCCTCCTCGCTCACATCCCTCCTCACCCAACTCACCTACTGCGCCACCTCCTTCTCCCGCATTGGCCTCGATTTCAGAGGCCTGTTGGGTCCAATATTCGAGGATGCCGTCCGGGGGAGCGTCGAGTCCGCGCTGAAGAACGCGACGGATGAGTTCGTTGCGCTCGTGCAGAGGGAGACGCGGTCGGGAGCCAACGCGAAGGGGGGGAGGTTGCCGAGCGGGTGGTTGGTTTTGACGACCCCTCTGGGCGCGATACAGGTTCCGCAGGCAGTTCAATCAAACGTGTTGGATGGGACGCCGGCGCATGTTCCGCCGCATATGTTGACTTCGTACCCCTCGCTCGCGGTATACGTGAACGCGATCCTGACGACGTTTAACTCGTTGAGATTGCTCGCGCCGGCTGCGTTGCTACCTGTCCTTCTATTGAATTTGGACGAGGCGTTGGCGAGGAGTGGGGATGTGTTGTTGAATTATGTGAAGATTGTCGAGGACGGGTTGGGCAGATCAGAAGGAGATGATGACGCGACAGAGATAGAGAAGGGAGCGAGGGAGAGAGAAGTATTGATCGTTAGGCGGGTGGGTGAGGTTTGGATCCAGGTGCTCGTTCCATTTTTGAGGGGGGGGTTGAGTGAGGGCGTTTACGGGGTATCTTCGGAGGTTATGGATGGAGAGGACGGTGACGAGAGAAAGATGGGAGAGAATCTGGAGCGGGTTATGATTGAGTGGAGAAGTTGGCTGGATGGGGCGAACGGAGGGAAGGAGAGGGAAGACAGCGCAGAGGGAGAATGACGGATCTGACGACGACAGTACGCGCTGCAGTGGCTCAGGTGACGTCTGGGTGTATCCATACGAGTAGGTCGGGCTATATAACGTCTCTTTTTCTCACTATTTCGATTCGTTCGGTGGGCATGTGTCTCCTCGTTCGATATAAGGAAGGATACCCTTTCCAGAGCGTCGTCCCGTGTGCTGATCTAACTGTCAACGTTCCGCTTGTTGCACTTCACGCCCAATATCGCGACGGGACCCTTAAGGATTCGAAAAAAAACCGAGGCCTTACGTGCGGTTGCACTACGGTCAGTCGCTACTCTCCTTCACTATTCCTCGCTAAGGTGTCTTGCTCCAAAGGTCGGCGAGTCGTTGAACAGAACTTACAGGGACGTCATGACGCATAGAGGGTGGACCTACGTCCTTCGCTCATCTCGGAGGTTCGGAGCACATCAAGTAAGATTAGACGTATCAAAGTGTCGAACAATATGCAAGACTCGGTGATCAATGAAGTCCCGCTACCTCCATACTTTCCGGTGCTACTTCCTCTGCCAGTGCTGATATCTCTTTCCACATCTTCTTTTCAATCGCCGTCCCATCCTTAGTCTCAATGAACTCCAATGCCTTGGTTCTGTACAAGAGGTCAATATTCACCGATCCGTCAGCTCTGCATCGTATCTGCTGATGATAGATCCATGAAAGAATGGACATCTCACCTCGTAATCTTCTCATGAGCCAAGAACTCTCCATGACTCTCCTTCCCGACCACCGCAGCCGCATACACGACTATCCTCCCGCCCTCTTCAGCCGTCCGCGCTCGCCATCCCTTGAAGAGCCACACCAGAGGAGTACTCCATGCCGGCACTGTCCTATCTATACTCGTTGTCACCATCCCAGGACACATATCGTTGATCACAACGCCGCGACTACCGCTCCCTGACTTCACATCCACACGCTTCGCGAGCTGACGGGCAAACATGTAGATCAAGATCTTGGAGTCGGCGTATCGCCGCGCGTTCATCATGCTAGACGCCAACTCGGACAATTGAGCGAAGAGGGGCTTGTCGGACGAGGCGAGGGTGGTCGCGCGATTGATGAAAGAGGTCATGGAGTGGGCGGAGGAGCCGACGAAGGTGAGGCGAGCGGGCTCATTGGAGGAACAGGTAGACGAGGAGTGCTTGAGCAGTGGGAGGAGGAGGATGGCGAGGAGTGCTGTGGAGGCGAAATTAACTTGGAACATTAGTTCGTAGCCCGTCGCTTCCGATCTCTCGAGGTCCCAACCACCCAGCCCCGCATTCATCACCACTATGTCCAACCTCGCATCGCGCAAGTCCTTCTGGATCTTCTCCGCTAACGCCTTGATTGATTTGGGGTCGGAGAACTCGGCCTCGTAGATGAGAATGGTAGGCTGGACGGCGAGAGATTTGACGATAGGATCAGCGAGGAGGTGAGACTTCGTGGAGACTCCCTTCGAGGTGGAACGAACGCTGATGAGGAGCGTGGAGAGGCGGTGCTGTAGAAGGTGGAGGCAGGTGGACAGTCCAAGACCGACGTTTGCTCCGGTTACAAGGGCGATTTTGCCGTCGAAGGAGAGGTCAGAGGGGAGAGGTGGTATGGATGGTTGAAGACCGAACATAGTGCGAGTGGTGAAGATAGGAAATGGGACTGGTGATACACTGAAAAGTCAGAAAATGGGGCCCTTATAAGCGTTGAGGTGAGGCGTCCAACCGAGGCCCAACGTAGTCGATAGTTACGAGCGAAATACTATCTGTGGACAGAAACTTTCAGTGTAGGACCTCGTATAATGATGATACGAATACAGACCCGACGTGAACAAATGCGAGAGTTTCGAAAGACAGATCGGCACGGTCCGTGCACGGTCCTCATCCCGAGACAATGGACCAAAGTGATGGACACAACCGGACAACTTATGGTCGGTTTCCTTCAACTTCTCGGCCACTCAGAGCAAGACAGCTCTTCGTCTCCATCCAAGGCCACTGCAAATGGAAACGCTCAAGGGCAGGACAGGACTCGACAAATAAATAAGACCGTGAATGGACACGAAATTGACGCAAAAGGACGGGAAACGTCGATATCTCTCGTTGCGTCCAAGACAAGTCCATGGTGCACCATCGCGATCAGAAAAATTAGATTGCCCTATATGTATTGCAATTCCCTAAGAGGTATGGATCGCTGGTAATCTCTTTTTCTTTCTGATCTTTTTGTTGCCACAGAGAGGCACAAAAGATATCTTGCCGCATGACGCCACATGTGGCGCGTCACGACAGAAATGACCCAGGGCTGCCAAAACAAAGAATGTAGAGCACTGTCAAAGAACGTCCGACAATAGGGCAACAAGCGAGAGCACAGACAAGAAACGCAATAGTAGCCTGGACATGGAGCTCGGTGACACGATAGCGTAATGGGGACACGAAGAACGATTGGTCAGCATTGTTTCATGGGAAAAAGGAGGAGATGGAAATATACGACGGCGTTGATGACAGTCGCGGCACGAGGGGTAGAGGCCGTCGAAAATAGTGCAGTTGCGTACCTAGAAAAACGGGTGAAAGAGCGTGTACATCGAAAGAGGAGACTTCTGTACACGATCGCGAGCTACGAACAAGATCGTCCTCGACTTACATAGCAAATCACCCTGTTGATGTCAATGCAGGATGAATAAAGCGGACGCTTGGGACGACCTTATACCTAGAAAATCGATGTAAGGTCGGTACCAGACTCCACCGGAGGACAGAGATTGGCGCAGAAAGCCTTCGGGAGTCCGAAGGCATGTCCCGATAACTGTCCCAGGAATGTTAGGCGAATCGGTTTCCCGAGGATCCTCCATCCATCGAAAGACAATGAAAGGCCAAAAAATGGGACCTGCCGGGACGAAGATAGACTTCGGTGCCGATAGGTGTATCGTGACGGATCAAAGTCAACGCGAACTGGAAGGTTCGAGTAGGAGGGGGGCGTATTGGTATCGAGGTCCGATCCCAAAACCCAAAAGTCGGGCGGTTCTGTACTCAAAGTTTGGGAGGTTTTCTGTACTTTTGTGGATCGGGTAGCCCAAATAAGGGCACCTTCCGTACTCACGCGGGATTGGACCTTCTCCCAGACGAACGCCCAAAACACTGTCAATTTGACACAGAATCGTCTGTGCGGTGGCGTACAGTGTTGGAGAGTGGCAGTCGGCGTCCAAGCCTGAACACATACAACGAAATTGTGCGCATAGTGATCGGACCTAGGCAGTCCTGCCAGCTTTCCGTACGCACAAGGGATCGGACCAAGAGGCAAATCCAGGCCAGTCATGTACGCACAGGATCAGACCTCACGTCGCATTTGCGACCAAAACAGTACGCATAGGGATCGAACCTCGATACCAATACGCCCCCCTCCTGTTCGAGTACACCCGCAGCACGCGACCACTATCAGGATACAGTGAAAGAGTTTGCAGAAGTGTCCGCGAATCAAGGTCTGGTGCAGAAATCGGGTGCAAACCGTAGTGTAGATTATGGGACAGATGTATTACAGATACAGATGTGCGAAACTGTAAGGAGAGAAGAGGGTGTTGTATGAGATCGCGGAAGAGAAGATATAAAAGAGAAACATACGACGAGACTTCTAATACTAAGTGGACTGTGATGTAGATTCTAACCTTCGACGGAGGTCAGCGAGCGAGCTAGTAAATGAAATTCGACCAACGAACCTATCAAACGAGACGCTCACGCTCATAGCAGGTGCCTTATATCCCCTCCATATGTCTCGTTCACCAACTCGACTGCCTTCCTAATTACATCTCTATCGCTTTGAAACGTCGCCCTCTCCAACGCATCGCCCACATCCACAAACTCACTCACATAACTCTCCACCGCCGTCTGCGTACCCTCCACCTTCTCCTCCTCCGCCTCATCCACCACCGTCACAAACCACCATATCATTTTGACTCCTCCCACCTTCCCATTCTCTCCTCCGTTCGGCACGTTCCTCAGCGTCATCATGAACGGTTCCTCGCAGCCTTGTACCACTTCCACACAGTCTTTGGTTTGAGATCCGGGGAGGGGAGCGCGGGTGGCTAGAGTGAGAGGTAGGAGTTTACAGGGATAGCCTGTTTCCTCGAAGGTTTCGCGGGTGGCGGTTGCGGTGATCGCTTCAAAGCGATCTTTGCGACCTTTCGGGAGGAGCCATTCCTGCCGACCCGTATGAAGAATGAGGCAGACTTGGAGTGGGGGTAAATTCGATGGCGACGAAGCTCTTGCAGACGATGTCTCGGGACGTGGATGAGGGTCGTGGCGAAAAAGGATGGAACCTGCACAGACGAGAAACTCATCGGCGGTGTATTGCATCGTCGGTAGTTTCGAGGTCGCCATCGCTATTGAGCTTGACGGAGATGGAATGATGAGGGTGATGAGGGTGTAAGGAAAGTCTTGGTTACGATGGAGGATGCATCTAAACGAAAGAAAAGACAAGGATAAAGATGACTGCTGATTTCGAGGCTGACTTGGATCGCAACTGCTCCCGCGCCGACTGTTCCTGATCGTTCGCTGCCTTACGTCATCCATCCCTTCCGTCGATGCCGAACGGTTCCGTGTCCACCCGGGCTTCGCTTTTTCTTCCAGAACCACGACGACGATAGAGCTGAGCTCGCTGTTCGAAACGTCTAAGGCAAAGACTCGCTTTTGCATTACCGTTACCTTCATGAATGTGCTCTGACACCTTATTATATCCAGTCTTTTCTCGGGGTCTCTCGGCGTCGGCTTCTGTCCTCCAGGCTTTAACTCAACCGATGGCCTTGCGACGGTACATCCGCCGGACGTCGTTCATGTGTCGTTCAACTCTGGCTAATGCGGGCTGTTCTCTTCCTTCAAATAAGTGATAGATGCACTAGACAAAAGCTGTTTCTCGGTCCCGAGAGTTCCTGTCATACCTTGCTACAGTACTCGTAGCGTTGTGTCAGCGGACGCTGGCCTATGGTATCGCTCGGAATCGTAAACCATCTCTCGCATCAAAGGGTAAGGTAACTATATTTTTTTAGCACGGAGCCTACTCGCTCGGTACTCTATCATCAAGTGCCAATCCAGGCGCAGTGGACTGATCAACCGCTGCGAAGATGAGGGTCTGCAGCTTGATTTCTTCCATCGATGATAGAAATCTTTTATCAAACTTCTATGGACGGTAGAGCTTCCTCAATTGACGCTCGGTCGACAGCTCTCGTCAGGCTCAGCCCCAATCGTGAAAAACGCTGCATAAAATCGGCGGGGGGCTGAGCTCTCGCTGACAGTATTCGCCCCGCTCAAAGACTCAGAGAGAGCACTATCATTCATGTATAATGCCCGTCATTGGCGCAGCTTTACCATCCGAGCTCGACTTGGCCTTATCTTTGAACCGACAAGTGTTTCTTCGTCTCTCTTTTTCTGCATCATTTGGACTCTGTGGATCATTCCCCGCGAATTCTTCTCTCTATTTCTTTTTCGGACCAGTTTCTGGGAATCTGATGAGCCTTGTCAGATGGGTATCAATCATATACGTCTCGTGGGGGTGAAGATCGATGGTACTCATTTTATTGACGCTCAATTTCCAGTTCGCATATGGTCTCATCTGGAGTAGGCCTTGAGCGGCCGAGGTATTGGATGAAGTCGAACGGTTGGTTCCTCGTGCGTTGACCTCTTTGACCTTGCCTCTCCATCTGTCGCCAATCAGTCTCTGTCTCCTCGTATTTTCATGCCGTGACGTGGTCCGGATCAACGCTCCGCCGCCGTTCACTCCACCTCACGAGGAGCCTCACGTCGTCGATGGAGCGTTCCCTCCCGAAGCTACGGACGGAGATGTAGGTGTCTTCGAGGTATTTTGCGTACCTAGAACTGTCGTAAGGTGTCTCGTTGTGCTTAGCCGCTCAGTGAATACGTCCGTTCCTCGTGTTCAAGACCGCCATTTCCGCACTACAACATTAGTGGGATCTTTCCTTCATCCCCTCCACTACTGCATCGCAGCCCTGGTAATTACTGGAGATAACTACCTATTGTTTATAGGTCTTTCCGTGCAACATCGAACTTGACCACGCAGGGGACTGTTTGTTGATGGAACAGCCATTGTACTGTTCCGTGCCCCGCGGTACTAGGGCCCACGGGAAGTTTGATAGAGCTTCAGGCACGTTCGTCTGCCTCGACCTATCTCTTCTTGACTCTTCTTCCTTCTTTGTGTCTCGACCTTGATGATCACTAACTGCGTCATTCGTCACCCTCCCTGCTCCTTTCCTCGTCCTCCCCCGGGCCTCCGTTACACCACCAACTCCGAATAGATCCGTGAATGAAACAGAGGACTGCTCAACCGTATGGCAGTCGAAAGATGCAGGCGCTAGATAGGAACATTCTTCTGTGACCGAGAACAAATCCGGAGAGAACTAGGAGATCAGAGCATGGAGCAGGAGGTCTGTCCCCGCCGTCTGACAAGAGTACGGGCCGTTATCGATTATTGTACCATCTACTTCATAGCTATGTCGGCCTTGGGTACCCTTATTTGTGCTGACTTTTTTGCTTGCGTTTCAACGGGGATGTATAGAACGAAAACGGCTTTACTTGACCGTCCGCAGCTGCCGACAGGCTCGTCGTGAGCGCTGACAACAACGTAACCTCTATTGAGTGCTTGTCCCTCAAACGTTTATGGACTAATGCCTTGATTTACCGTTCGGGCCAGTACTACATATTATACTGAGCCCGTTTCGGGTGTCTCTGCGGCTGCATGGACATTTACACTATGCATATGTCCTGGTCTATTTTTGAAGCCATCAGAATAGGCCCTAAGCTCCCCCGTCAGAAGATCAGTCTCCAAACCGCCGCCCTACTTTTAATCAGGACCGTCCTTTAGGAGCGTTAATTCTTCGGCGTCTGTGCTTGCAGCGTCTCGCCCTTGACTATTCAACAACAGGAAATCATCACCACTGACTTCGTCCAATTATTTGACTATGCCCTAGCGTCTCTTACGGTCCTAGCCTCATCATATGACAATGTGACCCTCAAAAGTGCACGGTCACATACACAACTTTTGAACTGTCCAACACGGACCCAATTCATTTGTGGCGCCGTTTCAGATCGTACTTCCTCAAGGTTTCATCAGAACCCTGTGGGTGCTAACGGCGAGTACTTCATTACCGTGGTTGGTGACCACTCGTTCAACCCCATGGATAATTTTTCATCACTGATCATTCAATATTGCTGTACAGAAAAAGGAATGTAGGAATGTGTACTCACGAAAGGTACATATCTAACGTCGGATCTCGAACTCACCGAGACCGACCTGAGTCTCTCATATAAAGCCGTTGGATTCTCGTAGGATTCACAAACCACAACACCGTACCATCGTCTACGCAGTACGCTATGCAGTTGTTCAACTCTCTCTCTGTCGTCCTCTCCATAACTTTGCTTGCCACCATGAGCCATGCACAATCAACTGGTGGCATCGCTCACAACCCTCGTACGTCTATCAAACTTGTGCACCCTTTGCGTTGTCTTCATCCTTGATGTATCACTAAAATTGACAATATCATAGTCGAAGCTTGTGTCGGCGTCGCTCAAGGAAGCTTCTGCGAGTATTACACCAGTCCTGACTGCCCACCAACTGGACCAGGAATCAACGAGGGTTGCCTCATCCTCGCTGGGCGTATGTTGCTTTCTCCTTAGTTCGTTCATTTCGGCAGCGACTTACCGTCTCGTGACTTGTAGGTTGCGAGCCAGCGGAAGGAGCGGGATTATACTGTGACACTACGGTGGCATAGATGGTTGCGTCAATACTGGTGGGGTGAGCAAGGCGATATGTGGAGCCGGAGGAGGTGTTCGATCGTTTATTGCGTTGTTCGTCTATGAAAGAAATATAGTCAACTTTGAAGCGTTGAAGGGAGAGGTGATGTTCCCTCTGTTACATAAAGTCTCCCGTTTGTCGACTGGTCTAAGGGAAAAAAGGAAGGAAGGTCCTCTTTTTGTCCCTTGACGAATCGCACAGCGATTAGGGTCAGTTTGAAGCTGATAAAGGAGCCGCGAATTGCTCACGGGGGTTTTAACAGTCTGAAGCTCTCCATATATCTAGGCGGCGAACAAGGTGACGTTTTCATTCTTGAGGAGGCTGGTTGATACAGCTCATCTCGCACACATCGCAGTTAATAAATATATTCCACGCTGTATACCTCTTTGACCTTGCGATATAAGGTCGAGGGTTCATCAGAAAATGGACAGCTAGGATATTCTTCGACGTCTAAAAGCCTTCATCGAAGAAAGCATTATATACGGTAGGATGATAACATTTTAAGTCTAATTCAGATCTCAAACGATGCGTCAATCTAGAATTCGCCTGAACGAGTCATTACTCTCATCTAGCGCATCAAAACTCTATAGTAGCGTGCATGCCGTCCGCCCTACAGATACGATGCACATTGAGTATCCAACCCATGTACGTTCGCTGACGACGATCGAAGAAAGCGGGGGACCGAGGAAAGAGCGATATAGAGAATAGAGGAGTGCGATGGAGCGTCGTCTAAACGTGGGCCTCCGAAGAGCGATCGCTCATCTGGCATGGTGTGGCGTGGGTTATGAACGAAGTAACTTCAAGGAGTAACTTTTCTCAGCCAAAAGTTACTTTTTCGTACTTTTGGGCAAAAAGTTAACTTGACACACAACTTTGTGACGGAAGTAACATTCGTAACTTCCAAGTAACATTTGCATACCTCTAACATCTTCCTCACTGGTGCCCTCCAGCATCGTATAAATATCCACATCCACATCATTTGTAGTACCTCCATGCTTGCCAAACCATCGGGTATCTTATCCAGGTCTGGAACGAGAGTATTGACGCGGTGATCACAATTAAGTCTCGATCACATGCCGGAAAGCGACAATCCTAACTTCTCATTGATTTTACCATGGTACGTGTTGAAACAGAACACACACATACCACCTGTTATAAGATTTATGTGGCTATAATTTGTGTGAAGCTCGACGTTCTCAGTCACCATTATCACTAGGCCTTAACAAGTCGTATCCCTTGGATTTCCTATACACCAACGCAATGCTTCGATTGATGTTAGTTATAGTCCTCTTTGTCACAGAGAAAGCTATAGATTGCTCGCACGAGTCTGTTCCAATTTTCCAAACATAAACCAGATACTCTAGTCACCGCAAAATTGTTCATTATTCCCCCAGCGGTGGTGTCTACGATTGTCTCTGAATGCCTTGAAGGCCCAACAGGCGTCCGTTGAGCACACTGTGCTAAATGTTAAGTGTCATGGTAAAATCACGAAAGCTCTTGATATGTGGAGGGATTTAAATGACCTTACTGTCGCAAAACAATAATAACGGCGAGTATTCACCATTTGAATTGACATTCGGTCTAGTGGCACTGGCATGGACACAGTTGGCCTTCGTCATCAGTCCCTCCGCAGTGAGGTATTGATTTATTCTTTGTGTACCATGTACCGCGTACAAAAGCCATCACCTAGATTAAATTGGCCAAGTTAACTGTGCTGTTCCCCAAAGTAAGAAATGTCAGTCACAAGTTAAGTCGTAAACGTTCCAGTTCATGTTACAATATCAAAGTTAGCTAGGTCACTTTAAGTGACCTATTGTACTTCGACTGATTCGAGCCACTTGATTCATGACATCTTAAATATCATGGTGCTGGTCGACATCGTCAACAACGAAAAGAAACTATCCATAATTATATTCTTAGAAGCTCCAGGACTAACCCAACCTTTATACTCCGAAGGGTTCAGTTACACGTTACGGGAAGGGTGTTTACGGGTACGATACATATGTGGCTGCGAGTTATTTGAGTTAAATACGGAAGTTACGTAGGTACATTCACTCCCATCTTCTCTCTTTCCACTCTTATAAACTGACCAATATATAGCCACGGTCTCTACCCGTACATTTACGCTAAGCTTTGAACGTCCGTACCAACATGCTTCCCACGTTTTGACCGCCTCAAACTATTTCCTTCGACCATATCCTGCTTTCCATGCTTCTCCGACATCATCATCACATGTGATCCCTCCAAGTCGGGTGAGCTTTGCTTTTCGAAGTGAACGGAGTGTGCTTTCGATTTCTTGATTGGACGAGGCTTCGGTGGGGGTCCAGTAGGCGCAAGATCCACTAGCCTAACGCTAAGAGATGCCCCGGTAAGTCCTGCACCATTACCGGCAGGCCATATATAAGGAGAACCATTGTCCGTACGGACATGGACAGGGCGAACAGATGGGTGAAGGTCTCCGGCAAAAGTGAATAAACGGTCGGCCTTGGTGTGAGTCCATCCGATGCGCCCAGACTGATTCAACTCAGCCTCGGACTGACCCTGCGATGCTGCGACAACGACCTCTGCGAGTATCCAAGATCGGAAAAGACGACCTTCCATCCATAGAGCGTAGATGTGATCGTCATCTTCGGGCTGACGGCGTAGGTAGGTTCGAACGATGACGAGCTGAAGCAGGAGCTGAGCAGGGCCGTGGAGTCGATGTGTTGCCACATCAACATCAAGGGTCGTCTTCTTGTTTCGAGTGATGAAATGACGGACATAGGTCTCCATGGCTATGAGAGTGTCTTGCATGATGGAGAGATCTCCCGGAAGAACAGGGACGCCACGATACGTGTTGAGGAACTTGTGGGACGTGATGTGACTCTGTGTTAAAGGGTCGCCCATCGCATCCCGACGCCAGTTATCATTGAGCCATAGGTCCATGATAGGATGAGTTTCACTGAAGATCGTCGAATCGATGACCGCCAGAGCGGCATTATCCAGAGCCTCTGCTATGGTATGATTCTGGTACTTCCTTTCGACGGCATCTTCAGCGAAACAAAGCGGCAAAATAATATGAGGAAACTAGAGCAGTAACAAAAATGAGTCTCAAAATATCGAGCGACAAACATAAGCAAGCATACCTTCAGCCACCTCGATTCTACCTTAACCTTTGTCCTCGAAGCGACACACTCCTGTATAGTACGTTGAAAGGAGCGGGAGGGTTGAAGGCCATTCGATTTGGGCCAGTTTACAAACTCGAACAGCCATTCCAGTGACGCAAATCCTTTCTTAGCAGAGAGTATGCGAGCCGGATACAGCATATCGATTGAGTCGTTGCAATGCAAGAAAACAATCGAACCAACACTGAAAAAAATTGGATCAGGATACAGTTCAGTGAAACGGACATTGACTAGGTCGTCTGCCGAGAAGTTCGAGTGAACGTACTATGATTCGTCCCAGATTGGCTGACCACGACAGACTGGACAACGCCATTTGAATTCATCGCTGTTGATTTGCTCAGCATCTTCGGGCAAATCGTCTTCGAAGTGTTGGCGAATACAGTCCGTGTGCGAGTACCTCTTGCACATAGAGCATTGCAGCGTATCCCGGTCCTCTCCTACAACGTTTCCATCCTCCTCATCGCCGCAACCACTGCAGAAGATTGGCCATGGCGACATACTACGGTTCGACGATGAATCTGATCCGTCCAGACCTTGCGCTTTCTTCACCGATGCTTCTATCGCGGCTAGCATGAAGATGTCGACATCATCCTCGTTGTTCTTGGATCCCTTGTCCTCCGGTGTCGGTAGGCTATCGGATTGGGTGACGAGGGCGGTGTTAGCTGCAATGGATTTAGGGGATGGGATGCCGTCTGGTCCGGAAAAATCGAAGCGGTCTTCAGGGCGTGCTTGATCGTATGTCGGAGCGGGTACATGGGCAATATAGTGACGGAGAATTTGATCAATGCCCTGAGTCGAAGTCTGATTACTTATATGTTTAGTATACAATACACAGGTAGAGAATGACATTGGAAACGTACACCAATGTCGGAGGTTCTAACATACATCCATGTATACGCTAGCGGATCATGCTCTCGAAATACAGAGCTGGATCCTACTTCTTCCAACCTCCCAGAATTCCGCATACCATCGTAAGAGTATACTCTGCCTTGATGCAAAACATGCGCGGTGTAATGACGAGGAGCTGTTCCATCCGTGGGCGTTGCTCCGTGATAGCGTATGCAGCCCAATAACTCGTATTCGACGGGAGGGGCATCGGAATGGGTGATTTTAAGACGCATAGAATGTCTTGGAAGAGGCCGGGAAGGCTGAGCGTTCGTACCAGGGGCGATCTGCAAAATCGCCGGCCAAGATGTACGTATGGACTGAAGCTGCATAATATGGGAACATCGCCGTTTAGTACATGGTGTGGTCTCGAGAGTATGCAAAAGAGTGGTTGCGTAGGATGAGCCGAATTTTCGTCGAGGAATAAAGTGATCGAACAGGTCCTGAAAGTTGAGATATGTTAGGTTGAGTAAAGTCCGACACCCGTCCTGGTCTTCCGGTACAAATCCCACTCTTACTTCTGGAGGAGAAGCAGAGACGTCCAGTGTATGACCACATGTACAGACGTAAATGAGATTGTGCTGGATGCCGAAGTGTGGCATTGCTGCCTTGTTGACAGATTCGTCCTGATGTGCCGGTTGTGTCAGTAAAATACCAAGGCCAGTTTTTCATAAACGAAGACAAGTCCAAGGAGACGGAGAACTCACCGAAAATATCTTCCCTATCACGCTCTCCGAAGTTCCATACCGAGCAGATTTGGGATCTCCTGGATCGCTGGGCTCCCCGATCTCCCAAGTATTCTCTACCAGCTCCTTGAAAACTGCTTGCATATTGCTGAGCATATTTATTCCACTCTCCTCCGACCGATAAGCCTTCTCTGACCCGACGACCCACTTGTTACGCTCATCGAAATGTGATACTAGATCTTGGAGAACGGAACGTTTAGGTTTTCGACCACGACGTTTCGTCCCGTTTGCGAGAGAAGGGAGAGTAGCCTCGAGGAGTTCACGGCGTATGGCAGGCGAAAGACCGGCGAAGCAGCGATACAGTAACTCGAGAGGGGAATCCCAGAAGCAGGAGTTTGGAGACCGCCAGCGGTACCCTTGAAGGACGCGTTGAGAGAGGTCAGCGGTGTTCGATTGTGCTGGAGTAGAGGCTGGTTTGGTAACTGTGCTACGGGCGCGCTTTGCTGATGGTTGCTTGACATTTGAAGATTTCGACTTGTCCGATTTTGAACCTAGTACGATCACAAGTTAGCTATGCACAGGAATTAACAAAATACGAATGAAGCTACCTTTCTTTGTTGCAGCTGCTGCTAGGAGATCTTCGGTATCAGGAGCCCTCCCATCATTCGGGTTCCATGATCGGGTGCGCTTGCGCGAACTGGGTTGTATAGTCTGTGGCGGACAGTGCCCCGCTGGTTGTACATTTAATTAGCGCAATGACACGAAGTAAGACATGGTAAAGCCGATGATAGTTACCTAGAACCGCATTATACAAGGCCTCAATCTCGTTAACATAGAGAAAGATACCCTCCAGACCAGGAATAAGTGCCTTGTCGGTCCCAGATGCGCGATGAAGAACCGAGTGTTTCGCCTCGACAGGATTTGATGTTCGTGGAATATGATCCCTGAGCGACGGGTCGACGGACGACTTTGCGGGGAAAATCATCGAGGCGACCCAAGGTTGTAACCACCAATCTAGCCAACGAGCCACTGCAGGGAATCCCTCGCGCAACTCTATGACAGCTTGATCGAATGCTTCCAGGCTTGTATCGTCAGAGCTCAGGACGCGTGTTAAGTGCTCGAAGGAAGAGACGAGAGAACGTGGGACGAGAGCGCCGTTTCTGGTGAGACGTATGATAGAGCGCTGCCAGTGAATCTTGCAGCCAACGGCAAACTCCTCCGCCTCTCTGCCTATATTCTGCCTAGCTTCCGTCTGAGTCTCCTCAGACATACGATCGAGACCCGTAATTAAAGACATGCATAGATCTGTATACTCGTCGACGAATGCTTTGCGTTGAGCGGCTGAGAAGTCCATGACCTGAGCCAAATACGAATGTCGGTAAGCTGACGACCGGAAGACGAAATAGCAGAGGACGTACCTGGGCAAGTACACGACGATTCCACTGGGGACCTGCCGCTTGACGGATTTGCGCGAAGAGAGTACGGAAGTGAGGGCGGTGGTGCTGTGCATCGAGTGAGCCCATCCAAGTATACTGAACCGGAACCCATGCGCGTATAGGAGCGCAGAAGACGCATGTAACGATGAGATAACCTTCGCTGAAATACGAGTTATCGACGTCGGTAACACTCCCAAGTCGTCCCATGGAAACATTGATATCTTGGTCGACGGAGCTGGAAGCAGGATCGAGATCGTCGGCGTCTCGAGGCCAAGATTGGACGGCATCAACGAGACAAGCTTTCATGAATGGTGTTTGGAGTGTGATGAACTGAGGATGGTGGAGACTGGAGTCGGTGATGAATGCACCGTGGGTATTCTGAAGCTTTGCGAACGATGCGAAGATACTAGCTGCACTCTTAGCCCCTGAGTGCGACTCTATGCCTAAGCGGGATTTAGACTTGGAAACCTGAGCGCGAAGGAAGCGGCCGTTTGAAAGAGTGGGGGAAATCTGGTGGAGAGGGACGGAGTGAGATCCCGGACGGCCGACCTTAAGCTGGTATGGTGTAGAATCTGGGTATAAGGCAACCTGTTGATCCAAGGCCGTCTGCTCCGCCAGCGAAAGCGCAGATCCGCCTGGAGGACACGGATGATCATGAGCCTGGTCGCTATGCTCCCAAGCAAACCATAACTCTCCGTTACGTTCGAAGTCCCAGTGCCAAGTCTTGATTCCACATCTACGGTGAGTGTACATCTTGGAGGAGCACCGTGACTGATCGCAGACGATCGCATGCTGCGTCGAGTCGCGAGTAGATATCTGAGTCTTTGGTCGTTTGAGATGCCCACAGCCATTGCAGATGAGGACGCCTAAGCACTTTCGGCCTTCCTTCATGAGATCGTTGTGCATTTTCTTCCCGGTAGAACGCCATACCAGCTTTGTCAGCTTCCATTGTGGAAACGCATCGCTGGCACGAATTGTCCTACGCTGGAATTGTCGTGGGACGTCGAGTTCTAGCGACCAAATTTCATTCAGTTTCGACTTTCCGACAGAGTCCACAAAATACGAGACCTACCGTCGGACAGAAGATCCTTAGGCTCTATATCAACGTGAGGTAGATGCGCTGGGGGATTCTTGAGAGAGAGGCTCATGTTTTGAGGGGTTATAGGCGCAGGAATATGGTAGAGAGGTGAAGAAGCAGTCGGAAATGAAGGTGGAAGAGGCGTGGGTTGGAGCGGAGCCATCGTTCCCGGATTTTGTTGTCGCTCAAGCTGCTCGATTCGCATCCGAAGATACTGCAGCTCTGTCATTGACTCGGGTGGATTTGCGGCGACGTTTTCAGGCTGGAGACGTTCGAGGGAAGGGGATGGTATGGCGAACCCGCGAGATGTGCTCGAGACGGTGACTCCATGCTGAGAAGGAATGAAAGAGAGTAAAGAGTGTGGTGTTGTGAATGAAGGAATGGAAGTTGGTGCTTGTGCACGGGTATAGGGGATTGATGCGAGGTTCTGATTCGAAGGAACACGGATGCCATCTGTGTCGTTTGAAAGAGCATGTATCAAACATAGTCAGATTACTAAGACTGTGACTGTTCGAAGGCCTAACTTGTGACGCACCTGAAGGAACATATACGGCCTGCCTTAGCTCTTGTACTTCATTCCGAAGACCGGAGACTACCTCCAGGACGTCGCGGATGCCTGGCTCGGGAGGTACGGCGGGGTCACCAGCGCCGGAAGTGTCGAGTCGGCGTAGGAGGCCCACACGGTCGAGAAGGATACGAAACATAGGTGTTGGTCGAGCTTCAGCAGAGAGGATAAGAAAGGACGACGCTCAAAAAAACTGCTAGCACGTTAGCATAGCACGCACGCGAGGCCCCGGCGGTATCGACGGAGGCAAATGTTCAGGATGACATGCCGCAGGTCAGGAACGTTGAGCTACAACCTATGCAGCCTGTATGGTTGCGATGACAGTCACCAGTATGCGTAAATGATCATTTACTTGTGAAAACTACCGCAAGCTCAATCTGTAGACCATCAAGTTCAAATAGGGGGCGGAGAAGTAACGTCTTCACTATCCAAGTAAGAAGTGTCGCCTCTCAAGTTAGTTTTCCTCTTGCCAAGTAAATAATGTCAAGTCACTCGGACAAAAGTTACTTCAAGTTACTTCGTCCATGAGACACAAGACGGCTCAAATCACTTGCGAGAGCTAAGATGCCCAGCACAGGCTGGTGAGAGTCGATACATCTAAACACCGCTCACGGCGATGTGTTCCGGGACATTGGCTCCGCCGCATCGGGTCTGTGAGCCGCGAAGATGCGACAGCGCAATGACAAGGAGGCATGGCCTCTCATTCCTTAAAATCATGTTTGAATCACAACCAGTGTGATTGACCTGTCGTACTAAGCATAACCAGTATCACCAGACAGAAAAAATGGACTTTCCAACATTATTGAAGTCTAAAACGAAGAATTTACCCAGAAATAAAGCAAAGTCATGCTATGACGTCACGTCGCTGTAGGAAAGGCCAAAATCATGCCAGCTGTGCAGTTACACGACGTCATAGGCAGTGTCCTGTGACATGGAAGACTTACCGGTTTCCAGTGAGCTCGGCCATTCAGATCTTCAGACTTCGTGAAAAGCTTGATGGTCCGGACATGTTGCAGTTATGGACGTGGGATTGCAAAGACAAGGAAATGTCAATGCCGGCGCTGGAAATCACGACAAGACGTCATGTCGCTGTACAGTGCAGCAACACGACGTCACTCTGGCACTTGGAGGTCAAGAAAACAATATGGATGTGAGTTCGATGCAGCACTGGGACTGCATCGAACTCGCATCCATATTGTCTGAGTAGATTACCCTTTTGAGCAGCGCAATGCCTCTGTCAATCGTTATGCACTGATGCCAAGTCCAGTCACAGAGTGCATGGAGAGGGAGTCTCAACAGAGTCTTGGACGACAGCAGAGTGATTGTATGACATCGTACTTAAGATGTCTCATTTCTTCCGAGGTACTTAATGTGAAGCCTGAGCATAAACCGACTTGAAGAATTGGCACTGTCGTCGAGACGTGGAGGTGATGGTGATAGACGAAGAGCATCTGATCTGTGACATCGAGACTCTGAAGCGGCATCACTGAGGAGTTAGGGACCCAAGAATAGGAGCGATGAGCCACTCAGTAGCAGTGAACTCGCAGATAGTATAAGAAGGTGTCCTGTGAGGGAATAAGTTTGCATGATGGCCCAGAGGTTCCAGGTTGTCTGAAAGTAGCCTAGCCGTTCGTGTAGAGTGCGCGGACACAATCATGTTCAAGAAGTTAATTACGACGCTTTCGACCAGCGTGGGAAAACTAAAAGTTAGATGTGGCACTTTATTTGGCGGGGAAAAGTTCGCCGAAAAGTAACTTTATTCAGACTCTGTGGCGTGGTGGATGGTTACTAGCCGGAAAGAGAGGCGGAAGTGAAGACTCTGGGTTTATGAGGATGCAGCATCCGCCTTGCCCATCATGCGCCATTCACGGTCGGCAGCTGCTGTCTTTGTATCTATCTGGGGCGATGTTGGAGGTCAGCACACTGGGTGAATACGCCAAAGAAAACGAAGGAAGAATGTTCCACACAGCGATAGAGACATATGTGGAAGCGGTCAAGGCAGTAGATTCGTGGAAGGTGATAATAAAGAGATGTACGCACGGGTAAAGGAGCGTATAATGGCCTACCAGTCATGTATTCCCCGTTTTTGAACATCGCGGGAAGCTCTCCCTGTGACAGTAAGGGTTACGAATCGATCAGCTAATCATGATACAAGGGGAAGAGGTGACGATTGGACGTACGGGTATCGGAATCGCTGAGACTGAAATCAGGATCGCAGAAAGGAAGACGACGTGGCAGCAGATGCGATTCATAGTATTCGGTAGTGTGGAGTATAAGCTATGAGTTAAGCACAAGTCAAAGATGCGAGGATAGGGAAGCGGCGAGGGGGTTTTAGGGGGGCGGGGAGGATAGTGGAAAAGATCTGAAAATGCGACGATGGCCTAATGGGGGCACCTAATATATACAAACAGGCTGTACCGATAACTTGTCTGTTGATTTGCCCATCCAAGTCCTAGAGAGGATAAGACTTCGCCGTAACTGCGACATGACCTCAGACTGAAACATCCGCTTGGAGAGCCGTCGCAGAAAATCCGGAGAGGAGCTTGGCCTTTCGGTTCGGTGCGGCGCGTTGGGAGCAGAGAATAACGGCGACATACATGCGATGATGGCGATCTTGTCCGCTACGGAGTGGTCAGCAAAAATTAAGAGTTTACAGATGGGTATACAATGCGGATGGTGTTCGAAGAATGTCGATTTGGTTCCGTAATGTGCGGATGTGACGTCGTTAGGGGTCTCATCGCGAGAGCGCAGCCCTAGCGGTGAACTGTGTGCAAGGATGTCGACGGTTCGCTGGAAAATGAATAAGGCTCGTCAAGTGGCTTGATATCATTATGAGAACGGAGCATTGATATCCGATACTACCTCGAGCATAGCAGCTTTCGAATGTGTAGACCCATACTCAAAAGCTTAGGGATACTGAGTCCATTGTGCCACATTTGCAGTTTATGGTCTACAAGGCTCACCAAGTAATCAGCGAAAACTGTGAGCGCCATAAAGCTGCAGTGATTGTGGAGGAAAAGAGATGATGATCATCGCCAACAAGGAGGCTCGCCGAACGGCACATTTTTCGGACCAAAATTCGACCAATCGGGGTTTGCCGAGGTCAGCAATTGGCGGACTGTGGCACTCGAGCTGTCGACTTCGTTTCTGCAAACTGCTACTCGTGTCCCACTCTCATCTCATCTCTACTACTACTCCCTTCTACTCCTACCCATATTGAACCCAAAAGACCTGACACACAAAATCAAATTGATAATTTCTATACGGCTATGAACATGCGGAGCGACGTGGTGCTCTGGAGGCGAAATCGGCTCGAGGGTAGGCTGGAGTAGTTATTTGGCAGTTATATCCCTGTGCGTCACCTCATACTACTTGTGCAAATTGCGTAGTGGGCCCTTACACCGCTCATGCTTCAATCTGTATCTTCTGCATAGGATAGGGATTCCCTCGATGAAGCGACCGGCGAGTTATCCGTCCAAGACCCATCGCCTCTGTCCTCTGTCGAAATTTTGCTATGACCCATGCTTACGCCTTGCTCCACTTTAAGTCTTTGGAAGATCAGTCGTTCAATCTCATGCTGCGCTTTTTGTAGAGAGTCCTCGTCGGGTACGAGAGGGACGTGTGGCTAGCTTGGGGGTCAATCGTGGTGACGTGTTAGACCAACCTGTATGTCGATCCACTCGTCACTTGTTCCATTCTGACACTGATGATGCTACAGAGGTCCAAGAAACGATATTTTCCAAGAATGATTTACGGTCGGTCTATTTTAAAGGTACGCGCCAAGATACATGTTTTACACTCGTGCCCAGGCCTTTCCTGGTGGCGCGCCACACTATTGAGGACGAGGAAGTGATCGCCGACCGCAGTGCCTATCAACTCGGATACAGAACAATGTTTATCAGCCCCCTTGGTGTCCCCGCTGTATTCAAGTTGGTATTCCATCGGGAGACATTCCGGCCTTCTTCCTTTTATATCCTTCAGGATCCAGGTCGATCGGTATACTCAGGTGTGTCTCTTTCCGCCCAACCATTTCATCCTCCCCTGTCGATTCATGGAATTTCCTGTCTTGATATGACGGTGCCTTCTCGTCCACATCTTCAAGGTAGAGAGAAAGAATCGACCACAGGCTCGCGTTACACCATCTAAACTGATGGCCTCTAGAGGCCTGCGACATCCCTCACCGGGCCACAAGACGGCCACATTTTCTGGAACGTCGTTCGTCCTTGTCACATCAAGGCCAATGACCTCTTGTGTGAGAGGATAGGTTATGCCGCCCGTGGATGGCTCAAGGAAAATACCAAAGAGCATCAGAGATGCCTAAGATCTTTGGTCGCCCGTCTTTACTAGTTCGTTTTCCTTGCGCTCTGATCCCCCCTATTTTCTTTGTGAGTGTATCTGCATACACCCTTCTCTCACGCCCTCCCCCAAAATTTCAAAATGCTCCTCTTCGAGTCTGGATGTCGCACTTCCAACGGCGCAGTACTTATCAAGCTCTTCCCCCACCTTATATATAGCTCATTAATCAGCCTTTTTAGCTCACTTTTCGCGCTGTCGAAGACGGCAGCGAAACGTTAACCACACGTCCGTATTGCTACACCTTCGGATGACGACAAGGTACACACGTCAGCACTAGTATTTCGAGCGGCGAGACCATGGTTATCGCCGAACGTTATGGTGCTAGATCGTCGTTTGACACGTAGAAGATCATGACAATGGCACGAGCGATGTCGTCTCATCGGAAACGCTGAATGAGCCACTGAACGTCGCATTTCTCTCCTCGTTTTCACTTCCGCTCGCACCCGACCCTTACCCAGCGGAGTATGTCATCGTTGTGGATGGCTTGTGCAACACTATTGATAGATGACCGAACGTGGTCGCCGCATGGTTTCGCGAATGGGCCGGGCACAGGGGATCAAAGACTGTGCCTGTCTATGTCGTTTGCCTCATTGCTATGTAGACAGAGGTCAGTGATACAGCCACGAAGGCTAGCGCTATTGCTAATGGAAACGTTACATCTGGTGGTGCCTCATACTCGGACCCCGAAGGGGATAAAACTTTATCGAGTTCTTACCGTCACCCTGCCCTGAGTCAGAATCTTCGTTACTTGTCTACAGAGGTCACCTCAATTTTGAATCTTCACATGCGTTTACGCATCTGTTGATTCTGTATTCTGCTGGCGCACGATACGGTGTTCCCTTCGTGACTCAGTAGTCGTCCATGTTCGAATGCCCCGCGCTCCGCTTGGGTTTTGCCCTCACGTCTGCTCCACGGACAATGCAGTCCGCTCTGGGCAGCTCAACTTCAGGACCTCTTCCACTGTGCTTCATATTCTAGCACGCTGAAGATCAGGGTTGTCTGCCTTGCTTGGACGGGAATGCGGTTTACGTGCGTGGTTGATCTTCATTCCGATTCTTCCCGTTGCCTCATCGCCGGTAGGTCGCCCTTGTCCCCAATCGTATGTACTTTGCTACACGGAACGAGGTAAGGGAAGCCATGTCTTTCCGTACCAGTAATGCCCCGTCACGAGTACCATGCTCTCCTCTGTGCACATTTCGCATGTGTGAGCCCCCAAGCGGCTGCTTCTGACCCGACTAGGTGATCTGAATTTTTTTTTTTCGTTCGCGCGGGCGAGACCATTTCCCCTTTTCAATGCCGTTGATGAGCACAACACGTCGTACCAAGGGAGTCGACATGAAACCATCCAAGTACGTCTACAGGCGTTCGGCTCGCGCCAATGCGCTGACGTTAGTATTTGCGACACTTGTCCATGTATATAAGCGATACAAGATCAATTACACACAGACAACGAAACCCCATCTCCTCATGAACGGCCAGTACAGCAACATAGCGCTATCTCTCAAGGAGCATATATCGCCAATGAAACACATTGTTTACAGAGGTCAGTACAATTCGTGTCTTCTGCTCTACCTTGCACTAATTTCCGGCCTTCTGGATTTTGGCGATGGGACACAGGACTTAATATGGCCCTTTTTCATTGGCCTATACTTCTCCTCGCGCCGGCTCTAGCGCTTTGTATATTCTATGCCAACCCGTTGAATTATGGCAGGACAGTACGCAAACGTGCTCAAGTCGCGCCGACGAAGGTGCGTTTTTCCTTCATCATAATGCCAACCCGCGTTTGAACTAGTGTCTGTCATCATCTTGCAGACATCAGTACTACGATCACATAGTCATGTGAGGTAAAAGTCTCACTTCCTACCACTTTTTTTTCTTCGCCTTCCAACTTTTTTCTAGACGTGGAAGGCCGGTTTTTTCGCTTATCATTGGTATCGATACCTACCGTGCCGACCAAATCAACGACCTGTCAGGAGCTGTGGCCGATGCCATCGCCTTCTGCACCTTTCTGTCAACCAACGCCGACCTTCCGTTCTCGGCATCACATGCAACGTTACTCACAAATGAACAGGCGACTAGGACGGCCATACTTTCCGAACTGCATGTTTTGGAATCCGACGAACGTATTCACCCGGGTGATTCGGTAATGATCTACTACGCCGGCTACGGTGGCTCTTCTACCAGCACGACAGGGCAAGGCAAGACTCGTTTCATCCTGCCCTATGACTGCAACGAAAATGTAGCGCCCATATCGGAACAAACCATCGCAGAATGTGTATATCGCCTGGCTCAGGTCAAGGGGAGCGATGTAGTCAGTCAAATTTTCCTGTCTTATTCAAGCTGAAGATAAACGCAGGATATTATTTCATTATTACAGACCGTCGTTTTCGACTGTGGCTGGACAAAACCCTCGATATTCTTCCTCCCGAATATCATGCCTGCCCCACATACACGCTACGCTGACATTCACGCTTCCTTCATTCGACAGGGAGAAGACGTTGGTCGCGAGGCTCATAACCACTTTGCGCCTGGACTCTTCTCTCAGACGACGCATACCCTACTTGCTGCATGTGGAGCGGAGGAGTCCGCGTTGGAGATGGGCGGAAGGGGCGTTTTTACTCGCGCTCTGCTCGAGACGCTCGAAACTGCTGCAGGAGAACAGATCACATACGATGAGGTATTGAAACGAATGCCCGTCATACCAGGGTATGTCACCGTGTCCCTATTAACTTTGCCAGATACGAGCCTTATGCGATCTGATCCATGGCTCTTCTATCGGCATATGCGGAAACTATCTAGGCAGACCCCGCAATGTTATGGTGCCCATCTCCGTCGTTCGATATTCCTGGATTCCACTGGCCCACTCACGTACCCCCTCAAATATCATCATTCGCTTGTCATTCGAGGTTCAACCGAAGACATCGAGGTCGATGCCACCGCTCTAACATCTCATTCCAATGGTCACAAGCTCGTCCGGGGAGAGCGTCGTATCTGCATCTTAATGGAGATGGGACATGACCTCGACAAGGTCTTCAACGGTTTGAAAACGAGATTTGCCTCTGACGGAATAGATACCTCGACAGTCGATCGTATCCAGCCGAATAGCGACCTTCATAAAGCCAACGCCTATCTACGCATATCAGTTGACGGAGGTTTAGCGGTCTTTGACGATCTGACGAGCCATCTACTCGAGGACGCGGCCTCTCCCAATCGACTTGGCGGTTTCCAACGCCTGCCTTACACCACACAGAACGACTTGCAATCGATATACTCCGTAATACGCGCAGGCACAAATTGGTACTACCACCTCATGCGCCAACCCTCTCATCGCTCGCTCTCTAACGATGGGCACGTCACCATCGACTTCACTGAACTCGAGGTCGTGTACGACGAGATCGGGGACCCGTCGTATCTCATCCCATCAGGGTCTAATCTCAATCGTGCTCTCTCTGGACTGGGCAATGTCGTCGATCTTGTAGTTGACGAGAGGAAGCTGTATGGACAGACGGTGAAGAACTCCTCTGGGGCATCTTTATATCCCTACCTCTTCTGTTTCGACAACAGTGATTTTAGTATCAGTACGGATATGATGATCATCTAGTATTTCCTAGCCTTCGCCCTGATCAATTCCGCCATTTACTCATAGAACCGTATTATCTTCCTCCCGTTTCCACCACGAACGGTCGACCCGAAGTTCTCCATATCAACGACACACTTCCCATCGGTTACGGCTCCGAGGCGGCAGTTCCGTGCAGTTATTACCTCCGGAAGGACCAAGATATTGACGTTGCCTATCTCAAGCTATTTTTGACAACGGAATATGTTGATATGTCGGCTCTAGCGCAGGATTCACCTTTCAGTGGTGTGGGAGAGGGGGTAGGCAAGGGAAAGGTGAATGTGAAAGAGGGCGTAGCCTGTGATTGGGACGAGGTGACGGTTATGCTGATTCAGAGACGGTTTGGGGAAGAGTAGGGTCCCGGTATTCGTGGTCTGCGATCTTCTCATAGACTCGTGAAATGTTACTAGTCGTGTACCTTGGCAGTGTATCCGGTGAAGGTGATCTTGGTTGGGACCGGTGATATGACGATTTGGTTTGGATTTCGTCTGACTGCGCTGGTGAGGTAGTACATATGAACGGGCCTGAGAGCTGTGTTGACAGAATTGCGAGTAAATATGGAGACGAGAGTAGAGCGTTATCGAGTGGTTTAGAAAAGTAATTATGTTTCGAGATCATACGTTGGCAGTAAAAGGAGCTGAACGACTGTGGCAACGCGCCACACTATGAACGCACAGTGGGTTAGGGTTACATGCCATCATTCGCCTGAAAATTCAGACAGGAATTCTTTTCTTCCTCCACCCGACATCTTTGCTCATCTTTGGCCAAACGGTTTTCTGTCAGTCCGCCATACCCGCCTTCGAATTACAGCACCATCACCGAGCACAATACGAGCAATCCGTGGCTTGCCCCTAGCCTATCCCATCACCCATCGCACACGCATTGTCAAATGTGTGCGAACCACCCACTGAGCTCTGGGCCGGTGTTAGCTACAGGTCTTGAGGTTGCAAAAAAGGAGAACGATTAGGTCTGTGCGCTGTCTGTCCATTCAATATAAGAAAGTCGTCTATGCTGGTAAACAGCGGGCTCTTCTCTTGTCGTATTCTTGCGTTCTTCTTTTGTCGATCACGCAATTACAGTCCTCGAATGGCTTTTTGCCTTTTGTCTCGATGAGCAATGTCGTCTTATGGCATGCGTTCTGCAAGTCGAGCACGGTCCTACCATGCATGCTTCCAAGTCTCACGACTTCATTGGCACGCCATCTTCCTTAGATGCTTCCTCACCGCCTCGCACAGCGGAATAGCCCTATTCTGCTCCTTGCTCTCACATCTTTCGAATTTCAGGCAACGCCATCCATCTATAATAGGCTCGGTCCTCAGTTAGATCTATCCCCCAATCATGCATTGCTAAGATCGCTCGGCGATGATCTTTAGACTCCGATTCTCTTCTGAGATTCACACAGCAAAGCCTGGCGGGGGAACCTCCGTTCCCTCCTCTCTTGCATACCACCACCATCCTCAGGCCTCATTGACCTGCCCAAGCCCCTGATTGTCCCGCCATCAGCTTATCTTCTCTCGCATCTCTGCGCGGACCGACTCTGTCGAAATACTACAACGATACGTATGCCTTTCGAGAAACAGCAATTGTACGCGGAGCAGCATGGCCTGAACAAGGCCATCGACCTCTCGCATCACCTTTCAGATCTCTCGAAGGCGAGGACACTCAGCCCCTTGAAGGGTTTGCAGAAGCACACTAGACCCGATGCGATTCAGTTTGGAGGAGGTGAGTTGCCATTGCCTCGTACAGCTGTGATTTTTGACAGCGGTTGACTGTGAGGAGAAGCCTCGAGAAGTATGCGTTATGCGTTATTCTGAGATTAGTCGTGGGTACTCTTGCGCGAGGGTCAATTTGTACACTACGGCACTTCTGTTACCGCTTTGTGTGATATGCGGAATCGAGCTTCAGCTCTACTGCTTACACACGACTTTGAGAGGTGTTGTGTGCGGTGACCACTCTTGATGCACAATCGTAATTTGGTGAATGCATGCTGTCATCGTCTTCTCCGAGCTTATGCTCTCTTCAACTTCTCAATCTCACATCTTAATACATGTTCGAGCTCACCAATTCTACCAATATCCACAGGCCTCCCCGCCGCAGCCTACTTCCCCTTCACCTCCCTCTCCGCCGATACTCTCATCTCTAACTCTTTCCCCCTCTCGGTCCCTTCATCCTCCGTCTCTCCCTCCAAGGCTCTCACGCCCACCCCCGCAAACTGGTTTTGGCGTCTCTTCGGTTCCTCAACCGAACAGACCGAAAAGATCGCCATCCCCAAAACGCCCTCCGCCAACGACGAAGGTCTCAACCTCTCCGTCGCCCTGCAATACGGGCCCGCCACAGGCCTTGCCCCCCTCCGCGACTTCCTCCAACACCTCAGTGGCACGGTATACAAGCCCGCCTATTCCGATTTTAGGACGCTCGTGCATACGGGAAACACGGATGGGTGGACGAGGGTCGTGTTCACGTTGTTGAACCCGGGCGTGGGGGACAAGATACTCGCCGAGGAGTGGGCGTTCGCGACTGCGTTGTCCACGGCGAGGCCGTTGGGGGTGGACGTCATTCCGGTGGGTATGGACGGGGAAGGTATGAGTGCGGTTGCTCTTAGGGAGATATTGGACGGTTGGGATGTGGAGAGGGACGGAAAGAAGCCGAGATTGATCTATACGGTTCCCGTGGGACAGAACCCGAGCGGGGCGGTCAGTGCCCTCGAGTAGACGGTTACTTTGGACTGCGGTTACTGATTGACTGTTTCTGATCTGTAGACTATGGGGCTACAGAGGAAGAAGGAGATCTACGACATCTGCGTCGAACACGGTAAGTGTGCTCGTATCACCTTTATCCTTCCATCGTCTCATTAACTCCTTCGCTTAGACATCATCATCTGTGAAGACGACCCGTACTACTTCCTTCAGTTTGGCGAGTACGTGCACAAGTCGCTTCGCAGCCATCAAGCCGACGACGATGAGGATGACGCGCACTACTTCGGCAGGCTGGCCCCTAGTTTTCTTCGGTGAGTGATCGTCCACTCTTACGCTACATGAGCTGACTGCACGTCGCCATTGCCACTCCATCTCCTCCCATCTATTCTGTGCTCATCGTAACTTCCTCTGCTCACCACAGTGTTGACACTCAAGGCCGTGTCATCCGCCTGGATACTTTCTCCAAGACAATCGCTCCAGGGGTCAGACTCGGCTGGTTCACCTGCAACCCCTTATTCGCTGAGCGTCTCGAACGACATGGCGAGACGAGCACGCAGGCGCCCTGCGGTTTGGGCCAGACCTTAGTCACGAAGCTCTTGCTGACCTGGAAGTACGACGGCTACGTTCGGTGGTTGCGTGGTCTCAGAATTCAATACGGGCTCCGCAGAGACCTCTTCATCGACATCCTGAGCGAAGAATTTAACCTCCACGCTTCTGTTGGTTCGGCGTCCATGGGCGCTTGGTCAGGTCAGACCGTCTATACTGCGTATGCGAAGCCGAAGTCGACGTCGTTATTTGGGAGTGCGATGGGTATGATGAGTGAGAAGAGGGCGTTGATCGAGACTCGGAGTCAGAGCCGGAGGTTGTTGAGCTTCGTGGCGCCGAGCAGTGGGATGTTTGTTTGGGTACGCCATCCAACCTCTCCTCGAATCCCATTGCTCGGCCGTACTGATGTAAACGTCATAGCTCAAGCTCTACTTCGACGACCTCCCTATTGCGCCTCACTCTGACCCCGTATCACACGAAATCAAGCTATGGACGAAGCTCGCAGACGCTGGTGTGCTTACCTCTCCCGGGTGGTTCTTTGCTGCGGACCAGGAAGAGCCGCCGACAGACCCGAACTTGGAGGGGCACATGAGGATGAGTTTCTCGACTGCAGATGTATGCTTTTTGTGATTCATGCTGTGTGTCAGTAGCGCTGACCTTTGTTTTTTCGTCTTCGAATGACGTAGGAGGAGTCGATGAGGAAAGGACTGAAGATATTCGCGAAGGTTGTGCGGGAGGTGCATGGGCTATAGAGTGCTAGGTTTCACGAGCTATTGAGTGGCAGGACACCTTGAGGATGCCTATATAGAAGTAAGTTCGTAACCAATGGTATGTTCATGGTTGGCCTGAGGTTGTTCCTCGCATTCTTCGTGTGTATGAGCCATTAATGAGGCTCAATAGCTCGAAATACCCCCATGTACGGATCCGTCGTATGTCATGGATATTGAAACTTGTTTGAGAGAATCCTGTGGTGTCTGTTTTGGAGATGATAGCAAGGTCCATTTGGTGGGCCACAGCTCGTGAATTCTTATGGTTGATCGTGTCAGCACCGCTGTATTTGGGCCGTCGTCACTTCTTTGCTGTCCGTGACCAATATGTTTGGAGTTTAATGACTAACTTGGCTCCATACCTCGTCGAGATAGCGGGCTTTGGCGCATGAGTGCGGCGTTACCAGCCTTATGCAGTGGTAGAGATTTGGGCGCCGAGGTCATTTTGACACGGAACGACTGGGGCGCCTCACCTCTGGGTCCGCCGATTTGAAGTCGATTTCAGCGTATCGTCAATGTTTCCCTCCACTTTCACAATATCGATTTTTGCATTCGCTGATGCGATCTGTACGGCTTTAGATGCGTATGGTCTGCGACAATACATAGCAACTTGAAGCTAGTCCCAGCCTAGTACACCTTTCAAGCAACTTTCAAACCTCGATAGTGGCGGATTGAGTTGTCTGACACGTCAGAATATCATTATGTTGTCATTATGTTTGTACCCATTTCGGGCTACTTCAAGCATCGTGGAAGAGGAAGGAAGATATACTGTAGGAGAAGAAGGGGAAGCCAAGACAAGTGACCAAGGCCCGGGATATCAACACGGTGGCGTGAGTAATTACGCATGCACGTGCACCACATGAACCGATATCGATGACATTGTTCTTTTCGTTCTGGTCCCTTTTATTCTCCCTTCTGGTTTCATCGCATAACTCTCTAACAGCCACACAAGTGACACCAGACCCCCGTCATGCCCACCGTATACCTTGCCGAAGAAGACCCTGATACAGGATATACAACCTTCGTAATTCAGGATATGGGAGACCACGTCTTCAAGCGCGGACCTAGACACTCCCTCTCTGCTCAGCTCGACTCCGTCATCTCGCGTGTCTCTAGATACTCAGGCTCAGACGAACTCCCCCCACAGTACCTACTCGCGCAATTACCAAACTCTCAGTCCGCTTGTCCTTTCTTCAGCGTTATACCCGCCGAAATCCGAAACCGTATATTCTACCTCGCACTCCTCGAGGAAGAGGACCTCTCCAACTACATTCCAGCGGATCTCGATAGCTATCTCTGCTCCAGAGAGCCTTATAATATGTTCCCTGGAATCGCTCTACTCCGCACCTGCAAGCTCGTTTACTTGGAAACCCACCTTCTCCCTATCCTCACCACCACGCACCGAGACTGGCAACAATACCCGGGCCCTCCCTATTATGAAAGTGTACCACCTGGCGTCTTAGCGAAGAATACACGGGAGAGATGGGCGCTGATGACGAGGGAGCAGAAGAGTGCGGTGGTTGGGATACATGTATACGTTGGGGAGGATTGGTCGCGTTGGCAGTATGGCCCATTTATTCCGGATTATCATAGCATGCGGCGGGAGGGGTTGAAGCCCAAGACATTTGCTGTTACGCTCCGGTGGAACGAATTGACGGGGCTAGCGAGGAGTAATCATGACGGGTACGATTGGGATGATGGGGACGGGGACGCGAAGATGAAAACGAACCTATCGTACTATAAAGAGAAGTGGGAGGCGTGGTTCAATACTTTCGGTGATGGGTTGGAGGAGATGGTGATGCATCTCGAGGCGAAAGTGGAACGGCAATACGGGCTCGAGAGAGTCGTGAAGTCTGTGAGAGAGTGGACGCTTAGGCCATTGAAAAATGGAGGAAAGGTTTGGGGGGCGAATGAGGTGGCGTTGAAGAGGGAGATCCGGGAAGGGGTTCCCTTGAGCTTGGGGGGAGTGACTCGGGACGATGATGCGGCGAGACAGAAGGACTACGTGGTGACGGTTACGTGGAAAGCGGTCAGTGGTGTCTTCAACGAGTAGAGCTGCTAAGAATTTACTGGTATATTGGTGGTTTACCTTTGTTCCTTGGTTATTTCTCTTCGATAAAATCTGACTTATTCATTACGATGCTAGTGTTCGGCGACTCGTCTCACACTTTCGGTCTATTCTTTGTGCACTTAAATTCGTGGAGAACAAGCTCGCCAGCTTGCTCCATACCTCACTTCTCTAATACAGCAGGATATACAGTCGAGATGTAGCGTCGAGGGTCCCAAATGGATGCCATTGCAAACTCTTCGAACTGTAAGGTGCTCAGGGAAAGCCAAATAACGAACAGCGATCCAGTTTGAGAGGATTCTGTGCACTGGCTCACATAACTTCGACTGGCGCCAGACTTGCCTCTCGAACCTCGCCGCTCACCCCCAGTCAAGGAGAGTGCAGGTGCCGGGGGGGATTTGCAGTTTACACTTAGAGCCAAGGTAGAAGCGTTTGCATTCGATTATGATAACAGATAACTCTACGTGATCGATAACTTCACTCTGGTGTGTACTGTGGAGGCAACCGTTTCGCTAACTCACGACCTCTCAGCCCACTATCGTTCTCTACAACTACTGACAACTCAGCCATGCCTTCCTGTCTTTCTGGCAATGCCAACCCAGGTACCGGTGCGCCCGTGTTTATGTTCGTCGCAGGGCTCGATATTGGCACTACGCCACGTCTGTAATTGGCTATCTTTCTGGATTGAGACTCGCTGTGGCCAGAATTGTCGCCTGATGACGTTGTCGAGAAAGGTGTGGGAGTAGTGGTGTGGTCTATTACGCAGGAGGAAAAGGATAGGAACCCAAGTCGATTATGAATATTAAAATGTAGCGTACCGGATCGCAGAAATGACCCAGAAGAGATGCTCTGACGTGGAGCTTGCTCTTGCATCGCGGAGGAATACCTCTCCTCCACGCTGATATCTGTCCACTTCGGATTGTGCATCCGTCTCCTTCGTAATAAAAATATAACGGCTAACCCCACGAGACACAAAGCAAGGACACCACCGACGACACCTCCCGCAATAGCCCCTGCATCTGACTTCTTTCTCGGCGCAGCCAAGGTCGTCAGAACAGGGTCAGGTTCCTGGGTAGTGTTTGGTGCGGGAGGTACGGAGTTCAAAGATGCTGATGTAACGAAGGCAGAACCTGTCTGTAACAGGATATAATCGAGGAAGAAGGCATTTCCCTCAAACGCCGTGATGGTGAGGACGTGAGGAGCGTGAGGATCCTCGATAGTGGCCGTAAGGAGCTGGTATAGATATATAGGATACGAGCTTGCCGGACTGGGCACTTCGAGCGGGGAGCTGGTTTGGTCGTCGATCGTATACGTGCCCAACTGTCCCGAAGACGTATTTTGAAGGAGCATCCCGTACGCATCAATGCGCGACGTACCTGAGTGCCGTGGAAGTCACCGTACAGAGCGAGCACCGAAATGTAAGCTAAAGGAACTAAGCAATGAAGGACACATAACCGCACCGGTGAAGTTCAACGATATCGTAGCACCAGAGGCCGTCGGAGCCAATACCGTGGAATTCAATGTAGCGTCTGTGATATTCTCGCCCGACAATGGAGTCGAAAAGTCGGGCAGTGCACCATTCCTAGACCAGTTGTCCGAGGGTGTGAGGTATGGACTGGAATCGTCGATAAAAATCCAAGACGTGCCATCCTCTGTGGTTGGTATGGAGGAATTGACGGAGGCCTCGTATATGATATAGTCAAATAAGAAATCGGAAAATATCGTGCTCGAGGTGCCTGCGATGGCGATATCGATATCGAGGGTGTGTACGGAAAAGGATGTTGAGATATAGCTGAAAAACGGGAAGTGAAACCGTTGGTTCTCAAGATAAGGATAGGTGTTTTCCTCAATAATGTTTCCATCTATACTGAAGGTCACGTTCGTCGTAGAGAACGACTCGGTAGTGGGTCCTCCTGCGTAAGTGCCGAAGACCGAGATTGAGGATCCTGCGTTTCAAGTATCCGCATGTTAACATCAGGAATCAGGTTTGACCATTTCCGCCTCTGAAGGTTATGCTTGATCATGGCGTACCGTTGAAAGTATAGCTCAGCGTCGAAGAATCGAGACCAGTCCCGGTTGTTGTCAATTGGAACTCAGGAGAATCGCCTAAACGGTCGAAATGCAAAAGGCAGTGAAATCGTTGTATCGTCCTCGTCAGATCATGTAACACTCATAGACATGATATACACACCTTTTGCGCCAATGAACCACCCATGCGTTTCAGCTGATGCGTTCTTGAACACTGTTCCATTGCCGCTTCCAGCCCTGGGAGAATAACGCAGACCGCTATCATTGTCGTCGACAATAACGTAGACGGACATGATATTTGGATGTGCGTAGTATCCTGGGGACGTCAATGAGGGGCAGATGTAGAGGCAGGGGATGGGAAGTGCAATCAAAAAGCAGCTAGCAACCTCGTTATAAGCACTCACGCACTGTCCAATCAAGGGAAAGCTCTATAATTGGCCCGTCCCAGAGGTACCAGATAGATTAGTATATGTATTGAGTACGCCAATGGGTAGCGGTACGCAACCATCTTTCATAGACGCGCTGACGTCGTACTAGGGACAAATGATGGATAAAGATCTTGCTTGGCGTTCGCGAGACAGACATACACGAGCGAACTTATGGTGCTCCGAAACGCGCAGTCCGTGCAGTTTGTGAAGTATAAGACACTAGTGAAATTGAAAATGACGGTTATGGGGAAATTTGTGAGAATCATCGTAGGGAGTTGTTGCCCTTGATGTGTTCGGTTCGGCCTATGTAGTCAGTTTTTAAGTGGGCGAAACAGAACACTCGCGGCCTGTAGCAGTCCACATCACCAAGTATACTCTATTCGGATGTGAATAACACAGCATTGTAACAAGCCTTGGCGGCGACTCGCTACTTGGAGCGACTCGGATCTGCGAATGTACCTTGTCAAGACATTCAGAGCAAGCACAAACCGCTGACATAATCTCGTTCTAGAAAATATGCACATGTGTGATGAAGGGGATAGCGCGAGGGAATGTCTGAGCAGTTGAGTGGGTGTTATACCGAGAAGACGGTAGTGTCGAGGATGAGATTTCCACGCTAGATAGAAGAAAGAATATTTTCTTCATGCCATGTACAGTGAGCCATCTTTCATGGGTCCCCATATGGAACACAGTTAGATGCACCATCATGCTCGAGAATGACTAAGAACGAATACGAAGGAGATGCACGGACCAAAAGGTATCGACATCCTAGCATTAGATCATGATAGGGAGCAAGACACAAAAAGCAAGTCAAAAATGTTGACAATCATGTGCCAGGTCTGAGGGATGGTCTGCTGAGCAAGGATGCAAGAGGGAGGAGAAGCGGTGGAGAATGCTGTCGTTCAACGTGCATATAATGGCCGCAGTCCTTGATCAAAACAAAACTCCACGAAGTGATGGGAGTGGAGGTTATCTACTGACAGTGTCACAGAGAGAAGATTGGACAAGACGAAACTGGGACAGACACGGAAGAAAATTGGAGTACGGAGAAGTCAGCGGACAAAAGCTTGTGACGAGGTGGAAATACACCCCGGCAGACTCAGAGAGAGCCTAAGCTTCTACACCCGCAAACTCTTTATATTCTTGTCACTAATCTCTCCATTTATCGTTCGATGCAAAGCGCGATTCGTGAAGGCGTCACAGGTGGCACAGTGAAGACTCCTAGCAGGGCACTGGGCACATACGAAGGAATCCGAGTTGAATATTCGATATACATGGCTAGGATTGACCCGAGAAGGACCAAAAATAAATGCTATCCTTTGATGAACCTCATAGGATGGGCGTGTCTATGCAGGGATGAGATCTTGAGATGAAGCTCGACGCTGGTACGGAGCAAAAGACATGGGATTCAACTTGGATTCAACTTGAACGAAGCTCGAGCTCAACACAACCCAGATCTCGGGTTAGGGTCGTCGGGTTCATTTCTGTGTGGCGCGAGAGTTCGTGGGCCACACTATGATGAACACAACCCTCCAAATGATCCAAAGCGCCAGCGAGCATTGAAGGGGGGCGGTCAAAGACATTGGTTTGAGATCGGGTACGAAGCGCGCTATAATAAGCCAAAACGCGGTGATGAACACACACAACAAGTGGCTCTCAGAGCAGATTGGGAATGTATGCCAGGAGAGGATGGCCTCGTTGCGTCGATGGACAACAAGAGTCACGACTTCCTGATCTCAGAATAATTGTGGCAGAAACGTTGGGCCTTGTACATGTCAGCTTCGTCGAAGGCTTCATCTCCTGTATGTGCGATAGATACGGTCTGCTGAAGCTTTATACCGACAACGCGTGTGATGCCCACAATGTCTGGAATGTCGAATATATGGTGAAGCCAAGATATATTATAGAACGAATGAAACTGTGAGTGCCGTAGAACACAAGTGCAGCTTCGAAGCACTGGGAAAAAAGTCCTAGTAATTCAGACAAAGAAGGGTGGTGTATAACGACGTGTAAAGAACGGACGGAAATAAAGAATGGTGTGAAACGAAGGAATGACCATAAATGATCAGCGCAAAGGGTACTCCCACAGGGAGCCTAGAAAAAAGAGTGAATTGGAAAGGAGTGTAAGGTTTACTAGAGGCGACGTTTCGCTTCTGAAAATGCACAGAAGTTCTAAGCAGCTACCGTCGCGGAAGTGAAGGCTGGAACCGAAGTATTGGCCGTCGCAGAGGGCGATGCCGTCCAGAATGTGGAGGTCGCGTTCCAAGCAGAGACCGTAGCCGAAACAGACGCGGTCGGCCACGCAGACACCGTAGAATTGAAAGAGACGGACGCCGTGGATGAAGTGGGGACCGGAACGGATGAGATCGGGCTAATGGCATCCGTGTCGATGGGGAGGGCGGCAGCAGCTCCATGAAGGAACTCGAAAGGTGGGTTAGCTGGACCGGTGAGAGCAGGGGAGGCGGAGGTAATGGTGACGGAGGTGAGACCTGTGGCAGCGGCGGAAGAGCATGGGCCATCGTCAGTCCAGACACCGGCGGCTCCACCTATCGAAGATATCATAGTAAGTACATCACGAAATATCAAGCCAAAGCAGGAAGAAATGCTCACCGGGAGTATCAGCCTCAGTCCACCACTTCGCGGTCCAAAGGTGGCCGTTGTAAGAGACCTTGTCACCGCCGACATATGCGACAGTGCGGCTCCAAGAAGAGACACCACTACAGCCGGAGCCGCTGGAGCCAGTGCTAGTAGTGGTCGGGGAAGTGGTAGTCGGAGAACCACCACCACCACCACTGATGGGGAAAGCTGAGCCACGGACGGTTTTGATCCAGGAGGCGGTAGCGTCGGGGTACTGCCAAACCATGACACCGCCGTTCTTTCAAAAAGATTTGTCACTTAGACGGCGAGTGGTATGATAAGGAAAGAATGACATACCCATCCAGCGTTCTTTGCCTGGGCAACACAAGTGGCGAGGGTAGCGGGATCGATATAGCCTGAACCCGAACGAGTTATTGAGATTATAACTGATAGATTCAAAGCGTAAGGAAACGTACCGGTAGACGCATCAGCAGTGGTAGCGGGTTTTCCCATGACAAGCTTGTTGGATGGGACACCATTTGCCGCGATTTGGAGAATGGCGGTCTCGGGGAAGGTTGACGAAGAGGCGGTGACAAGACCAGCGCACTGATCAAGGCATATCGTCAGATGATACTCTGGCTGGGGCAACACCGAGAAATAAGCGTACCGTAGTATAATCGGAGCCCTCTGCGTGAGGAATGATCGATATAAATTGATGGAGAGCTTCGGAGGAAAGTTGGATTACACTCACGGTTGTAGAACTACGTTTGTATATGAGCGACTTGATAGACATAAGAACCGAAAAGAAGAACATACCTGGATGTTGTACCAGTCGATTTGGCTGCCAACGCTCTGGTGGACCTTCAAATACCCTTTACGATTAAAAGTTAGACCTGCACCAAGCACGTATAACGGCGACGAACCTCCGCCACCCCACTTGTTGGGAGAAAACCACGGGGCCAAAGGAGCGTGAGTGACGATGTATTGACCCACAGGGAGCTTAGAGCGGACGGTCTGGGTGAAGGAGATCAGCCAGTTCTCAGCACTTCCAGTGCCGGCGTTGAAGGCGTCGAGGTCTTCGTAGTCGATGTCAAGGCCTGTGGATCAAAAAATGCGCCGCGAAGAGTCGGCTTTGGATCCACCATCAGATAGTCCGACAGAAACGTACCATCAACGCCGTTGTCCAAGACCCATTGACCCATGCTCGTGCCGAGGGATGTCGCGGATTCTCCGGCGCTAGTAGCTGTAAACGATGTCTGTCAGTTATGCGGATGAAGGATGGTGCAGAAACCGAAACCTACGTTTATCAGTGGCTCCGAAAGCAGACGCGACCAGAGCAATACCGGCGGAGTTGTATTGAGATTTGATTGTGGAGCGCTGAGACGCAGAGAGACTCTCCCATTCCTTTACCTGATCAGCACCTCCAGAAGATAACAAGAAACCCATGGCACTGTGATAGAATATCGTCAATTGAGTTCTGTGTCAAGCAAAGCGAAACAAAATAACGTACAAGACGTTGAAACCCGTGATTTCAGACACCGCGGGAGGACCAGTTTCGCCATTGATCCAAGCATCCCTGTATTCATGGTCATGAATCTCAACGCGTGATGCCAAGTACTAAGATGAATGACTGACTGGTAGACGACAAAACGAGGAGCACCGGTGACCAAGCGACGGGTCAGGTCTCGGGTTTCGACGGGGGCCTCGAATGGGGCTGCCATGACGCTGGTCATGACAGAAAGAGTGGCGAGAAAGGCAGCCAAACGCTTGAAGGAGGAAGAAAGCATGTTCATGACGGCTGTAAAGAGTGTAGAGCTAGGCGGTAGCTTGAGATGACTCGCTGTATAGCAGGAGCTTGAGGAGAGGAAGACCAGGCAATATCTTCTAGTTTATATAGACCTTGGACGGGTTTCGCTTTGTGCGGCATGGAACAAGATGTGCGTCCTTGCCAGCGTGCTCTCAGACTCAGAAGCACAAGAGCTACCAACGTTGATGACTGGGCGGAGTGGTCAAAAGCGCGAATAATCAGTTACAAGGGGTACACTATTGCACCACCACGACGGAGTATGAGACAGTAGCCGCCTAACACAAGTCCCACCACGTATTTCTGGAGGACAGGGATTGCTTCTGGCCAGTCGTCCAACGGCAGCGCCCCAAGGGAACGGCCACTGTTACTCTTAGCATCTTTCTGACGCTGATACGGACATATATGACCGTTGTTTGTGCGTCAAAGCGTCGCCATCTACAACAGAGACATCGAGAACCTTATGCAGATCCCTTCAACATCTTGAATGGGTGTCCGTGCGACAACGGCAAGGCTACGAGGAGATCGTACATGTTCTTAGAGGACCATGCAAGCTCGACATCGACGCCGAATGTACATTTCCACAAAGCCTGGTCAACGCCAATGTTACCATTTGTGGTCGTCAAGTATCTCGAGGCTGTGCGAAAATAGAACATCTCAAATACTTTGCTTCGAACATCGACGTGTCTGACCAGAGCGCGTCCCCAAAAGGAGAACGGAGATGTAACACATACATTTCCTGGGCGCTTCGAGTTTGCCAGGACTACTGCCTGCGTGGCGGACTGTTAGCCTCGCGGCAAAACGAACTTGGTTAACAAGTTGGACGTTCTGCCGAACGAATGTAAAACGCCAATGAACGGGGATTTTGAACCATTGGACTAAGCAAGGCATAGACACGATATAAGGTATATCTTGTAGACATACGTGGCAACCTTTAGACGATGTTCGACAATTTGGTCGCGCTTCGGAACGTTTCACATTTCACTAAACAAATCTTGTTACCGTATTCACGAGTGATATACCTGGAAGGCGTCAGAGAATGGTCGTATGTGTGGTATTTTAGGGTTTCACCTTGTATGTTCGCGAGGCGTCATCATGAGTCGCGTGGGCTTTGTTCTAGCGTTGTTACTGCCACGTAGAATCGAAACGGTCAGCGTATAAGAAGATGAAAGGTAGTCCTAGGTGAGAATGCTAACCCATGTGCGAAAGTAGGCCGTACGATATTGTCGCCCATTCTGAAACCTAGGATCGACGAGTTTGTAGGTCGTTCAGCGTTTTGGAGATGAAACACGACGACGCTGTACCGGCCAAATGTAGCAAGAAGGTTCATAATCGTCACCTGCAGCGGGACCCAAAATAGTGTCAGGTAAGAACTGTTTCGCTGGACCACTGGGTGACTTTCCGTAGGGGGTTTGTGCACGTTCTAGAGGCCTCGAACACAGAAAAGAGGCTCACATCGATTTTTGATTGGCTGAAAGCCTCGTATTTGTGCTTCTGGGCGTCAAGGAACGCTCCTAGACTGCTACGGAAAGTCACCCAGTCCGTGAGTCTCTTGTCCTTTTCTGCAAACAGAAGTCTGCTTTTACAGCGCCGTCGTAGTACACGATAAGTATGCCATATTTCTAACTGGCTATGTGCACTCAGAGAGGATATGGATGAGCCTACTGTCGCTAAAGAGAGATGCAGAACTCGTCAAAAGAACACGAGTCATCTGTACTTATAACCACGTGTGTGGCCGGTTCTGCAGAGAACAAAAGTGCGTGCAAGTCTCGCGTCCTGAAGTCGAACTTCCGTAAGAAGATGGAACCGAGCCATGCAGCAACGCTTGAGCATTCGGCGCCGTGGAAGGGTCACCTTATTGGCGCCTTATAATATGGAGCAGCGCACAGTCTCTGCAAAGTTTGATGTTAGCAGAAAGCATCAATGGTGCTGGACGCATCGTCTGAGCGTAGGGGGTACGAGCAGCACGACAATGGTCAAAAAGGGAGACATGATAATCGGCCGCGCTGATAGTCAGTAGAAGTGCATAGCCAACGATTCTCCGTTCCGATGGTAGGCCAGAATGAGTCCGTAGTGTCCCCAGAAGTTCTGATGATGGACCTTGATGGACTTGTCGCTAGAAAAGGGTCCTGTGTTACGAAAATGTCAGTAAAGGTGGCTCCTGCGGGCATTCCAGCAAAGTCTTCGATAGTTCCCAAGATACCTCAACGATGAAATGAGATCACAAGGAAAGAAGCATGTGAGAAAGAGTGGGAGAAACGCAGAGATGGACGCGTCCTGGAACTTGAAAGCAGAGTCGAACGGAGGAGTGGCGACAAAAGAAGTCGGCAAGTGCCGGACGATCGAAAGAGGCAGTGTTTGTAATCACGTGGTGCGCGTTATTGTTCGACTTTGTCTCCCGATGGTGTGGCCCAACAACTTGCTCGCGGGGAACAATGCACACTCCCAAAAGGCAGAGGACAAAGGACAGCGGCACAGCGCGGCATGGTAACCCGCCCTCTGTTCGACGCGATATACAGCGAGCGCAACTTTGTCCAATTGTCTTTTCATCTCCTGCTTCTTTCCTCGACCCCTCCACGCCGCTTTTACCTCACACATCACGATCGCCGCCTGTCATTGTCCACGCCTTCTCTCATAACACTAATAATCCGTACGTACCGCCCCTCCTCCTCTTTTCTTCCCGTCTGAGACCCCTTTCTCGTTACTTCGTATTCTTTTTTTCTTACTACGATGTCCTTCACCCTTCCACCAACGCACAACACTCTCGACGCCTCTGACCGCATCCGCTTGATGCGCTCTACTCGCAAACTCGGTCGTCTTCTCGGCGTGCAGCCTATGCTCGTCGACCGAGACGCCGACTCTCCCCCTCAACCTTTTCATCAACGGTTCCACTCTGACCCCGGCTTCCAACGTTCGTCGAAGCGGAAGGGACGTATCTTCAACGTCTCCCCGCGCCACACTCCTTCGCCCGACTCTACGAAACAGACGAGCCTCATGCTGTCCCATGTTTTCCCGGATTTTTCTCCTTCTTCGACTGAATCTGCTTCGTCGTCGCCCGATGCAACCCCTTCTCCAAATGCATCTATTCTATCGCTCCCGTTAGCCACTCCGAGGTCGAGTATGGACCAGCTCCCCCTTCCCCTCTCGTTCTCTAAACGCGGAAGGTCGCTCGATGTGCCGCATCCGCTCGTACTACAACTCCATCCTGCGTCCTCCTCCGTCGACATTGATGCTGGCTGTAATAATCTCAATACTTCCGCACCCACCGCTCGCCCTTCAGATCTCGCCGGGCGCCGTTCCGAGTCCCCCCTTCGCACTCCATCCGACGACCCAGCCTCTTCATCTTACCCGTTCTCGTCCTCGTACCCTTCCTCATTACCTATCCCAGATGAAGATGAAGATTCCGACTCCGACATCGAGTTCGCCCAGACCATTCTCGGCACTGCTCAATCCTCTCCGCGAACTCACTCCCACGCAAGATCCCAAAGCGATGACTTCTCCTCCAATTCCATGCAGCGAAGGTATCATCGCCAGTTCTTGAAGCTCGAACGCACCCTTGGAGCTGGTGTTCCGCAGGAGTTGGTTTTCAGGAATCGGAGTGCCAGTCAGGATAATGTTCGTGGCGATGGGAGAGGTTCAGGGCCTGGGAAGGCCAGCGCTGATGGTTCTTTTGGTTTCATGAAAGGGGATGTCGAGCGGAGCGGAGCAGATGAGGTATGGTTAGATGGCGGTATGGTCTGTGGCGGCAGTGCCCCAATTGTTCGACGTACGCGCATTCCATTCGTTTGAACTCTTTCTTCTAATCTGACATTGTATGTCGTTCACGCGTTTAGCCACCACCGTCTCGGCTATCACAGCTGCCGAGTCTGGTTCGAGAGGTGCAATTGATGGCCATACGCCCACCACCGCCACACTCCCAGGCGACGCCACCTTTCCCACTTTCACCACCACAGCACCAACACCTCTCCCCACGCACAACACCTTCGCGTCGCCTTCCCCTCCTCAGACTCCTACATCATACTTCACCCCACCCACCTCCCGCTCCTCCACCCCACTCTCTACCAACGAAAGCCTCGATCTCCGCTCGCGTCCAACCTCTCGCATTGTCTCCGTCCCTCAGCGTTCATCCTCGAGCAGAAGGTCAGACTCTCAATCTCGCTCCTCATCAAACTATAGTCCGTTCCAGGAAGCTACTGCTATCGCGAATGGGAACTTCAGAGGACCGGGCGTTGCGTTCGTGAGACCGAAGGTCGAATCGCCCTCGCCCTCTCGCTCGGCGTCACCTTGCCCGAGATCTGCCTCCCTTTTCCCGCTGGCGAACACGCAATTGTTCGGCGGAGATTACTCGAAGGAATGCTCGACTTGGGTGCAACCGTCTTCGAGTGGGAGGTCGAAGGGGAAGACGAGTCAGAGGACGGCATTTGATGGGTCACGCGTGCGGTCGTTTCCTCCGGGCAGTCTTACCGATGTTGATCTCAGGCCTTTGCTGGTTGACGATGGTGTTTTGCCTTCGACTGTCGACGATACTGTTGTGCTATCGCGTCGAGATGATGCATGGATCGAGGTGAGGGGCGGTATGAGTGGGAGAAGGATCGATGATCGATCTCGCATTTCGGAAGAGGCAGCGCTGAAGGAGGTGAAGAGGATGATGAGGGAGGACGTCGTTGGTCGCAGCGGACGCTCAAGTGAAGAACGAGGCGGGAGTGGACATAGTATGCCCGGGACGTTTAGCGTTCGCGAGACTCCGAAGGATGCTCCTATCACACGCCAGACTTCAACCGCCGCGACTGAAGTCAAACAACGGAGAAGGCGAAGCTCATCCGTTAATAGCGTCTTCACATCGGCCTCTGCGTCGCCTTCATCGGTGTTCACACTCGTATCCCCCCATTCTCCTCCGAAGGCGTCTACCCCCCGCCGTGTCGACCTCCCACTCGCCGTCCCGCCCACGTCAACCTCTACACCGACAAAATCACAAGTACCCCGTTCGACGCACCCTTCTCCTTCACTCTCCGCATCGGCCACCCTTTCCAACACCCCACTTAAATCACACAAACCTTCCAGATCCGTGTCCTCCAGTACCACTACCGCTTCCACCACGCCTTCTTTCCACAAGTCTCTTGCTCGGATCCCGAGCTCGCTCCGGCTCTCGAAGAAGAAATCGAAAGTGGCCTTGCATCAACTCCAGTCCAGTTTCGGAGAATCGTCCAGTTCGAATTCTAGCGATGCAGAGAACACGATTCACGCCCCTGTCATCCCACCTGTACCCGCCCTTCCCACCGGGCTCAACAAGTTCACTACCGCCGGACGAGCCAGTCGCGACAGGACGACGCCTTTCGTCATGGTTGATGCTAGTGCGAGCGAGACTGAAGCGGAGGGTACGGATGTCGAGACGCATGTGGCGAGGACGGTGCGTGCGGGACAGGGATACATGATTGGTTCGGGACCGCGGGCGCCGGAGGGGGAGAGGTGGGTCGGGGAGTGGAACGTGAAGGATATTTCGAGCGTGCAAAGTGCGTTGAGGAGGCTGAAGTGAGTTTGTGGAGTGGGGCCGCTGTCGTCGAGGTGCGTTTCAATTTTTTTTCTGGGGGAGCGTTCAGCTGGTTTAGTCTTCAGCGGCATCTGATTCGTGATTTGTGGTTTTCAGATCCGTTGTTCCCTTTTTGGTCATGCTTGCTTGGACTTTTCGTCGTCGTTCTGGCGGCCGCTTTTTCCGTTTGTTTGGTATCTTTCTTCCTCAGTCTCATCTTCCGTCTTCCATCTTCCATCATCGTTCTCAGCATCGTTCTCGACACATCATTCCATCTCCACTCCGTTGTATTGTTGTTTGCCGTTGCATTCTCCTGACCCTGTATTATGCCCTTCCTCTCGCCTCCAGCATCCATCCCATCTTCCCAAATACACTACTACGCATACTTTAATTTGCTCAATTTTCTCTATTGCCTTCTCGTTCTTCCTCCTTTGGTTCCTACTCCTGCTTCCTCCATCTCGTCTCAAAACTGTAGCTCTGGCCTAGCTCTGCCTTCGCGTCCTTGGACTCTCGACATCATCACGTACAAACGACTGCGTCGTCCCATCCTCCTTCACGTTCATAACGATAAATACTCTTCATTCTCTTTCCGTCTTTGATGCTTTATATACTTGGTCAGTTACGCACATACTGTATTTGGATGTCTCCTGGTTCTGTATCGTTATACCTAAATGTTCTTTGCATACGTGTACCCGTGGAGATCGCCGTGCTCTTCTCTGTCCGCTCCCTGTGTCTGTACCTAAACGCCTTACACCTTACACCTAACTAGTCATAAATGCGCGCTGGTGCGCTTGCTTACTGTCATGATCGATCTAGCAGTCCCCGGCCTGTCTGATTTCTGGTGTTATAAGTGATGCGCTGAACGAGTTGTCGGCCCTTACCTCGCGTCTGCATCGACCCTTCCTTAGCTGCTACCTGCACATACAGTTGACAAGATGTTGGTGGAGATGCGTAGATGGGGCTTGAATGCCAATGGGGAAAGCAATATTTCACTTCGACCGCACCAATTGAAAGCCTTACCTTATAAGAGTACGCGGCTATGGTCATAACCAGCTCCTCTCCTCAACCAATCCCATTGATCGAGAAGGAATCCCCGCAAATAAATAGGGACGGCGTGCTGCTTATTACTTGCTCAGAGGCGGACGAGCGGAAGCATCATTTTGATTGATGAAATAGACCAGGGACAAAATATCTCGTATGGAATCTGACTGCGTAACATAACGGGAGCCTCGCGAATTCACAGAGTCAAGAAAGCGTAGATCAGATCGCAGAACAGTATTTTTTGACTAAGACTAAGAGCGCAGATGAGACGCAGAAGACTTGGGCTGAAAAGCTTCAGTTATACAATTGCGATATGCTAAAAGAGGGAATTGTCGATAGCGGTCAGAACCAGCAAAGTTTTGCATGATGAAGACGAAGGCGTACCAGGCCGTACTCAGTTCTCGTCAAACCGGTAAAGTATCCTCCTCATACCCTCATCGCTCTTCAAAGCCTCCTCATCGCTCTGTGACAGGGGCTGCCACTTCCATCCAGGTCGTCCGTGAACCATACGATGAAACACCTCCCGCTCCCTCTCTTGATCAAACCGCAGATCGATCCCTCTCTCCACGATGGTCTGCAGTATGAGAAATTCGGAAGGTCCTGTTGAACTGGTATCGAAAGCCGCGCCAACTAATAGCTGAGGTGAAATTGGAAAAGTTGCTGTGATACGCCTAGACTCTCCAAAGTCGATCAGGAAAGGGAGCATTCCCAGTGCACCAACGCGGCTGCTAGTTGGGTAGACGCCCATCAACTTCTTGATCTTCGTCACCTTCTCGGGGCCGACATCGAAGTAGGATCTCGTAGCGGCATCGAGATCGTTGAAAGATCGAAAAGTGCCGGATTGGATGCGGAAGAGTGTGGCGGGGCTGCGGTCGGTGGTGTCTTCCACATTTTCGAAGCGAGGTGAGATGGAGAGCAGGAAGAAGTGATTGGACCAGTCGAAGGTGGTGAACGAAACCGAACGATTGATGCGAAAGTGATCCATGACCTTGCTGGAAACGTATGTATGGATAGCGCCTTCGTAAGCCTCCCAGAAGTCTCGAGCCAGAAGGTGGATATGGACCGACTCCCTGCCAGCGATGGAGTCGGTATTCAGTCCGTTTGCACTTTGAGCCTCGCGGCAGATTGTTCTACATATGAATCTCAGTAAGTGAATCAGTCGAACCAAGATCGAGGCCGATCTGAGGAAGTTAAAAGACGTGCTTGTGGGAGCTCCACGACTCGCGCTCGCAGGCTTTGCTGCAGAAAGAGACCAGTCGACAACCCTTACACACGCGAAATGGTATACCATCGGACGGTTTGTCACGACAACCCGCACAACCGTCACGCTTGCTTGCAATTCGATAACCGGGCATCGTGACGATTATATAGATTTCTACGAGGGTGATAAATACGGCGAGGTCAGCGGAATACACTGTAGATAGCGATGTTAGAACACCCACGAGGAGTATTTGATGAACTATGTGGAGGATATCGTAGGCCTCTCGTGGAGAGTAGGAAACGAACGATCGAGTCAGACTGTCGTCCGAGTGGAAAGCGAAGGGAATACTAGGCAAAGACTCGAGAGCGTGGACCTTATATGTGCGATGTGAAACTTCTTTGTGAGATATGCGAATCAAAGATGGCGGATCTCGGAGTCCTCTGTGAAAATGACAGAGGAAGGAAGACGACAAAGACAGACAGAGCCAGAAACCGCTGACAGACTACCGTCATGGGTCCATGTGTAGACCCTTGCCATCGTGCTGTTAAAAAAGGTCCACAACCAAGAGAGACAGAGATTAATGCATGTAAATGAAGAAGTAATGCGTGCATAAGACCAACAAGCAAACAGGGTTCGTCCTTGTTCGTCGTTGTTGCAGACGACACGCAAACGTTCATCCAATTTTCACCCCTATTGTCGTTTCGGCATTTTCCGTTGACAGCACTACTCCTGTGGCGTTGTGGCGCTCCAAATCTACTTCCCAGTTTACGCATAACAGTATATCAAGGAACAGAATACAAGACACATACAACATGAAGATACTGAATAGCTGCAGGTTATCTGCAAGAACTATGTGGGAAAAGATATGGTGCCTAGGAACGAGACAGATATGAGAACGATCAGTGAGTGTGTATCTATCGTGATGTTTAGCACCCATGCACAGTTATTATCGTAGTGATCATACTTACTTTCAGGATGTCAGAAACATTATACTGACGCCTCGAATACCGGACGTACCGGTACAACGCCTCCCAACTCGTCGCCCACCTTGGGATCAACACCGTCGCTGGTTAACGGCGTCCATTCCCATCCAGCCTCTCCCTTCATCATATAATGTATAAATTCACGGTCTCCATCTCCGACCACTCGAGAATCCCATCCTTTGGCCACTAGTTTCTGCATAGTTGAGAATGCCGTCGGGGAAGAAGGTTGAATTGGAAGGTCTGCCTCTTCCGCGACGCTCTTCCAGATAGGCCAGAGTATCCTCATGCTCACGGAGTGTCCTGCATCGAACACGATCATTATCGTTCCAACGACTTCTTCTTGGTTGGCGGTGGGGACATTGTGAGCCATTTCCTGCACGTGCTGTACCTCGAATGGAGAAAGGCACAGGATAGACCTCTCCTCGTCGCGAAGATCGCTGAAAGACCGCATTCTCTCTCCTCTCAGGCGGAAAGCCGTGCTTGGATTTCCGTCGTGGGCTGACAGTCGCGAGAAACTTGGAATTAGGGTAAGGTGGAGGAAATGATTTGGCCAGTCGAAGGTCGCAAAAGAGAGCGAAGGAGAGGACTGTATGAACCGTATGATGGTATCTCTGACCCATACCGCGAGAATGGATTGGCGGTATGCGTTGAACCATTCGCGAAGAAGGCGATGAACACGGTCTCGCTTGCTAATCTCCATCGGAGTATTCACGTCTGGAGTTCGAGCCTTTTGCACGAGGAGGCAGTTTTCTCTACATACACAGAGATTGAGGGGGAATTAGGCGACAGTTAGTGGGTGACGGAGGGCGGTACGTACCTGTGGTATTTCCACGCTTGGCGTTGACATTCTTTGCTACAGAATGAAATCTCTTTACAGCCCTTGCAAATAGGGAAAGATGACCCTGAGGGTGGTGTACGAAAGCAATTTCCGCAGGGATCCTGTTTACTGGCGAATCGGCAATGTGATATGCTGGACATATTTAAACCGCCTGCTGTACTGTTCACGTACCGTAGGATACTTAGTAATGAGGTATTGTGATAATCTGAGAAAAAACCTTACCGGTTTTCGTGGATGGTGCGCGACAGATCAGACAATCTAACGCGACGTGCTGAGGTTGGGATGGTAACAGGGAAAGGAAAAGCTAAGTGCCCAGGAGCTGGATATAGCGTTCTGAGACAAGAACACAACAAGGCAAGACCTGGCAAGGCGTTTCTACATTCTGGATAGGAGGCGCATCTGAGCAATGTTATGTAAGACAACTACCGCAACAACGTTGAGTGGCGTTTGGACTGTGGCACCTTCAGCGGATTCCCAATACTCCCAAGTCGAACTGTATGACAGCATAACTCTGAGAGAAATCCTCAAGACGATACAATACTCCATAGAGGGTATGAGAAGCGTACTGGGACCTACGTATGGAGTACAGGATCTTATTGCACAACGACTACGAAGTGACCACGAGATATGCTCAGTTACCTTCCATCAGCAAAACCCGGAGGCGTCTGACGCGTCTGACGGCTCTGACCGAGCGGTTTTCAGACCCCGTCAGACGCGTCAGACGCTTCAGATTTCAGACGCGCCGTCAGACCCGTCAGACCCGTGCGCAAATCTCCGTCAGATCCGTCAGAGGCTTCAGTGGCCCCCTCACGCGATGGTCTCACTCACTTGCACTCACAGAGTATTGTAGAACTCAAGATTGGCTTCTTTCACGTTCATAGAGTCATGTACAGGATACATAATCAAATAGTAAACCCCCAACAGCATGATATAGTATACATCTGAACCTCTTCAAATATGCACTAATAGGCTTCGAGGGTTGAGCACAACAAACGTACCAAAAAAGTGTTCCACGACATGTCTCTGAACGGCTAGGCACTGCACGTTCTCAGTGCATAGGCTGCCAGAAAAAGGTAGGGGGTTGATGTGTACGATATGGTATCGATAGTGAGTTGGCGAAAGGAAATGATGAGACAAACTGAGACAATATGTGAGCAGAAGGGTGATGCAGCGAGAACCGAATAACGCACTGGCATATCATCCGTACCATCCCACCATCTCCCATGATATAATATTTTGCTAGTCTCTCGATACTCATTGAAAAGAAGACAGACCGTCTTGACTCAACGTGCAGTCATCGCGCTCCGAGGCGTTGAGGGGCTCCGAGCCCAGCCAGATTGAAAGTTGTGAGGTCTTAGAGCAGGGCTTCAGCCGTAAGAGATCTATAGAAACCTATATTCTTGCAGAATTGAGCCATGTAGGAAGGTGGGAGGTGCAAGGGAAGGTAAAGAGGGCGGTAGAAGTCGACGCGCTCAAGAGACGAAGTGGCTCTGACGTCTGACGGCTCTGATGGCTCTGACGCGTCTGACGGGAATTCGGTCGGTCCGTCAGAGCCGTCAGAGCCGTCAGACGCCTCCGGGTTTTGCTGATGTCTTCTTTGCGAGGCAGTCATTTCAATACTGTAATGGCTCTTGGACCACCTCTCGATATCACGTCGTCTCTGTACACAGATAGCCACCAAGGAAAAAGAATACGAACAAAAAAGTATCATAATGCTCGAACGTCTAAATCAACATAACGAAAGTCATTAACCCGTCTCATGCGTCCAACCCTGCTCACATCACTATCATCAAACTTCATGAACCCCGACGCCTGACCCCTTTTCCCCTACACTCCCATCGCTCACGGACTTCTCGTCGATGGGGCCCTCGTAGTGGTATCCGGTTCCGATGCCGAGGTTTGATGGTGGTGAGACCTTGCAGATGAGCCAGAAGGCTGCGAATGAAACGGAGAGGCCTGTATGCAGTAGCGGAATAGGCGACGCGTCAGTGTAAAGTGTCGGAATACGGGCAGAAGCGGTCAAAAAGGAGTGACACGAGCAACGTTGTGAAGGATGTAGGATAGACGAATTGAACGAAAAATGACTAAGATGAAGAAGGACCGAATCAAATTTACGCACCGACAAAGAACGCGATGTTATATATCTTGACCCAAGAGTTATACGCCGTCGCGTCTTGGACGCTCATGATGAACCCGGGCATGGTGGGGAAGACACCGATGACCCACGCGAGTAGTGCACGCCAGTGGAAGCCATGCCAGTACCTGTCTCATCAGAAGGATATCGGCACAACGATATGGGGGAGTATCGCGTAACAACAAATTCGGAGGGAGTACCACACATGGTACGCCACACAAGAAAAGAAACACGAGGACGAAGAATGTTAGAATGCCATTGGTCACGGTAGGTGGAAGTCATGGACTGACCAGTAGATGGAGGTCTCATCGCCAATGTAACAGTCTTCGAGCTTGATGATGCATCTCCTCACCAAGAGATAGTCGGCGAGCATCACACCCGTGTAAGGTGCCACTGGACGTTCGATATACCAATAGTGTGCGAGTTAGTATCAAAAACAGAGGAAACGACGAGCTAGGGCCAGAAAACGACGTACAAAAGATACCGAACCCGCTCAAGACAGTCAAGAATGTTGCAGCGTTGGAGAGATATTGCCACGGATTCGAGACCAGACCGAGGAAGGCGAGGAGATAGGCGCCACGACGGATGTTCATGTATTTTCTGATGTTAGTGATATTAGCACGGTAAACAAGGTGGGAGATGTCGCTCCGTTGGCATTGAAAAGAAAGGCGAGGATACGTACGGGTAAAGACCGCTAAAGAACCCGATCGTGTTAGAATCTGGTGCGAACGGATATATAAAGCGAGAAGGTTACGCACGCCATGTCCATCCCAGCACTGACACTGTTCAAAACAATACTGATCCCGAGCTGAGCGCAGACGCATCCGAGGCCTGCGAAGAAGCTGGAAAACGAAAATATCAACTTCGGCCTTACATAGTGAGTGTAAGGAAAACGGTAACGTACACTGCACAACGAGCTACAAATATCAAGCGTAGACAGATGAAGGGAAGTGATGAAGTTGAGCATACCCTCTGCATAGAAGAAGAAATGCAATTATTTACCTCTCGGAGAGTCGTTACTGTTAATGACGACAACGATCAGCATCATCTGCGTAAAAGCGAGCGCTGTGGACAAAGAATATACGCACTAGAAATCCATGATCTCCCCCAACAGCTCGAACGGCTCCCAAATCGTGCTTCCTAGGATCTGTTGTCCGCACGAGGTGACAATAGTTCCTACGGTTCCGGTGACGATGATGGTGAAAGGGCTATTGATGAGCTCGTTAGCGATTTGATGGAACGATGATAGTCCAAGGGGGGTTAGCTTACGCAGCGGCCATCTGGGACAAAGTCGGTGCGTCTGTACATCACACAATACAAAGTTAGAATACGAGTCAGTCTATGACCTTGACCCACACATACAAAGGGAAGTTGTTCAGAGAAAAAAAATGAAGTACGTACAAGGTCGATCGGCATATCGTGTCCAGTCAGATTGGCCAAGTGTTCCGCCGCCCCTACAACATGTATAAACGTTAGTTATTGTTTCCGAGTGAAAGGTGCCGAATGACGAAAAGAGGGGGGAGGGAGGCATAGGACAGAGATGACATAAATGATAGAGAATAGACGTACCATGAACCGAGGATAGACGTGATACCGAACATCATTGACCTTGAATATCCGAAGTCAACTTCGCCGAAGCACTCTCAAACTCAAAGAAAACGTACCAGCCAATACTCCCATGAGCCGGGTTGCCTGCCTCTTTAAACAACGGGCCAGGTCCTCCGGCGTTGGAGACGCCCCACGCGAGGAGACCGATGAGCCTGCGCAACGATCAGCGAGAGAATGAAGAAAGTGATGAAAGCGAACGAAGGTCAACTCACGTTCCACCGAACAAAACGCTCGAGACGATGAACGGTTTCTGAAGCCTCTCGGGTGGGATCTTCATGATCGCGATGAAGAAGATGTAGTAGATTCTGTTATTACGCCAAGGCAGATGCGCGGTCAGACTACACGTCTTAGGTATAGGATAGCGGAAAAAGGAGAGGCGCACATCATGCCAATCAAATCTTTCGTGTAAAGCACACCGCCGGCTAGAGTTTGTTCCCTATAACATGTATCACCATGAGCGTCACGGTCAAGGCATATATTTAGGGAAGTACGGGGTGGGATTTTCGCAGAGGGGAGATGAAGAAACGCGTACATGTGTGCAAACTTCGGAATGATAGCCCCGATCGTGACCTATCCAAGTCAGATAATCAGCACTCGCGTGACCAACAGCACCCTCCTCGGCATCCCACAATTATCGAGGGGAAGAATAGAGTGGCGAAGATGGCAACGATCCACGTACCCGCATGGCTGAAAGAAATACGTGTGTATGTATGAGCGGGAGTGAAAACGATGAATAGACGAGGTCGTGAAGATGTGCACGCACCTTGACCACCCCAATATGCTTGCAAACCGTCCCAGCTACGCAAGTCAAAGTATTTCTTAGTTCGCTCGTACGACGTGAACAAGAACATGACAGGGCCTTACAAGATTGTCCTGCAAAACATGCGCACACACTAAGTTAGTACAAGAGGAATGATGAAGAAGTGAAGAGGAAGAGACGTACGTGAACGTCCGGATGATGACGGGGAAGTATGCGCCCCTGCAAGAAATAATAAAGATATAATTAGCATCGCAGGGACATGAACGCTCAAATGCACATAACTCGAAGAGTGATATATCGCGGACAAGTGGTCCATCGGGAATTGGTCGATCGGCGGGAAGTCGGAAGATGAAGAATAATGATTGCAAGGGGATAATGGAAAAGAAAACGTACCTCATTCCCCATGTGAATCGCGAGGAGACGGTGAAACCGATGTGGTGCCTACAAACACACGAAATGGAGTCAGCGATTCCCCGATCCTATCCACGTCATCTACACCAGCTCTTTTGCTTGCATTCCATCTGCTGCCAACTTTCTCGACTAATTTGAACCTCTCGCCGACCCAGACGTTTCCAAACCACAACACAGTTCTCCAACTACCAAGTTTAAAAGACTCACCTCTCGCCCATCCATCCACACGCCACACTCAGAAAACCAGTTGCCACAGCTCCAATGACCAACGCCCCAATGGCTTGTCCTGCCGTCAGTCCATACGCAAGCAGCGTGGAACCCGTAGTGTAGGCTGAGATACACATGCCGGAGATACACCAGTAGATGAAGAAGGACCAAATCTTGTAGGTCCGACGTTCAGCGGGCATGGGGATCAAGTCGCGGTTCGTCCAGTTCTATTCGGGGGAAAGGTAAAGATAGAGCAGAGTACGCAGCAATATGGAATGAATTGGGAACCATTCGTGAGTATACCGTGCAGGAAATGAGGATGAAGGTCAGGACTTGAAGAGAGACAAAGAGAACATACGTCATTCTTGTAGTCCGCATCCTTGTCAATGGGGACCTCGATCCGCTTGAGCAACCTCTGAAACGCCGTGGGATGAGACTCCATGGTTCGTCAACGATCCCAAAGTGCGGGTCTATTGAGTAGAGTGTTCAGCTCCAAGACCATAAAGAGAAGAACGGACGTCTGCGTACAAGTCGTGAGAAGTAGAATCGGCAGGGAGAGAAGATTAAACGATCCAGGGGAGTCCTCGGCCGCCTGCACGAGATATCTGCCTTATGATAAGTCGAGCGCTTCGACTGAGCATACCGTGCGGGAAGCCTCCTGCCTGCAACAGGAACGATAACGACTCCGTTCAACGCAGACAAGGCTGGACTCGAATTTGAACGAGATAGCATTCAGACATCCTCTCAATCGACGAACGGCCAGCGGCGTACGTTTGCTTGTAATATATATGGCATAGGAGAATACTGGGCGTGGAGAGATAACTGTGAAATACCAGAAAATGCCGTCGCCGTTGGAAGGAACGATAAACCTCGAGCGATTATTTCCAACCTCAATCATGACGTGGCGGAAGCAAATCATGTTCCAAATTAGGATTCCAGCGCAATCCATCGCCCAAAACGGCCAAAATCAACCCGGACGGGGCTCTTCGGAATCCCCGCCGTGCTCCCTTGCCTGTGGGCGGTGGCGTACGTTTCTTTCCTTCTCCCCTATCCCGCGTCTTGCGTGGTCATAAGCTGTCTCGCTTTGGACGGCGAAATCGACAGTGATAATCGAGAAAAGCCATGGTACGAATACAAACAGCGGTCTGGACAAGCTCTGATGTGGCCATAGGACGGAGTAGATCGAGAATGCTCACGATCCTGTGGTTGAAAAGCGGCAAAGGCTTCGATCTTCGGTAGAGCTCTCTGACTATCTTATCTGACCTCGCTAGCATATGACACCGACGTTTGCTACGCTGCGTAGTCGTAGCAGAGTCCAGATGCTCATGCCTGCTCATGCCGAGAAGCGGGGAAGTTTTGAACAGGAGGAAGAGTGGCGGACGGGGAAGGGGGAAGGGGCAGATAAAGACAGGAACACTCGGGGAACTAGCACAATCTCAATCGACTCCACTCCGAGAAAGCTTCGATCTCTGCGAGTTTCCCAGATAACCACGATCCTTCTCTTTCCCCCTATCTACCTTTGCTCACAGGCTCACTACCATCTCATCCTTGGGTTGAATCCATACAGTGTTTGCATTGTTATACTATGCCTGGTACTTTGAAGCAAGAAGTTGATATCTCGTCGCTCCCGACCATCGACTTTGCGAATTTCGGGGACGGGACAGGCCCCGTACGTCGACTCTTTGTCTCTACCGTCCTTGTCCCATCGTTTCTGTGCTTGATCTGACCTTTCTTTGCTCCTGTATTAAACGCTCTGTTAGGAGGCCCGCGCTATCTCCGAAAAGTTCTTCACTGCCTGTCGCGATGTCGGGTTCGCATATCTGATCAACACTGGTATTCCGAAGGAGCAAGTCGATGGGATGTTCGACTGGGTACGTCTCTTTCTCGATATCTTGAAGCCTCCCGTTCCGTCTGCTCTCTACGAATGCACTCCCTTCGGCTCTATATCTCCACACATTTACGTAGTCTCTGCTTTGGACCTGTGCATTGACCCCAACCTCTATGTATGGATAGTCCGCGAAGTTCTTCGCCCTTCCACACGACGTGAAGATGCTCGCACCACACCCACCGGAAGGATCGAAGCACCGTGGATACAGTGGCGTAAGCACCCAGAACCTTTCTATAACATCATTAAACGTATGTTAATAATGGTGCAAATCTACGTCTTCTTCATTTAGATCGGGAAGGAGCAGGTCTCACAAATGGTACACTCCTCCTTGTATTCTCCTCTCTCCAAATCGTCCTCATTCCTGATGCCTTCCACGAACCTTCCCAAAATCATAGGTTTTCGACCCCGAGGCCATCGCCTCGATCCGAAAGGGTCCCTCCCCCGACTTCAAAGAATCCTTCGACATGGGTAACGACGCCGATACCTCACGCCTGTCGAACGTGTGGCTGCCGGAGGACAAGTTGCCTGGGTTCAAGGAGTACGCGGTCGGGTTCTTTGAGTGCTGTAGGCAGTTTCAGGTCGAGAAGTACAGTCGATTTCATCCTCCCTCCCCCTTTCCAAGCTATTCCAACCCTTTCTTCAACTTTGATACCATGTTTGCGTCGTGTAGCTGACCGACGACATTTAATTACTATAGGTTGATGCCTGCTCTCGCAATGGGCCTCTCCCTCCCGTCTGACTTCTTCTCCGCCTTCCATGAGACAGCGGATAATCAGCTGCGACTTCTACACTATCCCGAGGCGGAAAGGCAAGAGTTCGTCAAAGGGGAGAAGGGTCGTATCGGCGCGCACACCGTAAGCCTTCCCATCCCCATACATATTCCACGGCATTCGCTGATACGATGTCTCTCTGGTCGATTGTGTGGCGTGTGGCGTCGTGTGGCGTGGGATTCTTCTTTCCTGTGTCGAACGAATTCGTGAACAGGATTTCGGTACCTGCACACTCCTCTTCCAAGACTCAGTCGGCGGCCTCGAAGTCGAATCGCCATCGAAGCCGGGCGTATTTCTCCCTGGACCACCGGTCGAGGGCGCTATCGTGTTCAACATCGGTGACTTCCTGATGCGGTGGAGTAACGGTACGTCTCTACTCACCTGTCCTCGCAATCTCTCTCCGAAGATGGCCAATAAGAGATGTGTCCTTAACCTCGGTTGGTGGATGCTCAGATACGCTCAAGTCGACGCTTCATCGTGTGCGTGCGCCACCACTTAAAGATGGAGAGGCGGAGAATGGAAAGACAAAAGAGAGGTTCTCTATTCCTTATGTGCGTATTTATATGTTCACTGTCATACCTACCTTCTTTCGTCGCTTGAACTCCATTGCCTCCGATCTACTTATCTTCGCTTCCTGATTCTCTCTGCCATTTCTCGATCATTCTGCTTTCACCTATCTACGCTAATGCCTTGCATTATTCTTCTTCCACCAACAGTTCATGACCGCCGACCGCGAGAAGACTATCGATTGTCTGCCGACGTGCTGGAACGAGACGGACAGGCCGAGGAAATATGAGCCGATCAATGCTGGGCAGTATATCGATATGCGGTTGAATGCGACTTATTAGGTGTAGGATAAAGCATCGTTAGGCGCGACGGCTCGGTGGGGAGATGTATGATACGAGGAGGGGAAAGAGGGGGTGGAACATCGCATCGATAGACTATACTGTCATGTTTTCCTTCCCCTTTTGAGCATTTTTAGGAGAATAAATAACCTGTTCTTTGATGGTCTTCATGCGTATTCAGTAATGACACAATGGTGCACTTGAAGGGTCGAAAGGGCCCTTGTTTCTGGTCTCACCCAGCAGTAGCAGTATGCCGCGTTGAACGTTCTCTACACTTGACGAGTGGGTAGGTTTTTTGTAGATAGCTATGGACTACATATAACGAAAATAGATCCCGGTAGAGGATGAGGGAAGGCAGCGACGAAGGGCAGTATACGACGAAAGTCTGGGATGGTGAAGACAATGCTGTATGCATGAAGGCTAATAGTGTCACAATTGTGCGCATGAAAGAAATGATGGGAATCTGGAATGATGCTAGTATTCTTAGCTCAAGATGATTCCGAGATTTAGCGCTCGGCCTGATATACATCTTCGTGCGCTTGGGGTAATAGACCTTATATGCTACGAGTTTTTTGAAAAGTTTTCAATCCAGATCAGTACAAACTCAGCTCAAAACCGGGCGATTTCCAGTACAACATGCCCGGTGGCGCAAGAAATTTCTTTCTTCGTGATTGGCCGAGCGCGCTCCACGCCCGCCATTACGCTGAAGTAACTTGAAGCGACGGCGGGATAGTCAATCCAAACGAAGCCACACTTGGTTCAAGACCAATACAAGGTCAGTACAAAAAGAAGTCCAGTTTTTCACTAACATATAAGGTCTAATATGGCATTGAGACGCAAATGGGCGTTTTTTCTCAAAGGTCCAAATAAAAGCACTGCAGTAACACGAGTTTCTTTGGATCAATCCCAGGGCACTGCCGTACATACCTGTGCTGCGATACTCGACTTCTATACAGGGCTGCTTATTGCCTAGCACTGCCCTGATGTGAACGGTATCCTGTCTCATAATGACTACCTCCCATCTCCAAGGTCAGCATGCAAGTTCAGGCCGGAGCATAGTGCGGAGTACCTTAAGCTCGAGGACGTCTGAGTGGATAGTCTTAAGTTCAAGGGCCTGGACGACTTGGAGGGAAGTCTACAAACCGTCATTATATGATGCTGCGCCAAATACAAAGTGAGGGTCATCTTAGCTCACCTGGAACATATCTATTGTAATCCGAAGAGCATCCTCGCATTTGCCCAGATCAGCAAGAAGCTTCTTCCGAGACCAGAAGCGCTTCGCGCTACCGAGGAACCCAGGTGTACCAGATGACTGAATGAGAGTACTGATGACCTCCTGGAGCGCACTTCGAGGTTACACCGTTTGCTTCAGCTACTCTGGCGCGAATTGAAGCAATATATTCATAAAGAGCTTACCATTCCAGCAAGCCGAATGGTTTCTTTAGGTCATCAGGAAACTCAGCATTAGGCCCAAGGCGAGTCGCAAAGTCATCGACAATCTCTTTCAGTTGTGAGATCTGCTTCAAGAGGAACTTGCGCTTGTCATCCAAGTCACAGAGATCCTATGCCAGACGTTAATATCAGGATATATTACGGAGTATACGAAGAAGAAAGTATATGTACTTCATGCGCCTTCAAGATGTAAGCGATCAGACTGGACACCGTCTGGAGGTAGGGAATGCCTTGAGCCATATCCGGGAGCTCTTTCAGAAACAGTCCAGCGACGACGAATGCTTACATCGCGGCGCTAGCGGTTCCAGGCTGAGTATGCATCTTTTTCTTTCGAACGCTGTCGAGGACTCTGAGCGAGGAGTCGGTGGTACGAGACTTGGTGGGATCCAGTGTCTCCGCTAAAACGATGGTCGTTGTCAGCCTCTCCGCTGTCGACATGACGAAATAACACGCCCACTGACCGTTATTATTGTGCGTCTTTCCTTTCACGCTCTTGAATACGTTCCCCAGACAAATTCTGGCTGGCATTGGATAGCTCTTAGGTGTACAACGCCAGGAACACAGGGGACAGCTGTAGGGTATGATGTTGAACGTTGTCAAGAAGTGTAGTGCGCAAGGCCCAAGAATGGTGAGGGACAAGGAACAGCGTACTAGGCCTTTCCTCCATATGAGCGCGCCAGCCGAACCAGGTGTGCTGTGTCCTTGGATGCCGGAAGGAGTTAGTCAATGAAACACAGCTTGTGCAGAAGAGGATATCAACATCCCTGCAGAGTAACTTGAAAGAGCATGGCTATTTGAGCTGAAGCAGCTGACCACTCCTTCGGCTTGCCTTCAGCGCTTCAGCACTCAGTGACAATGGTGGGAAGCAATTCCGTTAATTGCAGGATTACCTATCATGGACTGAGCGACGATAGGATTCAGAGATGAGTCGCTCACGCAGCCCATGTCGGTCAACGCGCTCCTTTCACTTTCTGCCCAACAGCAGTACTCGTGGTCACTGTGGCTTATTCAAGAGAAGAAATATCAACAGCTGTGCTGCAGGTATTTATGAGCATCAACGGCCGCACGCGAAGTCACAGGGAGCAACACTCAATCAGGAGCGCACCATAATTTGACAGGATTTGTCTTTCAACCAAATCTTTTGTGTCAAATTACAACTGTACGTCTCCGAGGCTGTGTAGAAGTGTGGGTACTCAAATAATAGCTCTATGTCCAACATGAAGCGAAGAAGAACATAACGAAGAAAGAGATTAAAGATACAAACTGAAAGACGGCTAAATCGGGACACCTTTGATTTACACCATACAGGTACTGATCACGGTGTTTCTGCTCGTGGGAATGTTTGCAGTAGACATTCTGAGACTCCAGGGACTTTTTCATCATCGAGATGTTTGAAGAAATATTCTCAGTGGACCCCTACGATACGAACAGTGGCCTTGAATTTTGAGTCTAATGAAACGGCATATATGTTCACAATTGAGAAATTACATACCCGAAGCTCGTTAATCTTGGACTTTACTACTTTTGAATCTACAACTTGCATAATATGCAAAGCTGTCTGAGTACCCATGTATGTCAGTCAGTCTGCAGTCATACCCATGGCGGTGAAAGATCTAATACTGACGTTGAACAAAGTAAGAGCCATCTTCAAGTCACTATCGCACTGGTCGATCTCTGTTAGGAGTCTTGAGCGGTGCAGGAAAAGAATAATCTTTCGGCCAGCACATAATTTGAGGATTTCCAGGATCTGGTGTAGGACACTGAAATATGTGTGTCAGTAAAACTTTGCAGCGCTTTAGTAAAGTGACGATGGACTGACCATTCGAGAACTTCGAATGGTTTTTGTAAACCTTCAGAAAGAGCTGTATCCATGTGGCATCCACCGGCCAGGTCATTGAGAGCGTGTTGGACATCCTTCGCTCTTTTGATTAAGGCAGCTCGCCGATCTTTTAGGGTAATTATGTCCTAGAAGATGAGAGGCTGATGTCAGTATTCTACGTCAAACAATAGTATCGCAGCGTGAAAGGTAACAGACGTCGTTCGCCTTGACTATATATGTGATCACACCGGAAACGGACTGAATATACGGCACACTTTTGGTCATCTGGGACATCTCTGAAAGACATAGGGCAGCAAAGGTAATAGCGTCGCTGGTATGGTGTAGCGTGGTCGACAAAAGCTGGTCCAGATCTGTATCGTTGGCATCATTGGTTCACCGATAGAATCATGAATAGACATCGTTAATAAGACGCTCACTGGTCTTACGATGGGATCCAAGTCTCGTCCGTGTGTCGCCTCTCTCATTTTGTCCCGAGGATATTTTCGAGACGACTGTATCCTTGTTACTGTCATGAGCCTCCAAGGCGGTCCGAGGATAGTTACGGAACCGAAAACGGCGCAGTACCGACAATATATTGTCTGAACAGATGTGTTTGGACTTCTTGGATGCTTGCGCCTCTGGAGTCGTCTGTTCCATGTCAAAGTCAGAAAATACAACGTGCAGATGTCACGATGAAACAGGGAGCAAGGAGAAGCAAGCAAGGTGTGTAGAAAGAAAGTTTAAGAGGTGAAGCGGGTCAAGGCAAAGTGGCCATAAGGCAGTGCAAATGGCAAGAGAGACGTGTGGGCCTACAGATGTGGTGATCAAATCCCGAAGGACCAAGATTCTCAGTCATCATGATATATGGCGACGTCGCATACATGGGTATGACTGCCTTACCATCGTACAATTTGATTTTATGAGCAGCGTACAAGGAAGAAAGTGTACCAGAGATGCCTCGTTGAAGTGTGAGTGGCACGAGCCATCGGTGCGTGTGGCGACGTCCCAAAATAGACTGTCACAAGCACAAAGCGAAGTTCGGTCACTGCTTGAAGATTTTAATGTCTGGTAGTCCCAGAAGTATCTGGGTTCGAAATACGATTGAATGCGGACAGTGTTACACACAATCGCCAATCTCCTACCTTATCATATGCTCACACGAAGGTGTCATCGTCGTTATCCTTCAATGAGGCAAGTTTGGATTAAGTTATAGCTGTAAATGATGAGTAAATAGAGTCAGACCAGTGCCTGAGCACCTTTCTACAGGTAAGTCGAAACCTAGTTCATGAAATGAACTTACCCACAGCGAGAGAACCGCAGGTTGCGTCGCAAGCTATAAGCATACATCAGGATAGCAATCTCCAGTCAAATAGTAGCGTGAATTACGATGGTTGCAGAGGCACCGAAGTATATGTCCAATTGACACTGAGAATCAACCAACAGTCCTGTATGACGACATTGGCGATAGGATTCGTTAGATAATGCTTATACGGCCTCCACGTTTTGACTATGTAGGGAGGAAAGAGTCCAACTGTCAGCGTTTACCTTGAGCTCGACGGCTGATCGGGCAGAGACGGAGCATGGCAGATAAATTGTTCGCACGAGATGACATCATCAGAAAGTAATTCTCTGTTCCATTAGGGCATATTTGTAGCGGTTTAAATCGATTCCAGACGACGCCGTCCTCTTCAACCTCACCCACACCCTCGCCTCCCAATCCCACGACACCCAGCGCAAAATCTTCCACGCCTCTGCTAAGAACCCGACGAGTTCCGACGTGACGACGAGTAGCAGGAACGCAATACCGTGTTGCATCAGGTGCCGGAGGACGCGAAGGAGGATATTGAGGCGTTGAGTATCGGGACTCCCGTAATCTCTTTCTTCTAAATCTACCTCTTATCTGCACGATTAAATAGGAGCTCATTATGTAGCACTTCTTCCATGCATTGGTGAAGAGGAACACGAGTCACTTGGAGAGAGTGGCGATCATAAGGCTTCTGTGGCCCATTCAGCAGGAAGACACCGCCATTCGTTGCGTTGCTTTGGGATGGTGGCGCTTTTCAGGTAAGACTCTCCAGGATTTCAAGGAAGAGGGGTGTTATCACGACACCAGTGTCTGACATCACATAAATATCCTATGACATATGCTCACAGCGGGCGTGGCCGTGCCACAAGGGCTGTTTCATCTATTGCACTGATTCCTATCATTTGATTCAAGCCATGACGGTCCGGATCTCGCCACGTCTTTGTCAAGTAAGAATAAGTTGTCGAACGAGGCCAGCACACTATAATGCCCTATTTTGGTTTCTACGACTACGTTCATAATGGTATGTCTATCATTAGGTCTCTCTTCATATATTTATCAAAAGAGTGCGAAATACAACGATGCGCCCTTCCGTGCACATCCTTTACAATCAGCGACAGTTATAAAAATATACATCACGATCGTATACCCCTTGTTTTTGATCTAAGGGGTATCTTTGCTATACTTAGTACTCTATATATGGCTGCTGATGTTGATTTTTTTCATGACCCCATCTGTGCCCACTTAACCGCCCTACCGCCCTTTACTAGTCTCCCCTCCGAAGGACCGTATATAAGGTATGCGCCTAGAGTTATTTTCATAGTATACTGAAGAGACCCACTCAACTACAGAATCCGTCTTCAGATGCCTTCGGAAAACATGATAGTTGAAGCTATTGCAAGCCTGACGCTCGGGTATGCTTCCCTCCACTCTCGATATTTCTCATTTGTATGCTGACCCGATCTTCTACAGAATGATTGAGGACTATTTCACTGTATCGGCTCAAAGTAAGTTCTGGGAGCCTGCAGTACTGCCTCGTTCATTCGTTCGTTTTGAAGGGTCTAACGACGTTACACGTCAGCTCTATGGGTATTTGATTATATCCAGACGCTTCCGATGGAGATGCAGGTTATTTGGTGTAGACAGCTTAGTGGAGTTTCGATACTGTATCTCATCAACCGCTACATAATGATGAGTTCAATCGCCGCATACCTATTCATCGCAACACCTGGACCCTCTCGCGACAAAATGTGAGTTGATTCTGTAATCCCTTCCTCTGAAACTTTCATAATCGTTTTTACAGCTGCGATGTTTTTGCACACATTCACTATATTTGTGGGGCTACTACTGTAATTGCGACCAGCGGTGAGTTCCATGAGGTCCATCACACGGAGTTAGAGAGTAATTTTCCACAATATCACAGCACTGTTCACGATGAGGATATTCGCTCTACACTCTCGTAAAATTTGGATTATATTTATGGCGATGGTTCTCGTATCGGGGCGCGTTGCAGTGGATTACTGGGTGAATCATCTTATTCGAATTCTCTTGGTCTAGTTCTTGTACTGAAACTTATCACGTTTGTAGACCAGTAAAGAGCTTTATGGAACGCGTCAAGCACCGTTCGAGACATGGTATGTGAGGTGCAGGACTGAGAATCACAGCGATATCATCGTATTCAGGTATGCCGTGTCTTGTATATCTGACGGTGGAAAAATTAATCATACCCTAATTTCCATACCTAGATGTGAGTGGCTGACGTTGCCCTGTTTCTACGGTAGATGCTAAAAATGGATACTGTAGTGCAACTGGCAACGACAGCGTTGGCGTTGGCATTTGATCTTTTTGTCTTCGCCATGACACTCAGTAAAGCCTATTTTCACGTTCGGGAGATGCGGCGCTTTGGGAAAACTAGCATCTTAGAACTTATTCTCCGTGACGGTGCGTGTGCCCTGTCACCACAAATCCTGAATTACTCAATGAAACCGAACTTTGAAGGAGGTTTGTATTTCGGGTAAGCTTGCATGTCGTACAACTTCTACCCAATATGTTTCTGACTTGTCCAGACTGGTCTCCGTAATCTTGATTCCTGATATCACACTGCATATTGTGAGTGAGCAATCGGATTGCTAATCGAAAAACGTGTGGATCTGACACCCCTTTTCGGCCATAGTTGGCTCTTTGTGGTTATGTAAGTGTGTCTAACATCCAGATGGCTCGGAGGTCAACAAAATTTTACCCCAATAGTCAAATGAAAATTTGAGCACTATCAACAATATCTTCAGCACGTATAACGAGTAGTAAGTTGGCATCACGGTTCTCGTGATAAATACTCTGACAGCCCTCATCTTCTCCAAAGTATTCCAAATATTGTCATCAGCCGCCTAGTTTTGAATCTCAAAACGTATGATGACAAACGACTCACCAACCTGACCCATGGACCGAGTCGCGTCTCACTCCAATCAATCACTTTCGCACGTCGTAGTCAGAGCTGGTTTATGGGGAACATAGGCCAACCGTTGGACCATGAACAATGGACCTGTAACGATGAAATGGAGTCTCGTGAGGATGTTCTTGACATTATTCCAGAGAATGAAAGATGATTGGGCTCAGAAGTTCGACAACTAGAACTGGAGTAAGGCTCCCCGGCGACTTATTGTCCTGTGATGTGCTTAATTTGTACCATGGGGCATCGGCACGAGGCGTTGGCTCTGATTCAGAGCTTTTCTGTGGTAACGCTCTACATTAGTGCATATATATATAGCGATGTACATTCAACCCTTCCGCCAATCAGGGAACGAGCTCTGGCGGGGGCTCCAATGTTTTAAAGCACTACGTATATGCCATATTTTGTCTAGAGACGGAGGGAGAATGGTACATAACGTACCGAAACAAGATACCCTGAAATTGTAAAACCAAACGTCATGGAAGAGTGCTGAAAATTCTGTATATCTCTCTTGAAGTTCGCCCAGACACTTTGTGATCACTACTCACCAGTGTCCTATGCAGCGAATAGTTACTGTATGCTCTTCTCTCCACCGAGTAGCTGTACTTCAACTGCAGACGGTAGTAAAACTAGGCGGTTTGTCATTTCGTACTATGTCGAGTCTCGAGGTGATTACACTTCACCATGTTTCACTGATCCTGTATGACGACATTAAATAAAGAAAAATAAGTGTCGACACATTATTTGTTACCAGACAGAGAACAATTCTTTCAGCGTGGCCCTTGAGAACTCCTTATGTGACGATTAGCACAAGAGTAATGTGCTCGGGAAACCCCGTATCAATGATCTTCGCAGTTTATGGGCTGCTATTCTTTGCATCGATTCGATGCCTCTCCGGAGCGAAGTCTCTGGATCACCGCTCGCTTCATGACCTCTGAGCAGCTCTGCATGTCAGACCGAGTGAGTCCGATACTCTATGCTGGCTCGAGACCTGGAAGATCTTAAAACTGTCAACAATGGGGTGGTTAAGTGGAATTGAACAGGATGGACGTTTGAAAGACGAAAAGCCTACTCGGATGAGGTGGTTACTGCTGTTCCCCCGCCTATTATCCCGCTGTCTCGGTATTACCGTTCTATAATATCTTCCGTATTTTCTCTCCAAGCCATCGAGAAGAGAGGCTGAGTGGTCCGTCAACTAAAACTACTCGCCAGCGCTTGGTCCACCGATATGGTCTCTCGTACAAAGGTATCAACTCACGTTGAATAAATGACTCGATGTCTCCGCTGCTTGTCATTGTGCTGTGGGAGGATATACTGCCGACGAAACATTGTTTTTCGACTGTGTACTGCTCAAATTCGCTACAAGGACTCAGAAGCGCTACAACATTTCGACCTCCTAGGAGTCTTCCACCGCCTCCTCATCTCCGAGACCACCATCATGTGTCCTCGACATATCTCGTTCCCGCTTTCTTCCCAGAGAGACAGGAGCCGCTCGCGACATAGCTTTCCTGCAACCGCCTGTGTCACTGTGGACCGTGCCATTCGCCGCATCCTAGGACTGCGATACCCGGGTCGTCCTTTTCTTTCCGTCCACCATCTGTGCTGCCTGCCCACTGTATCGTTGCCTCATACAACTCGTCATTATTATCACTGTCGCCGAGAATTTCGTGTCGATTCACTCGGATAACAATGGGGAAGCTATTTGCATTGAAGAGACGGTCCAAGAAAGGTAATTATTGACACTCTTTCACCCAGAGTCCCAAGTGGTATTCAATGTTTTGTCATCAGAGCATACGCCCACAGCGATCACAGCGACCGAGAATGACACCATTGGCCCCGTAGTGGTTGACGGAGACCCATCGAGCGACTCCAGGGGACAAAGCTCTCGAAGCGCCGTCAATGTGAAGATTGTACTGGGTATGTTCAAGGTCGCATATTCTGCAATTCAATCGTCTAATGAAGGGAATTTGACTAGCGAAATGGCGGAAACGTGTCTCATTCTCCAAGGCGAAGACTCCGACCATGGAAGCCTTGTCCACGGCCGCGGGAGTGCTTAACGAAGTGGCAACAATGACGCAGGGCGTTCCCTATGTCCAGACGCTTTCCAATCTAATCACATATGTCGTCTCTGTCAATGACGTGCGTCCAACGAATATTATTTTTTTGATTCAAAATGATTTACTCATATATTGCAATTGCATAGGATATCGATTTGCTGAAGTTTGAACGAGGATTGCTAAGGGACAAAGTCCTACAACTGCAGAGCATGGTAGACGAGACGGAGAGGAGGCTTGGCCCCGATGTAGATCTTCCTATGGATCTTCAAGAGCCGTTCAGGATGCTCGAAAGGCAAGCTGCCCATAACAACTCACAGTTTCGTGATCAGGACGAGGGCTGACAAACGACTTCACACAGCGTACTCAAGCAGATCGTCGTCGTACTCAAGAAGTGCGTCGCTACTAACGGACCTCTGGGGAAAGCGAAACACCTGGTTTCGAGGAAAGACCTCATGAAGAAGATTGAGCGCTGTGACGCGGAAACCAACGCTGCTTTGGCATGCTTCAATGTACGTTTATCCATGTACTTACTAGCAATTGTGTTTATAATCGATGCTAACGGATGTGACGTTCCACAGACCAAGCTGCAAGTCATCCAATCCCTCGATATCAAGGGTGTACAGGTATATTTGTTTTATTATTTATCCAGCCTATAATTCTGACTTCTCATTACCATGCATAATTAGACGGACGTTGGCACAGTATCCGCCAAAATCGATAGTCTAACGGTGACTCTGGAGGCAGCCGTCACTGTGGTCGAGATGCGCTTGCGGAAAGACGCAAAGGGTAAGTACAGGCTGTGTCCTCGGTTTCTACAGGTTTAGATGCAAGTCAGATAACTCACGTACTTGCATGCTTCATTTATAGCAGGCAGTGCAGCGATCACATATGTGGTTGCTGTACAGTTTTTTTTTTAAAAACACCCTGCGCTCGATGTTTGATGCATTGATGCCTGCACACACTGCATTGCCACGAACTTCATCACGCCCATGCCGAGTAGATCACTAGTCTAGCCCAAATGATTCCAGGTGATCCCCCTGAATTGGAGTTGTTCATGTATCGTAATGAGCGTTAAATTGTTGTATATAAAGAGATCGACCGCATGTTGAGCTCGGGCAGCCGGGCTCCTCGATTGACCTCAGCCGGTTAAGTGAGGCGGACGTGGTGGACATGGACCTGCAAGGTTGGTTGATCCGTACGTGTAGTAAAAATGTGTAGTCTCAATCGGTGTTGTGCTCGGGTGTATCTTGATTTCGAGTTTTAGGATCATCATAGACAACCTGTAATTTTCAATTACATATCTGGACATTTTGCGTTGTGGCCCTCTGAGTCTGTGGCGAGAGAAAGTATGAAGAGGCTGACTAAGCTCTCGGGAAGCTCCGTCCGCCTGCTGACCCCGCTCGAGCCGTCGTGTTCGTCGTTGGCCTCGCCGACGCCGACGCATTCGCCGGACAGCTGTCGACGATGCGATGGGAATGCGAAAGCGATAGCCCTCAGTCGGCATTTTACATCCATCCGATTCGTCTTTATCTATGTCGATCTCTATACTTTATCTATTCCCGCGACTCTGATTCTGAGAAGGCACGCCATCACTGGCACTCGCTCGACTTGCTTTCGAACATCTACGCTCCCTCAATACTCTCGAACTCACGTCGAAGAAGATGTCTCCAGTGCTCAGACTAGGCGTCGACGTCGGCGGGACGAATACGTACGTTCGTCACCCTTTCTCTCGCATCCATCCCCACTCAAACGCCCCTATCTCATCCTCATCCTCCGTCCATCCAGCGACGCCGTCCTCCTCAACCTCACCCACACCCTCGACTCCCACTCCCACGACATCCAACACAAAACCGTCCTCGCCTCTGCTAAGAGCCCTACCACTCCCGATGTGACGACGGGGATCAGGAATGCCATCCAGTCTGTGTTGCACCAGGTGCCGGGAGACGCGAAGAAGGATATTGAGGCGTTGAGTATCGGGACTACCGTAAGTCTCCCCCTTGTCTGTACGAACAAATAGGACTCATTAGATGCATATAGCACTTCGTCAATGCGTTGGTGGAGAGGAACGCGAGTCGATTGGACAGAGTGGCGGTCATACGGCTCTGTGGCCCATTCAGCAGGAAGACCCCGCCGTTCGTCGGGTTTCCTTGGGAGCTTAGACATAGTACGTCCATATATCCCTTCTCGCTCCACCCTATTGTAATTGAAAATGGTGGTGCACAGTATTGGAAGGACCGCATTTCTTCGTGAATGGAGGGCTACAGATCGATGGGAGCGAGATCGCACAAGTGGACGAGAAGGAGATCGAAGCAGCCGCAGAGGAAATCAAGAAACAAGTCCGTCTCCGTCTCCTTCTCCCATCCCAATCCCCTCTCATCCTCTGACATACGCTTCAGGGCATAAACGCAATCGCAATCGTCTCCGTCTACTCCCCCATCGACTTCACCTTCTCCCACGAACCCCGTGTTTCTCGCCTCCTCCACAAGCTCCTCTCCCCACACATCCCCAACCTCGGCATCGTCTGCTCCCGCGACATCTCCAACCTCGGACTTCTGGAGCGCGAGAATGCTACGATCATGAACGCCGCGCTCCTGAGGTACGCCAAGCTCACGACGAAGAGCTTCGAGCAAGCCGCGAAAGAGCTGGGATTGGGCGGACGCCCGGTGTTCGTGACGAGTAATGATGGGACGTTGTTGAGTTGTGAGGAGGCGGGGAGGGTGCCGATTCGGACTTTGTGAGTTTCTTTCGTCTGTGTGGTTGTGAGTGAAGATATATAGGGGCTGATGGGTATCTATGTTAGCTCGTCGGGCCCTACGAACTCGATGCGTGGCGCGGCGTTCCTCGCTTCCTTGGAGGCGGGGAATAAACCGGGCGTGAAGGGCGAGGCGGCGTTGGTCGTCGATATCGGGGGGACTACCGTCAGTTTTTCCCTCTTCTTCCTTCTCTCGTGGTGTGGCGGGAGCTCACCGAGATGTGTTCGTTCGTGTGGCGCGTATTTTTAGACCGAAGTCGGGATGCTATTGTACGTTCCTTTCCGCCCTTCGTCTCACTGCGCAATTCGTTCCAAAATAATCTGACCTCTGTTGTATGTATCCGTGTTTGTATGCGTTCATCTACAGACCGAGCGGTTTTCCCCGTCAAGCAGCAGCACATCACGAACTCTGTGGCGTCCGTCTGAATTTCTCTATGCCGCACGTAACGAGGTCAGTCCGTTCGTCCACTCGTACTGTCTTCCTGATTTACATCGCACTCACGCAACGCAACTCTCTTTCCACGTCGTTCCACTCCCGCCCTCTTCCCTCCCATCGCCCCCCCCCCCCCTCCCCACTTCCCGCTTTTCACTCTTCCTCACCCAAACCCAAAACCACAGCATCGGCCTCGGCGGTGGCTCCCTCGTCCGTCAAGACTCCACCACGGGGCGCGTCACCATCGGGCCCGACTCGGTCGGATATCGGATAACGGACGAGGCGCTCGTGTTTGGCGGGAAGACGATGACGGCGACGGATGTGGTGGTTGCGGGGGGGTTGGAAGGGGTCGGCGATAAATCTAAGGTTGCTCACTTATTGCCCCACGGTTCATCATCCGGGGGCGAGGGAGCGTCGAAGAAGGCTGAGGCTGAGGGATTAGTCGAGAAAGCGCAGGAGAGGATCCGGATGATGCTCGAGAACACGTTGGACGCGATGAAGACGTCCCAGGCGGACCTGCCGGTTTATCTCGTTGGGGGCGGGTCCATATTGATAAAAGAGGGGGTGAGGATGAGGGGGGTTAGTAGGGTTTGTCGGTTTGGGTGGTTTGATGTCGCGAAGTCAGTTTTTTCTTTCCCTTCTTATTTTCTTCGAGGAAGGAGAGGGAAGGAGAACGTGGGTGCTGATTTATCGTTTTTTTTGGGCGGGATGTGACGTAGTGCGGTTGGTGCGGCTATTGCGCAGGTGTGTATCCTTTTTTGTGTCTTCGCCGCATTCTTTACTCTCCCTCTTCCTCGTCCTCCTTATTTTCTTCTCCCATTCCCATCTCTCATTCTCCCATTCTCACTATTTCTCTCCTTCACCCACAGATCTCAGGAACAATAGACACCATCGCCGACATCTCCACCAAGCCGATGGCCGAAGTGCGTGCGTCGATCGAGAAACAAGCGATCGAGAAAGCGATTGAAGCGGGTGCGGATGCTGAGAAGGTATGTCTCTCGTTTTAGTTCTGGGCGTTCGATTTATTGTGATTGTGTTGGATTGTGTTTTCACGAATCTCTTTCGTCCCGTGCGGCCTTATCAACACGTCTGGCTCCACTGCTAACCTTCGCTTCCTCAATTCTCGACCCATCCCATATGTCACACTTCCTCTTCTTCTTCTTCTTCTTCCTTCCGCATCGTCGTCGTTGAACTCACCTTGCTGTCTTTCATCCCACTCTAGGTCAAGATCATAGAGAGCGAGGCGATCCCGGTCGCGTATACCGCCGGCCGCTGCAGGTTCTACGTCAAAGCCGCGGGCGAATGGAGCGGCGTGCCCAAGAGCTCCGATACCGATGCCACTTCCACCACCACTCCGGCGAGCAAAGTGAAGGAGGTGAAGGAGGAAGTGAAAGAGGCGGTGGAGACGTTCGGGGAGAAAGTGAAAGAGGTGTTCTATCACAAGGCTGCGAACAAGGAATCGAAGGGCGTGAAGAAGGAGGAGGTCGACGACGACCTCGAAACAGCGCAGGCGATTTTGGACTACAAACCGCGCATCACCGCTTCCACTGCGAACCCGAAGAAACTGGAATGGAACATCTCAGCGACGGACCTGGCCTGGATCGCGGAGGGGTGCTACGTCCTCGGGTGTGGAGGCGGCGGCTCGCCGCATCATGTGTTTTTGCAGTTGAGGGAGGCGGTGAGGGCGGGGGAGGGCATTAGGGTCGTTGATCTGGGGTATTTCGACGACGAATCCAGCGAGGTAAAAGGCGGGGAAGGAGGACTGGTGGGGTGGGGTGGAGGGATGGGAAGTCCGGAGGTTTCGTCAGAGAGGTTACTTGGGGAGGAGTATGGACAGGCGATGGAGGAGTTGTTGGAGTTTATGCGGGTGCGTTTGAGTGTTTTTTTTTTCTTTGTCTTCTCTCTCTCTTTTGGAATCGGTGCACGCTGCTGATGTGTTGGTTTGTATCTATATAGATCGATAAGCAGAGGTTGAAGGCGTTGGTGGCCCTCGAGATCGGAGGCGCGAACGGGATGATCAACGTCAGTCTTCACCTACTTTTTGCTCAATCCGTGCCGCTCACTCAATTATAACTTGATCCTCCACTTTTTTTGGTATGCAGATGACGCTCTCTTCCAGCGGATGTATGAACGTTCCTATCCTCGATGGTGATTTCATGGTGAGTTTCGTCCTCTTTCACCTCGCCCTTCGCTTGTCCAGTCCGTATGTACTTACGCTACTCTGCATCTGCATAATCTAGGGCCGCGCATACCCAACCGGCTGGCAAGTTACGCCGAACGTGTATGATCCCAGCGAACGTTCGCTCAACATCCTTCCTGCTGCTATTGCGAGTGGAGACGGGAATTACATGGTAGGAATCGCATACATCAGAGCGCAATATGTGCAACGTCGCTGATCTGAGGGTGAAATTGGCTGTGCGTAGGTGATGACGAAGGCGAAGAAGAGCATGGACGTTGATTCGGCGTTGAGGGCTGCTTGTTGCGAGATGGGGTATGTTCATACCTATACCTCAACCTTCATCTCATTCGATTACTGTATTGCTGACTGTGGTGTTTTGGATATGTATAGAACGCACGTCGGATTCGCGAACAAACCTCTACCCGTCGCAGGATCTCTCCTTCGTACCTCCATGATCCGGAACACAGTTTCTCTGTCGTGGAGATTGGGAAGGGCGCTCGCTTTGGCGTCCAAAGGTTCGTTTACATTTCACTCTGACTTTTGGTGTAGTATGAGGAGGTCTGGTTGTTGACATGGTTGGATTGTTCGTCGAAAGGTGGGAATATTGGAAATGTGGGTAAAGTGCTGGTCGATGCGTTGGGAGGCGAGAAGACCGGAAGGATATTATTTGGTGGAAAGATCGTCGATGTTACGAGGAGGTACGTCCCTCCCTCCCCTCCCTCATTCTCGTCCTCAATCAATTCAATGCTGACCCTGAGTGATGGTGGCGCAGAGTCTACAAGGGCCACACGATCGGCGAAGTCCACATCGCTGCACTGGCGGTGGACGACGAAGATGTGGAGGATGGAGCGGAGGGAGCAGTGCAGAGGTTCGAGGGGACGATGGTGATTCCGTTCAAGAATGAGAATTTGTATGCGGAGGTGGATAAGGGGGATGGGAGCGGTAAGAAGGTGCGTGGTCTTTCTCTGTTTCTTTCCACTTTTCCACCGCCACATCTCCTACTATACTCTCCTCGCCGTCATCCATTCTTCCGAGTCCCGTCATATTAGCTCGTTGTTCTTCGCTCTTTTATCTTGATGTCGCTCGGAACTGACCTTCACCACCCCGTACAGATCGTAGCCACTGTACCCGACCTCATAGCCGTCCTAGACGCCCAATCAGGCTGTGCGCTCGGAACGCCAGACTATAAATATGGACTGAGGGTGCTCGTGCTCGGCATCACGGCCGCGCCGCAGTGGACAAGTACGGAGAGGGGGTTAAGGTTGGGCGATTTGAGGGCGTTTGGGTACGTGTTGTTCCAATCTCATCCTTTCCCCTTTTCGTGTCGCTGTGCCGTCTCGCGTGTGGCAGGTGTTCGGACGGTTGCTGATTGTTTGTTTTGTGCGGTGGGACGTGTAGGTTCGAGGGGATACCGTATGTGCCGCTGGGAGAGTACGTCCAGCCGAAGAGTGTGATCGAGGAGTATGGCGCTACGGCGTGTCAATGAGGCGTGAGGCGTGGATTCACGCCATCGTCTACTGCGGGATAGGTATATAGAGAAGATATAGGATCCTTTCGTTCTTATTGTTATGCCGAGATTGTCGTCGCTATCAGCGAATTTCTCTTCGATAAGGGGACTAGAACACAACACCGTCATACTCTCAATTAAGACTCTCGATACCTCCTCTTTGAGGCCGGTGAGGAATACGGACTCTTACGACAGGAGCACGTCGGCATAATATGGTCTTTCGACTCTTGACTGCTCAAGTCCGTTTGAGGTAGTTATTAAAGCCTCGAGGTCTGGGTGCTGTCCGAGCCTTCAATTTCCGCAGAGCCTTACACTGCCTTTTCCATAATTGACATGCATTGTTCCCGCCTGCTTCCCAGAGACACAGGAGCTCGAGACATAGCTTTCACCAGGCTATAGCAGTTGCGACATCCTGGTACGTGGATACTCGGGGCATCCCTTTCCTTCCGTCCACCATCAGTTCTGTCTGTCAACTGTGTCAAGTCGCCTCACACATCCCGTTATCACTTTCGTCGTCGAGAATACCAGTCTCTTCTCTCAGAAAGTACAATGGGAAAATTATTTGGACTGAGGAGACGGGCCAATAAAGGCAAGTGTTGTCAGTCATTCGGTCGTACTCCTGAGTGGTATTAATTTTTTCGTTGTCAGAGCACACACCCGCAACACCCTTAGCGGTAGAGAGCGACATTGTTGACTCCGCCTCAGTTGTTGACGAAAGCGCATCGGGCGTCAACGCGAATATCGCACTGGGTATGTTCTAGGTCGCATATTGTGCAATTTATTTGCCTAATGAATGGGACCTGAGTAGCGAAATCGCGGAAGCGTGTGTCATTCTCCAAGGAGAAGGCACCGACGAGGGGAGCGTTGTGCATAGTCGCAAGAGTGTTAAACGAAGCAACGACGATGATGCAAAGCGTGCCCGGCATCCAAACTCTTCCCTTTCTGATCACATATATAGTCTCCATCAGTGGGAAACATATCTCGTTCTCTGCGGCGGAGGCTCCGACGATGATAGCGTTGGACCTTGTCGGGGGAGTGGTGAACGAAGCAGCGACTATGACGCGGGGCGCGCCATATATCCAGACACTTTCCTGTCTGATCACATATATTGTCTCTATCGATGACGTACGTACAAAAAAATTTGGTCTTTTGAAGAGTCCATAATGAGGTGCTGACATGTTTCGTATGCGTAGGCTATCGATTTGCTGAGGTCTGAACGGGGACTGCTGAGATGGAAATTGCTACAACTGCAGAGCATGGTAGACGAAACGGAGAGGAGACTTGGTTTGAACGACGATCTTCCCATGGATCTTCAAGAGCCGTTCTGCCTGCTTGAAGTGTAAGTTTTCCCGACTGCTTCTATTTCTTTAACGGATTCGTGCCCAGAACGAGAACCGACGAAAGACGTCACTCGGCGTACTCAAGAGGGTCGCCGTCATTCTCCACAAGTGCGCTGCTGCTAACGGACCTCTGGAGAGACACCTGGTCTCCAGGAAAGACTTCATCCAGAAGATTGAGCGCTGTGACGAGGAACTCAAGGCTGTCTTGGCATCTTTCAATGTACGTGTGCCCTCAATGTGATTCATACTACGTAGCGAAATATGTACTTATAACCTCGATAGAACACATTAACGATAGTCCAATCTCTAGATATCAATGTATCTATCTCTCGGATGTCTAAATGCAACATCGAAGGTATTTACTGGAGTTTATCATTACGAGAGTGTGGAATCTCTCATCCCGGGTATTTTAAGTGAATGCATCCCCGTCACATAGCTCTGGTCCTACATCTACAGGTCTGAGCTCGACGAGCACAGCGGCCGACAGCGAATCCGTTTTCAAAGGCAATCTTGCCTCCGATGTACCTGTCACCAGCGGAAGCACTAGGCCTGCTGCCCAGATAAAAATGGCACTGGGTGCGCATAATTCCTTCCTTCTTGCACGGGTGCTAAGCGGTCTGACGAACGGACCAACTTCACATAGCAAAATGGCGTGCTCGTGTCCAATCTTCTGCATCGCCTGCATCGACCGCAGAGGATCTGTCTATAGCCGCAGGGGTCCTCAATGAGGTGGCTACGATGACGAAGAACGTTTCGTACATTCAGACTGTTTCGGATCTGATCACCCGCATAGTCCAAGTCAACGATGTACGTGCTCCTAGGTCATTAGGAACCACTGAATTCGAGACATTGATTAAGGATGTTTTCAGGCTATCGACCTGTTGAAGTCGAAGAGGCAGCCGTTGCGGGGGAAAGTCCTTCAACTGCAGGAGATCATACAGGACGTGGAGGAGCGCCTTGGCCCCGATGTGGATCTTCAGATGGACATGCAGAAGAGATTCCGAATGCTCGAGAGGTGTGGTACTTTATTAAAGACCGGGACATAGCATAAAATGCTGATCACTCGAGCTGGTCAGTGCATTGAATGAGGTCGTCCTCGTCCCCAAGAAGTGCTTTGCTACCAAAAAGGCAAGGCTCTTGTTGGCGAGGAAAGATATCCTCAGGAATATCGAGCATTGTGACGAGGAATTCACGGCTGCCTTGGCATCCTTCAATGTACGTGTGTTCTCAATGTGATTCGTATTACGTAGCGCAATATGTACTTATAACTTCGACAGACCGCAGTACAGATAGTCCAATCTTTGGATATCAAAGTATCTCCAGGTCTCGGAAGTAATTCCTGGACGTCTAAACGAAATATCGAAGGTATTTACTAGAGTTTATCAATATGAGAGTCTGGAATCTCTGAGGCTAGTATTTCAAGTGAATACATCTCCATCACATAGCTCTGGATCTACAGATTTTAGCTCGACGAGCACAGCGGCCGACAGCGAGTCCGTTTCCAAAGGCAGTCTTGCCTCCGATGTACCTGTCACCAGCGGAAGCACTAGGCCTGTTGTTCAGATGAAAATGGCACTGGGTGCGCATAATTCCTTCCTTCTTGCACGGGTGCAAAGCGGTCTGACGAACGGACCGACTTCACATAGCAGAACGGCGTGCTCGTGTCCAATCTTCTGCATCGCGTGCATCGACCGCAGAGGCTCTGTCCATAGCCGCCGGGGTCCTCAATGGATTATGAGGTGGCTAATATGACAAAGAACGTTCCGTACATTCAGACCGTCTCGAATCTGATCACCCACATAGTCCAAGTCAACGACGTACGTGCTCCTATGCCATTAGGCACCACTGAATTCGAGATATTGATTAAGGATGTGTTCAGGATATCGACCTGTTGAAGTCGAAGAGGGAGCTATTGCGGGGGAAAGTTCTCCAGCTGCGAGAGATCATACAGGACGTGGAGGAGCGCATTGGCCCTGACGTAGATCTTCCGATGGACATCAGTCGTTCCTTCGAGTCTGGCAACAATATTGCTAATCCTAGTATCGTTGGCAAGTTCTCGTGGCACGCGGGTTGAATGAACGGTTGCACTGTCACATTCATCCTACACCATCTATCTCTCATCTCTCAATCCAATGCTTAAATCCGAACATATGGGGACCAATCACTGACGAGTTTCGGCAAGAAAGATGATTGGATGTCGTGTCTCGGCGGTTGCATATGAGGACAAGGGGTTTTCCTAGTCCTGACACCGGCTTTCAGATACTTAATATGCACAGTGCAAGACGAGTTTCACGGACAGAATCGCTCCGATGTACCCCATCTCGTGCACCAACAGTCCCACCACCACGCGAATCGACCTCCTCTTTCCTACACAAAGCTTCCAATCTTGTGCTTTTGATCCTTTCACTGGCCGCGCCGCTCCGTTCTGGAATGTGAAAGTAGAATTGATGCTTCAGATCATGAGAAATTCGCTACAAAATAGAGTGGCCGGGATTGGAGCTTGTGGCGGATTCAGAGTCGGACCAATCCGTGGAAAGATCTTCATCGTGGCCGTCTGTCGTGCCGTGGATCCAAAATCATTCTCTGAGAGCTCGTTGTTTTGTCTTGAGTACTGCGCTCCCGAGACACAGCTACAAACTGAGGAGGAGATCGAAGAGCTTCGAGTCGACTGAGTTTAGAACGAGTGCATGATGGGTGTCGCCAAGGAATCCTTTGAAGGTAATCGGGCAGCAGCTGTCTGAGACAGCCAAGATTTATACATTATGGCTTAGAGGTGGAAAATCAGCTGTCGAAATAGAAGAAGCGTTGAGGAGCTGAGTAGTAAGGGGATTGTATCGGAGGAGATCTCTATCTTCAAGGTCGTCCGGTGACTTTGAGTGACGGTGGGTGGTGGCGTATCCGAGGGCTTGAGAGGAGTAAGAAACGTTCGCAGACGAGCTCGAGACCACAGGCGATCTTTGACCGGAAACAACCTTGTTGTGAGGGTTGATGCAACATGCCGTAGATTAGGTTCTGTTCGGATGCTCCGTGGAGGGGTTACTCACTATGAGATTCCTGAGGAGGAGATCCACCGGGCTATCCAGATGTGGGATTGAGGAGGCTTGAGATACAGAAATGACGGTGAATTATATCCAGAAGCCCAGGTTGAGGGTGTGACCTTAGTATTCGAGCCAGCTACGGGCCATTGAGAGATTGAGGGCACGCATCACCATCGGTCACAGACATGATTCGGTGACCCGTCAAGCTCTTCGTGTTCAGAATCTCAGCATCATCATATCATCAAAGAATACAGATAACAAGCATAGCGAGAAGACCTATCCCATCATTGCGCACACATGCGTCGAGCTCGTGGTCAAAGGGTTTACAATGAAAACGCATGATCTAACTATACAACACGTAACAGTGAGGACAACGATAAGATGGTACAGATACTCAAAATTGGGCTGACCTCTGGCTCCGGTGAAGGCATGTCAAAGTCGATGGACCAAGGAGAGGATTGTGTCGATCCAGACTTCTGCAGCTCCAAGGCGATCACGCCCTCGTCAGCAGCCCGTTGAACAGTCTCTTTTTCCAAGTCTCCCACAAGCTCCTTCAACACCTCCACCGGAATACCAAAGGTCGGCGGGTCCCAATGGAATACGGTCCCATGAGTCCCAGGAAGCTGTAAGTCAGAATCATCGTCTATTCGAGATGGTAGCGGTGGGTCAACAAAAATGGGACATGGTGATGAAAGGGAACGGACATACTCTTGAAAAGCTTCCGACCGAGTTGCCAGCACGCCCAACAGCACTTTTTGCTCACACCAATGGATAGAGGCTAGGCAAGGTTTGTGTGGTACGGTCAGTAAGCGCTGACGAGACAAAACAAATTCAGAAGACCTTAGAAGAGAAGATGCTGCGGAGCGAGGCCTCCAGGTTGTCTTTGGAAGCGCGCGAATGATTGGCCAAGGCCATGAGCGCCGCCTCCGCATGAGTGGGACCTTGAAACCGAGTGTACTGATCTCCTTGTTGTTTGAACCATTCCTTCGCTTCCTTCGCGCCTCTTCTCTGCCCAAACTCCCTGTCGATGCCGGCTTCAATTCTGTTTTTGAGAATGTCGACGTCGGTGATCGTAGCATTACGGTGGGTAGGGATTTTGATCATAGTCGCCGTCGCGTTTCGCAGATACTGTACCTCCCAGACGTTAGGCGACGTCCGGTGTCCGAAGGGGCCTGTCGCGTCGCCTATTTGGGCGCTTGTCCCGGTGTCCCGAGGTTGTTGTCGCCTAGGGTGATATATTCGTATTTTCTCGTATTTTCTTCAACAAATAATATAAAATTGTTTTAATTAGTCTTTAGATACAGAACTGCAAGTATCACTGCAAATGGACGCGAAAACGAGAAAGGTTCGAAGTACTGACCATTTGTACAGGGCCAGGTGACTGTCCCTCAGAGGCAAGGTGACTGGCCGTCGCCTGTGTCCCGCTGTCCCAAGGGTCCGTCGCCTCCTCACGGGAGTTCCCACGTTACGTAAGCGGTCGTCTAACGTCTGGGAGGTACAGTAGTCGGCATAACGAATGAAATAGGCTGTGGCGGCGTGCCACGAGATGTGTCGGAAAACCGGCTCCGGGTATATAATCACTTATAGTGGCTATCGGAGCTATCCAGCGGCCCGCCGGTTTATGGTCCTTAAGAGGGTCACCGCGCGCGCTTATAAGGCCGCATATAAGGGCGACCTACCTTATAAGGATAGCCGGCACCGGCCAAGAGGTGCGCGGCCGAGAAATCCCGCACATCTGAAGGTCTTCAGTTAGCTGTCGGCTAGGGGGGGGTGGGGGGTACCCTTTGACGTTCTGCACTCGGGGTCCTCTGGGAAATGAATTTGATAATGGCGCCACATCTTAGAATAGGCTAGTACATCGGGAAACCAGTCCCCCGCTAACTAGGAATAATTATCGCTACGGAGCCATAACTAGCATTAGCCGAGAGTAGTCAACCCCCCTCTCTAATTAGGATCTATATCGACCTAAAAATATACTATTGCACTGACCTTCACGCACGCATATAGGGTCTTATTAGCAGCGGATGAGGCGAGCGTTAGTTGATGCCGATGATCAGAATAGGATGTGAATGGTGCCACTTTGGGCATGGTTTAGATTATGAATATAAGAAAAGGATACATCTTTCGGGACGGTATACATTTATCTGCGGCTAGCACGGCGTAATGTCGAACCCACAGCGGCAAAATTGACTGCCGTGTTCACCTCGCCCTGCCCTGCACGCATGGCAGCCGATAAGGTCGACGTTCCACTAGAGATAGCCAGCCATTTAGCATCAGAAAAAAGAACCGAACGATCTCAACCCACCTTGCCACATCGTAGATTGTGGACATGATAATGTGATAGCTGGCTACACCGCCATTCTTGATTTGCTTTAACGTCGCCATATGGTTGTTGAAAATAGGCTTGAACAACGAAGCTTGGAACTGTAAAGGTTGGTGGAAACCGGTCTGGTAGTCCATGAGCCCTGCCGCAGCCTAAGAGAAGGTCAATACAAAGTATCAGTACTGGAGATTAGGACACAGAAAGACATGGAGGGCACTTACGCAGGTTGCTGCAAAAGCAACAGCGACCATGGGCATCTCGCGTTCGTCGGGATACTCGGGATCCGACGATTTGAAGTCGTCTTCTTCATACCTGAAGATTGGGTCCGCAGAGAAGTACAGAGCGTTAGTGTTGGAAGTGACGATGGTCGAGCAGAAGGGCTGCGTGTTATCAAACTTGTATTTCATCGTCTAGCTCGCTGTAAGCGCATGTTGATAAGACCGACAAGTAGAAACATACCGTGATATCGAGGTCTCCCGGGAATATGTACCCATCGTTGAGGAGAAAAGCCTTCATCGCAAGGCAGACTTTTTCGGGACCAATGAACTTGGAGAAGTCGATCGCGGTCTTTGTGACTGGGCGAGTGGCCTGGATTGCATCACTACGGATGTTACTGAGGCGCTGGCGTGGCTGATAAACCACCGAAAAGAAGCACATGAGAGTCGTAAAAGATGGAGAGAGAAAGTCACGAACGATAGGAATGAACAACTTAGCGTATGCATCATCGGTCTCCATGTGAGACACAATCTCGGTGTAGCCATGCTTGTGAGCAGCCTTGACGATAGCCTTTACACAGATTGCCTCTGTTTCCGTGGCGCCATTGGGGAACGGCCCTTCGCGGAACATGAGGGCTGGCAAGATATCGTTAGAAGCGACGTGCGCTGCCTTCCTTACCTCAGTCGTCTGCTGCGTGAGCTGCGCCAACTTGTTAGGAGTGTGGGTACGCGTGACGAGGACCCAGTAGTTGGGGTCACTGGGAGTCGGGGTCAAGGCAACGGCAACGGCGGGTTGGGTTAGGTTGGTGGGAGTCAGACCCACGGTCGTGGCGGCAGGTGCCGCCACCGGGGTGCTCGTTGCTGCCTGTGGTATAGACAAAAACTATGATCAGTAACAGAGCATCGAAAGTGAGTAGAGTAAGAGATAGACAGACCTGAGGAGCAGTAACGTTCACAGTGGTGCTCACCTAATCATGGCCGTCAGCATCGCTCGATGGCGCAAGTAAATAGTACACATACAGCCGCCATGATAGGACCAACATTGGAAGAGTTGTTCAGGGCAGAGGTGGGTGCAGCGACAGGAGTTACCGACTATGACATGAACAAATTGTACAGTATCAGTAAGACATGTGATACCAAGTTGCCAGACAGGGCCACGAACCTGATTCGTAGACGCGTTCACACTCGTATCGACCTGGGCAAATTCGTCAGCACAGCTTTTTATGCCCTAAGCAAAAGCACCACTACGTACCGCTACAGTTGCCGTTCTCGTACTGGCGGTATTGGTGAGGGTCTTTAGGGTAAAAAAGTAACGGTCAGATCACTTTAAGATCGAGTAAATACATAAGGCATTTGATACCGTGGCTGCCGGTGTCACACTTGATGCTACCGTCACAGAACCATTGGCATCGTCGTGACCATTCTCCTGACACAAAAAGTTTAATAGATAAACAGGAAAAGTGAAGGAAGATGGATCCTTACCGCTGAAGAACGAGCGGTGGAGGCAGTCACAACAGAGTTCACGACAGCGGCCTGGGAGGCCGTATTGGTAGTCGTTACACGCTTGCAACCGTCACTCTGTTAGTTGACATCAGTCATATTCGGAGAGAGACCAAGCACGAAACATACCTTCTGCTTGCGCACCTTCCCACCACCAATTGGTTCGCCCGATGCATCAGACCTTACAGTCTCCTTTGCCGCCTAACCATGCGTAATATGTCAGCCTCAACAGCTATGATAGATCAATCTTGTAACATACCGCAACCTGGCCAACACCGGTACCACCTTGTGCAACTCTGTTATGACCTTCGTTGTCATCACAGTCCTTGCTCAAGTCCAGGACAAGACGACCGTGACGGCCACGGGGCAGCGTCGAGGGGGAATTGGCGGCGTGACCGCCTTGAGAAACGAAGCGAGGAATCTATAGGTGGTTTATTAAGTATAACGACAGAAGGAACAATCACTGATAAAACAACACGTACCCCCTGGGCCATCTTGGCCACAATATTGGTCTGTTGACGAGTGGAGAGCTGCTCATCCGCCTCGCTTTCCAAACCAAAATCTTCATCGGCTTCCATGGCCTCGTCCTCGTCGTCCACGGGCTCATCAGGATCATCCTCCGAGAAATCAGACCCTGCATCATCCTCAGCAAAGGCAGCAGCAACGACGTCTTCTTGAACAAGAGACTCGTTGGCCGCGACTATACCATCTATGCAAGTGGAAGCAACACATAAGCAGGGAAGTAACATATGATAAGGCAGTGATCAGGTAATACACACCATTGTACAGGTCTGTGTCACTGTCGTTGTTGGCAACAGCACCGTCATCTACATTGTCGGCGGTGAAGGTAGCAGACGCAGCGGTTGGAGCAATTCCTGTGAGAATAAAAGTGATAAATGGTGGGAATTCGGATGCAGGGCCGGAACGCGTGGTGGTGACGTTATGAGTGCCATGCTTCGCAGCTCGTACTCTTCCATCACCAACCATCTTCACACTCACCTTTCACTCTCTTTCTACTGCGAGCCTCTTTGGGACTTTGAACATCTCCCTCGCCAGCACCATCAGGTGCATTACGTTTCAATGGACCCTTGTGCGCTGCGTTGGGGTCCAACCAGTCTAGGAAGATGACGATCAGTGAGCGCACTGTATGTTCTTGGACGACAAGGAAACAGAACTAACTTTTTTTCAACAGGGCCTGTGTTTTTGATGATCGAGGTCCTAGCAATGAGACTGATGAGATGTAGAGGCGAGTGATAGGAAAAGTGGCTACTAACCATCAGGCGCTTCAGCCTCGTCTGCCCTCTGCTTTGCAGCTGCTTCCTTTCTCTGCTTACTAGCAACATTGCGAAGTCTCGAGGTAAGAGCTTTCTTTTGGTCTCCGCTCATACCTACCAAACTGATACTATCCTTGCCTTCCGCTACAGCATTGGATGATTTTGTATTGGCGGTCCCTGCCGCCGCCTGTCTTGTCGCAGATCGAGTAGGGCGAGCTTTACCGGACATTTTGCAGCAAGAAATTGGGTGGTGTGATGAACGAGCTCGGTGGTGGTGGTAGTGTAGACGAGGGAGAGTCAAGGTGCGTAAGAAATTTTCTGGGAATCTCCGCCATCGCCACTGATTATCAGCAACATTCCACCGATTTCCACCGATTTCCACCGATTTTTGGTCGCCAGATATGCAACTGCTGAACGTGGGTTCGAACACCAGCAAGGCCATTCTTAATTCCGGTCAGAGCAATTTCCCTTGTAAACCCATCACTCATAAAATTCCTCGTACACCTTTACTGATACGAAAACACAGCTTCTCTATTTATCAGAGTATGCTGGCACAAGTCGAAGATTCTTCATCGTTCTCTTCCTCCGATTCTGCTACACAGATCTCATCATTCTCTTTGTCTGCTCCCTCTACGCAGCCCTCATCGTTCTCTTCCTCCAATCCCCGTGCACAGCTCGGTTCAGCCTCCCTCCCAGAATACCTCGAAAAGGGAGTCCAGGTTGAAGTGAAAGATCTCCGAGAGCTTCTTCCACTCATTCCCCACGAAAGGCTGATGGGCACAGAGGCATCACAGAAGAGGTTTGATTGGGAGAGACGAGTAGATCATATACTAGGCCTAGGTCCCGAGTGCGTCACATTCTCTTGTACTCATATTTTGATCCTTGCGAGCCTTACATATTCATTTCAGCCCTGATCCTCAGGAGACCGCAGCATTTCAGCGTAGGATACGCGAGCGTCGGATACGCAGGGCCAAGGCAAAGAGGTACGTTGTATGGTTGAGTCTTTATATCTTCATCCGCATACAGACCTATGTCTTCCTCCCTTGATTCTTTAGTCCTGACTCCACGCTGAGATGGACTATTGCGAGCAAATGAACACACAAAGTCGAGCGGTGTGATGGAGTAGGCGATGGGGTGCCTGGCATTATGTAGATCATGGTGCTGCGGCGAAAGCTATACAAGTGTAATAAATGTATGACGGTCTGTATGTGAATTAACAAAGAAGGTTGAACAGCGTTCCAATACGTTGTCGCTCGTCCAGCTTGTCTCTAATACCCGTCCAAACCTCGGGATCAACAGCACGCTGCGACGAATATCATCCACATTCTCCACAGTAGCAAACCGCCGGCCACCACGCACTTCACGGCTGATTTTGTACATGAGATGATGGGCTTCGGGCTCGCGCTTGAATGGTGTAAACCATTCGATATACGCAAGATGTGTGGGCCACTCAACTCCAGCTGAGAACACTCTCTCCCTAGCTGTCTTGGAGAGGCTGAAAATCATGCGCAGTTGTCCAACTCGGTAACCTATGCAATGACACTGAGCTCAAGAAGGAAAAACCGGGAAAAATGATTGAACGACGTACCTTCGACGCCACAATTCTCCGCCTCGCCTGAACCATCATCTAGGAGGACTGTGTCAAAGCGTGGAGGGACAGGACGGTTCTGCGTGTCACGATAAGGAGGTCGAGCATGGGCAGCGTCGAGGGTGGACGGAACGCTATCGCGTCCTTGAGCGTCTGAGTTCCAGAATTTGATGCGGTGGAATGCCGCGACAGATTGAAAAGGAAGAATGAAAGTCGAGGCTGTATCTTTCTGTTGCTGTGGCGTGAAAGCGGGATAGGTACGGCGAACAATGTACTGTCGAAGGGCTAAAGAGAGATCAACAGCACCGTATAGTCTGGCAGCATTGGCGAAAGAGACAGCTTTGATGTTGGGCCGGTTTGCAATGTGAATGTGGAACTTGGGAGGTAGATCGGGCGGATGTGTTGATGGCGGTGGGCATCCATCGAGTCGCCACTGGATAAAAAGAGAGTGAACGTGGATCTTCTCGCGACGCAGAAGCCACGTCGCCATTTGTGGATATTCATCCTTTCGGTTTGATGCTCGATATGCGTCCTTGGCGAAGTCAATGTGTAGACGCTCAGAGTATGCAGTGTTGAAGTTGTCGGCGGTGCCGAACAAGCGGACAGCGGGAACATAATGTGTGAGCGAATGCATTTTGGGAAAGTTGAAGTGTTCACGTATGCCAAGCTCAATAAATATAGCTTTATCAGCATGGAAGGTGGTGAGGGATTCCAGCATATATCGGAGAGTCGCCTCGGAGTGAGAAGGGTATTGGGCGAGATAAACAAAATCGAGGAGAGACCTCACTGCGCGAACAACACGAACAGCTGATCGGCCACCTGGAAGCGGAAGATCGACGATTACTCCCAGAAGTACACGGCAGATATCTTCGTGCTCGGCGCCAGAAACGCGAGAGAGAACAGATATGCCTTTGGAGAAAAGGCGGACATTGTGATTCGGTGGAAGACGCTGAAAGCGTGCGTCAAGAGCCGCCTCGCCATACACCAATTTCAACCACGCTATGAGATGCTTAACGACACCTTGGTAAAGCTGATGCAGGATGTCGGGCATGATGGAATAATAGGGGTTGGCGAACGGAAGGTCGCTCCAGAATGGATCGACAATCGGTTTGATTCCGGCCTTTCGACAGGCCTGAACAAAAGCGACGGGTCCTTGAGACCAGGTTTCTAGCGCATCGAGAATAGTGTTGATGTCGCGACGGGTGCACTCGACATTTTCGCCCATGAGATCATGGTCGATTTCGCCTAGCGGGCACTCGCCGGTCTTGACAAGTGCACCTTGAACTTGTTCAGGGTAATCCCAGATAGCGGCAGCAAGAATGGGATGGCACCGTCGAACTACACCGTTTCCGCTCGCCATGTTCTCCCCCTCACGTCCTGGTCCCTTCATCGGCGTGACCGCCAACCGCATGCAAGAGTGAAAAAGATTTGAAAGAGCACGTCGCCGTACGTCAACGTTCTTAATGTGCTTAAGGCTGGTAACGGGGAGGTAGCCGAGTAAGATTTGCGCCTGGCGAGACGGCTTTCGGCGGATGTCCTTGGGAATATTACCGATGGTGATATAGACGGGATACGCTGATTTGTTTCGGAAGACTGTAAGCTGAGTCTTGTCCGACGAAATGAGGACGGGGATGATGGTTGCACCGGGCTTGATATCCTCCAATGCGACCTATGTAGCAAACTCATTAGTATTCTACGCAATATGACTAACCGGGGGACACGCCACTGTGGCTCTCATATGGGAAGCCTTCAATGGCCTGATGTAATTGGCCCATTGAAGCGCACAAAGGAATAGGAAACTACAGATGCGTACCTGAGTTTTCCACCACCAATCCGTTGTGTGCATGTCGGAATATACACGGTGATCACGAGTTTTAGAGGGGTCTGTATAATGGTGTTCGGGGGCGAAAACGAGGATCGGGGCGAAGTCAGCTGCACCATAAAGTGCTCGGATGCATTCCATAATGTCTCGGAGGAAGACTTCCTCCATTTTCCCTTCCACTTCGACCTCATAACGCTTGAATTCGGGGCGTCCAGGGAGTTTCTTATCGATTATCTTATTGAGTTCTTTTGAGTTCTTGTACGACAGCTCCAGCCTTTCGGCAACCTGAGTCAAGTGCACAGTCAGTTCATTGCGCCGTGGAGCTCGGATATACAGCCGCTTACACCATCAATCTTCAGAAGGTCAGAGAACGCAGTATCTCCTGGGCCACGCACCTTGGCCCATTTCGCCACAGCCCAATCGATGAAGTGGGTGTACGGATGGTACGGATTCTCATCAGAGCCTCCAATCTCCTCCTGGTACGAGGCAAATGTCGGAATCTCGGTCTCTCCGGCAATAGGTTCAGCGGCCCGACCACCAAAAGGCTCAATGATTGCATCCTCAAAGAGAGCCTGAGGATTCTGTGGTGCATCGTCTGCACGATGAAGGAAGCGAAATTCGTCTTCATCCATCGGCTGGGGAAGTTCCGGGTTCGGAGGAGGAAAGCCGTGATCTGACTCTGACAACGAGTCCGGCAGAGGGGGATGCCCACCATCCTCGTGAGTACCAAGATCAACTTCATCAAGCTCCGAATCGTCTGAGTCCTCATCCAACAAGTCCCTTCCAGCAGCCTCTACCTCCCTTTCATCCTCTTCTCCCCACACCAACTCGCCCACTTCATATTCCCCAAAAAAGTCTTCAACACGATGTTCGCCAGGACTCGGAGGTGTAGATGCACCCAGGTTCGATGGACCAGCGTTCGCAGAGGAGCCAGCAGCTGTGCAGTTCTCGAGAGTGATAGGCTGGTGGGGCTCTGGCTCAGGAGCAATAGCAGCATGGATAGCAGCAGCACGAAGAGTTCGTTGGTGGATTTTACAGCGAGGATCTTTTGAGAGCGTGAAGTGGCGAGCAAGGCCTTCGGACGATAGCTTTGTCTTGCCGCAGCCGCCACAGTGTTCCATAATATAGATTGGATATATATGTGTGTCGTGAGTTGGATTACAAGTGCTATACGGTATGCAGGATCTGCAGCATGCAAGACAGGGCGAAGTGCAAAGATCCTGTCTGTGGCGCAAAAGCAACAAAATCTGTACCGGATAATTCCAGCGGAGTTTGAAAAACCTGACTGATTTCTATCAGGCCGAGGACGGCCTGACACCAAACAGTCAGGTTTCCTACACTCAACAACCTGGCTTTTGTCTGGCTCCCTGAAGCTGAGTTCCAATCAACTCAACACTACTAGAGCCATCAGCAAGTCCAGGGGACAGTTTCAGACATGAGCGAGGAGAGCTGGAGCGAGTGGCGAGGCAGCGAAGCGGCCTTACGGGCCGCTGCCAAGCACAATTGTGAGCCCAAATTCCCGCTTGCCCTTTGAAGCAAGCGGGAATTTGGGCTCACTCTTAGGCTTGGCGGCTCTCCGGCAGTGGCCCAACGCCACAGATGTGCACAGTATGGAGAAAAATGAGAGGAAAAATCGACAAAAAAGTCGCGAGAAATAGGGTACAGATGATGTACACAATTAAATCAACGAGTGCAGTCTTGAAGTAATACAAAATAATGTATGCATCCGCAGAGGGTATGTTGAAGTGCGACTGCCCAATGCATAGACGTTGCAGAGCACGACTACGGTAAAGAAAGTGTAAACGAGCCTTCAGAGCGGGAGGGGCCAATCTTATATGTCTCAGCGAAGGGTATGTCGAAGTGCGACTGCCCAAGGCGTTGACGGTCATAAGGAAAGGGAGTTGCATCGCTGGTAGGGTGAGTTTATATAGAACTCATACCCATACAATTAGGCTCACGATAGTTGTTCTTCAATGATCAAGCTCACGCCGGTCGCTGCCACAGTAACCTTTTAGTAGCTCAAATGCGCCACAGCAACTGCCTTCCATTAAGCTCACGATGAATTTCCATAGTACATAGGTTAAAGAAGGGAGATCTACGAACCCCGATTCATTATACGAGTTCAGTCTGACTACTACTCGGAATCCATTCGCACCCTCCTCATCGTGTTCCGAGTGCACCTCTAATATTGTGCCTGCGGAACGCCTCGTGCGGCCCACAATAATGACGCGCTAAGACGCGCTAATGAGCGGGACACGTCGAGAGGTGGGTGGCTAAGTGCCGCCTCAGTAGCTGACGGCTAGCGCGGAATTAGGGGCGGACTGGTTTCCCGATGTAGGGATGACTGTGGCACAGGACAAAGGAGGCGATGGCAGCCATATCGTCACCTTCAAAGAGACACGCGGAGACGAGAACCCATACATGTAGCATACTATACAGCAATGAGTCGCCTACAATCCTGTACTGTACATGGTCACTAAGTATTAGGGCCCTTACGGGTCCGGGTTTGATCCGGGCCAGTTAAGCTATCCCCCCGCCAAACTGCGGACCAGAATGTTCGATGGGGGTTCGCTGGAGGATACGCACTGAAATCAGCTTGAAATGTACTTACGGATGACAGGTTCACATGCTGTTGGTGCGGGAGGATTGTCACGCCGGAAAGAAGCGTGATATGAGTGACACAACGTCATTGCTTGGTCATCACAACGCCACCTGTCCATCCTGTTTTCGTCTTTCTCTTTGTCGTCGTTGCTGGACTCTCTGTCTCGTTCATTTCATCCTAATTCCACTAGTTGTTCTTCTCAGAACATGTCAATCTTGCTCTATGACGAGTGGGCCATATTGAGGGTCATGACGAAGAGGGGAGTGCACAATCTGACGGTTATATAAACTCATCCTGCAGATTCCTTTGAGGCTACCAAACCGCGATCCATCTACTCTCCATCCAAACTCTCAATAACTTTATTTATCCCAAAATGCCGGCTTCTACTCGTGCTTCCACAACCATTCCCGCCGATCAGACTCCCACAGCAACTCCCACCCATCTCACTTCCAACCCCACGGGTGCCCCCATCCTCGCAGATCAGCTCACTGAACCAGTCGGTCATCAAGATGCTCGTGTTATGCCGATAGACGACGCTCCGGATGCAGGGTCCGTGCCACCTGTGGACAGTGTCTCGGATGATGACGGTGGGGAGCAGGGACGGAAGGGGAAGGGGGAGGGGGAGGGGAAGGGGAAGGGGAAGGGGAAGGGGAAGGGGAAGGGGAAGGGGAAGGGGAAGGGGAAAGGGAAAGGAAAGGGCAAGGCAAAGGGAAAAGGCAAGGGCAAGGCAAAGGGCAAGGCGAGGGTGAAAGGAGGAGTGAAGGGGAAAGGCAAGGATCACGAGGGCAGTGTTGGCGGCGATGACAATAGTGATGAGGACGAGGACGAGGACGAGGTTGAAGAGGGTTCAACCCGTGCACCGCCTACCAAGTGGGATACCGCTAGCGACGAGACTCTTCTGGCTCATCTTGAGGAGTGCCGTGCCGCGGGTCAGCAGTCGGATGGGGGTTGGAAAGGTGTCGTTTGGACAGCGGCTGTCGAGAAGTTGGCAGGGAGCGAGAAGCATAGTGGCGGTAGGCCAAAGGATGCGGAATCAGCAAAGAATAGATTTGCAGCGGTATGCGTTACTTTAACCTCTGTTATCCCTTTTATCTCATGCTTTCTGATCTACAGATGAAGAAGGACTATCACCAAATTAAGGAGCTTCGTGAGCTGTCGGGCTTTGGGTGGGATTCCGAAAAGATGATGGTCACCGCACACCCGGAGAGTGTTTGGACGGACTATGCAAAGGTACGTGTCTCCACCCTCCTTCTTGCCATGTTTCGTTCCCGTTCTCAGTCCCTTCGTGACATTCATACTCATCAGATACAACTAGGCTCATCCCTCGAAGGCTCGCCTTGTTCGACGCTGGAAGGGGAAGCAATATCCCCTTTTTGATCGTCTGGGCGAATTGATTGAGGGACGGTATGCGACGGGAAAGTACGTGATCCATGCTGGCGCTGAGGCCGCCAGCTCGCCCGTCCGTCCCGGTTATGTTGGTGATGACGATAGTGATATTGATGGCTCTGAGCCGTCGACACCCGTATGTTTTTGTTCCATTTTCTCCGTTCACCACTGATGGTCTGCCCTTCTCTCCAGGTTCTATCTGCTCCCATTCCACCATCTTTTTCAAATGCCATCGCCTCCTCTTCTTCCAACCAACTCCCTCCCTCTTCTTCCCGACTCGGAAAACGTCGCGCCGCAACCCCAGACGACTCGACCGACTCCAAAAAAACCCGTGCACGCAAGACCGCTCATGCAGCACTCGATGGTATGTCTGCCGCAATTCGGGACCTCGCAAAATCCCTCAACCAACCTGCCGGCACAGGATCATCTGCAGGACCATCACCATTTGACGACCCTCAATCCCGCCTACAATCTGCCATCCGGATGATGGAGAAATTGCCCTTGGCAAGGGAGGATCCTACAGGGTTCAACAGAGTTGTTATGTACTTTGTTGGCCATCCGGATGCCGTTGCGGCTTACTTTGCATTTGAGAACGACGAGTTCCGGCAATCGTACCTGGAGTACATTTTGAATAATCACATTTGATCTTTGTCCGCCTTAGCACACTACCCCATTCATTACCCAATCGAAAATTTCATCATTGTGTTGCTTTTCCTTGTGCACGACTGTCATTTTTGTTGACCTAATCATGTTGATGGCTCGGAGTGTCTCTGAGCGGCGACTGCCGACGACCCTCACCACTGGCTTTGCTCTATCTCAACGAAAACACGGTACGTTTTGTGAGTAGACACATATTCCAGCTCATCTACATCACAGCTAATGTTCCTTGTTGTTGCTCTCGCAGACTTCACGTCCACTTATCCACTGAAAGCCTTTCTAGGTTCCGCCACTCACCGTATCCACCGTCCCACAACATTCGAAGTATCTCAATGGATAGGGCCTTCGTTCTGTAAGTAAAACTATATTCTGACTCAAGTATATCGTAGCTAATTGGTCCTGTTGTCTCTGCTGCAGAAATCTCAGCCGTTCGTCCAAGCAGAGCCATGCTAGGCGGCTACCCACCATATCCACATCTCCACAATATGTGACATATCTCAACGAATACGGCCGTCGTTCTGTAAGTAAAAATATGTCCTGGCTCGTGTATATCATAGCTAATTGGCCCCGTATTTGTCACTGCAGAAATACCAGCCGTTCTTTTGCTCGGGGCGATGCTAGGTGCCACCACCTACCATATTCACCTCCCCACAGATTTCGACGTATCGTAGTGAATATGGCCGTCGTTGCGTAAGTAAAAATATGTCCTGTCTCGTGTATATCATAGCTAATTGGTCCTGCCTTCGTCGCTGCAGAAATACCGGCCGTTCTTTCGCTCGGGGCGATGCTAGGTGCCACCACCTACCATATTCACCTCCCCACAGATTTCGACGTATCGTAGTTAATATGGCCGTCATTGCGTAAGTAAAAATACGTCCTGGCTCGTGTATATCGTGGTTAATTGGCCCCATATTCGTCGTTGCAGAAATACCGGCCGTTCTTTCGCTCGGGGCGATGCTACGTTCCGCCACCCATCATAGTCACCTCCCCACGAAATTAGACCTATCTCAACGGATAGGGTGTGCATTTCATGGGTAAAAATCTCTCCTGGTTCGTGTATATTCTTCTCCCACGATGTAAACAATAGAGAAATAGTTTTACATGTACAATTCATCATAATCGACCTCCTCCTCATCACCGCCATTCTGCAAGTACTCCTTATAATCAGCCCACATTCTCTCTGCAATTCCATCACGACGGCTATCAGCCTCATCTTTTTCCACTGTCGAGACAAATCCACCCAGCTCCTCCACCACAGGCACCTCATAAACATCGTCTCGTGGCGCCCTATGAGCTCGCTCTGCACGAGCATCAAATTGCTCTACGTTGATATCTTCTGGTCGTTGATGCGGATGAAGTTGAAGATGACTGCAGAGCTG